AAGAAGAACTTTTCTTCCTAAAATGACCTAACGAATCACCACCTGCAGTTAGGAACCGTAGTTAGGAAACACCCTGTATATGGGGTGATTCAAAATTCGATGAGAATATTTTAAGTAGGTATTGTTGGGATCAAAATAAGACTTTTTCTTCATATAAACATGTGTAAATTGAAGAGCAATTCTTTTCTTATAGCATTTTGTCTGATCTTTCTGAATCTGGTGCATTTTTTCGAGAAAAGTGGTCACAAAGTGAACTTTTTTGACATAACAATGAAACATGAAATTTTCTCAAGTCCGGACCTGGATTTTTTTCTTCATAATATGCTATCTTGAATAGTTCGAGTAGAGAAACGTCGCTGCCAAATGTCAGAAGATTACGATGAATCATTTCTGTAATATCGGCCATCAAAGTTATATAACAATTTCACATAATACCCTGTATATCTTCGTTATGGAGGGTCAAAAAATGTTTTCATATATTTACATCAACTCGTCTTAATTTCCCTTATTAACCATTTGGCTATGTGAGTCTTCTCATGAAACACCCTGTATATTCTCCATGTGATGAAAATATTAATTCTTTCTCGGTTTATTCAATAGAAAACAACTACTTTCCTGGCTATATGCCACGACGAACATTGAATTATATCCATTGAACACACACGATAAGAATTTGAAAACAAAATCTTTTGAAGTAGAGAATTTGCCTTCTCCTTCATATAAAGATATGCACATATTATCATTCTAAATATTTAACAGAAAATTACTACTTTCCTGGCTATTTGCCACGTCGAACATTGCATTGAATTATATCTGTTGCAACATTCAAAAGGAGAGCATGAAAAATCAAAATCCTCTGAAATTGAGAATTGACATCTCAACAAAATACGTCCTTAAAATATTTACATCGAATTTTGAATCCCCCTTCATACTTTATTGACAAGGTTATCTTTTGTCAGTTTTTGAAAAATATAGATTTTTTGGTATATATTTAAAGGCAGGTGTAGAAAGCCAGACAACAATGCTGCGATTTCTGTCGTTCTATATACAGCTGCCTTATTTGAATCTATATTTTTCCAAAACTGATGAAGATAACCTCAATAAAGTATATATAATAATATTTGAAATCAGAAGAAAATGTTCTACCGATTAGGAAAATAAAATACAGGGTGTTCCATTTAATAAATACAAGTTTATGTAAACATTTTTAGGTTTACGATGTTTTTTCATTTCCTAGTTATAGTTTCTGAATGCTCAGAAAAAATACTTCATTTTTGCCCATTCCAACGTTTCTGTAAGACCAATATCAACTGTGATATAGCTATTGAGTTAAATATAAACAATCACCCTATATATACATACCAACGAAGTTCATAAACTACTACTCTACTACTTATTTTCGAGGAACGGTTCATTTTTCCTGTACATTTCGAATTTGTTCCCAGGAAAACAGTTGAACACTTCGATCATACAGGGGTTTGTTGTTCGGAGGTTGAACATCTCGAGAAAAAGTTAAGGCAACTCATATACATTTTTCACTCTATGATTGGTTACTTAAGTAACAACGTGCACCGTGACCAATCCAATGCAACTGTATATAATATTGTACTTATGTATTGTATACAGTGAAGACCAAAAACTCCGTTGTCCCCCTCGTAACTTCTTTATTTTACGTTTTACGAAAAAATGTTAAATGAATAAGTTGAAGTTTCGAAGTTTCTGCGGTATCTACTTGTTCACCCGCGGTGCATTTTTTTAAGTTTATTTGATGCAACAAAAATTTTCTGTTCACAAACAAATACCTATTAGATAGGTATCACATACAGTCTAGCAGTATGGGTACATTAAAAACGAAATAATCTTATAACTGAAAATTTTAAACACTTTCTCCTGTGAATGAGTATTTTTCCGGTGTATTAAGAATTGAATAATCATATGACTGAAATAAAAATGACCTATGATTTTAACATTCATAAGGATTGGTAAGATCACTTCAATCCTATGAGTATATGTATATTGCATAAGTTTGAATAATGTATGAAGGATTCTTCGCAGATTACTATAGACAAAAGCCACTTACATAAGCAGATATATACCGATGCGTTTTCAGATGCAAGAGTACTGAATCAACTTTAACAATCATTGAGGTTTAGAAAAGGATGGAACAAAATATAGCAAACAAATGTATCACATGATTTTGAATACCAAGGTACTTATACTTATTATATTGAACATATCAATTATGATATAAGCGAAACTATATTTCTAAAATTAATATAAGACATTATTTATCTGGAAAATAGAACAAAAATGAAAAACGCGTCGTTGGGGCTTCTTGCAAATGATTTTTCATCTTTAGGAAACGGGAGCAGATTAGTTCCCGAAATCCCGAAACGTACAAAGCAACGTGAGAATTGAAAATCTATAATCTTCTTGACGCCAACCATATATTAGACTACCCATGGAATTCCTGGGACTACCCTAATATATAATTCCCGGACTTCCTCAAAAATACCCGGAATTTCCAAAGGCGACCTAGACTACCCAAGGAATTCCCGGACCTAACAAGGAATTCTCAGACATCCCAATTAATTCCCGGACTTCCCAAGGAACTATCGGACTTCCCAGGGAATTCCCGGACTTCCCAGGAAATTCCCGGACTTCCCTAAGAGTTCCCATCAGGCTTCTCAAAGAATTCCCAGACTTCCCAAAGAATTCCCAGACTTCCTAAAGAATTCCCGGACCTCGACTTTTATATTGCCATTTTCATTTTAGACTCATATGTTCGATATACAGGGCAGAGCGACAAAGTTTAACGCTGTTTCTCATCAATAACTCCAGCACCTACTTATTCAATGATATATCTTGTGATAAATATCGATCTAAAATTCAGTTGATATATCACAATAGTAATTTTCCTAACAAGTGCAGAAAGTGATTCTATCCCGCACGTGACTGCCGTTGACACGAACGACGCGAAGCGGAGTTCGGGCAAGCAGTCGAGTGCGGGAAAGAAACTTTCCGCATGAGTTAGGAACAATATTTTTTCTACAAGCGTAGGAAATTGATTGAATCGTTCAATTAATTATTCAAGCAAATAGGAACAACTAACAAGAGATATATATTCTCTATCTATTAATTTTTAGTAATAGCTATTGTGAACTTACAGTTTGACGCATTATGTTGGTTCATTGCGGAAGCCAGCTGGCCCATTAGGAGTTTGGTCTCTAGGTTCCAGACAATTCTATGAAATGAGCCAAAAATACCTATTCTTCATTCGGTTTTTTCATTTCTTTATTGTTGCACCATTCAATAAAACGCGTAGGTATAGCTTCTCATACCTTTCTTAAGACTTCGTTGGTGATAACGCATCTGTATCAAATCCCTATAGCTAGAAGTTTTTGATCACATTGTGGCATTTCCACTGAATCGAAAATGACAGTAACGCTGTGTCTGTCACTTCGACAATTTTAAACTTATTTGAGGTTTGATTGGCATGACAAATTGACGTGTCCCGTCAGATCAATCCAAATCTATATGGGGATTTTTATAATAATCAATTTTTATTTCTCAATATTTCTTAATTTTTACAATAAATAGTGCAATTTGATGAATGATTTTGAACATACATACTTGATACTGCAACAAACAAACTTAAACTTTGATATTCCATCACCAACCACTTATATTACTAGCGATTTTATCATATCTTTGTTTTCCCGCACTGTTGCGGGAAAATGACACTTTCCAAACTAAATTGCGTGCGGGTATAGGGTGAATCACGCACGCTTGTAGAAAAATTAGTTTATTGTACCCGTCAGTGCAAATGAATTCAGAAGTTCAGATGAATTCTCTCTACTTATTTTTACCATTTGCTTCACTTCGATTGGGTAAATCTGAGGACAACACTGATACACAGAAAAAACGTGTACCTATTATGCAAAATCGATTTTATTTTAGTAGATATAGATCGAGTGCATGTGATAGTGAATAAGTTCTAATAAATTCAACACCGCGAGTAGATTGCCATTTTGAAATTCGATAAAACACAAGCTTCGAAAAATCGTAATTATAAAGACCGAGGAATCCCCGGACTTCCCAGAAATACCTGGACTACCCAATGAATTCCCGAACTTCCCAAGAAGTTCCTGGAATTCTCAAATACTACCTGGACTTTCCGAGGAATTCTTGTTTCGGGTACACTCTGGACTTCCCACGTGATTTAACCCTCGGGTAGCACATAAGCTAATGCCAATTTATCTTACCTCCCACGGGAGGTAATATTTTATTTCGTCCCCTGGGAGTAAATTGACAGGTTTGTGTACTTAAATGAGGGAGTAAAAGCTAACTTTCGATGCAGTGAGTAGATAAAAGAAATTCAGTTCACGTCTCACGATGAGTTGATAGGAATTTGAGGAATTATATAGGTTTCAATAGTAGAGAATCGCTGCTCTAGCCTGTCAAAATATCAAGAAAAATATTTTTATTTTTCACTCATCGCGGGAACCACCACTTTTCATTTCCTATAAAGAATTCGTACGGCAATTGATATCAGTTTGCAACTTTCTTCTCATCGTCAAAGGTAGTTTGAAAACTGATGAACAGAGAACAGCTGGTATTTATATTCAAACACTCACCAGCGTTTATTTATGAACAATAATATTTACCTTGTATTTTCTATGAATTCATCAAAGTTTCGGACATATTTATCGATATTGTGCAACATAAGAAAGTGAGAAATGTAATTTATTAGTATTCCAGAGTTCTTGTTTCCGTCACAAGGGAAAATTTGGACCATTTGCATAGCATAATGAATCAAGTTTTATCTTCAGCTTACAGGCACTGAGAGAGATTGTGTTAAAATATAATAATATTATGAAATGAATATTTCCACTTTATTTTATATGCCAATTATAGCATAAATCCTTGGATTTGCAATGAAAATCATTATGCAAAACAAAGAATAAGAAACTATAATAAAAATAAAAGTATATACATACAGTTGAATGTCACCAAATCCAAATCTTGGGGTAGATATTCTACAGCTCCAGTCCAAGCAAGCCCGCTATCCCTTGGTATGTCCACTATAAATCAAACTCAAGATTCAAATATTCTCATTCCCGCACTCAAACAATCGAAGATTTCTTATTTCGGCTGAACCATCATCGCCAAAGTGTTGGTTGTGAATGATTACAAGACAAGAGCTGAAGAAAAGTCAAGAGCGCAACTCTGGTTCTTCTTAAGACTAGTGCGGCACAGCTAACTTTCTAAATGCTCGAGACCAGACAATGCTTGAATCGGATTCGCTTTGCTGAAATTGTGGCCTGAACGACATCCACCTAACTTTCTAAGATATTACTCGCAGATTTTCGTACTGGAGTGGATCGAGCGGATCTTAGGACAGGGGCAGATCCATGGGAGTAGCAGAGGGAGCAAATATCTAAATGAACGTTTTTTAAATCAAACCAAATTACTTCAATTTCAAATTCTTCTCATGTATGAAGGCACAAAATTAATAATGAAACATTGCAAGAACAGTATCACTTAACCCTCTTGCGTTCATTGGAGTACTAATCTAGGCTTTCAAGGATGATTCGAGATTCGGTCGGCACCCAGATAGCAAAATAAGTATATACATTCATAAAATTTGTTGTTGTTGTTCTAAAATTGTTCTATCCGTCATTCGGTTGCCCCCTTACGAGCAACCCTCAGAAGTCTTCGAGAGTCTTGTGCGAGCAAGGAATGACGGGGGCCTTACCTTTTAACGTGTGATCCCAAACACTTTCTTGGGCCATCAGAAAATTTTCTGCAGTCGACGGGACTCGAACCCACGACCGGCAAGCGAATGCGGATTAGAATATGGACACTCTGTCCGCACGGCTACCTGGCCACCTCATAGAAGCACATGATGGAACATTCGAATGTTCTCAGAATATTTCCACAATGCACTGTAGATTTTCTGTGCACATTGTGTGGACATCAAAAGTGGACTGAATTTCACAGTCTCCGAATATTCTTGAGATGCTCGCTGAGTTCATTATCGAAATATTCATAGCTCATCATTATTTGAATATTCTCAGAATATTATACAAATATCTCAGGGACGTTCTATAAATATACAAAACGCCTACCTTAAATTTAATGAATGATATGAATGACAAGATGCCAATACGTACTTCATTATAGTAGGATTATTTTCTTCGTATGATTTTAAGCCAATCAGAACGTTCTATTCAGTTAAGCTACCTTATAATATATTATATTATATAATTTCTAATATACGTGGATATACATAGAGTAACTCCGCCAATCAGAAATTCAGAATTATTTCCATAGAAACAAATTCATATTGTTACATACGAACAAAGCGCGTCGTAAAATGTTGACGTTCATTCATAACTACTCAAAAAATACTTTCAACTATACATGGTTATATACATCTCAAACTTATTCCTGCATAATTACAAAGTGTCAGTTTGCTAGTTGAAATAATCCGGCCGCGAAGTGAAAGGATTATTGTGTTAAACTGACACGATGACACGACAAAAGCTATCGATGTAAAACCCGAATATTTTGAAGTATTTATAGTATTACTACTGATAATACGCAGACAGACCCTATAATAATATAGCTATTATTATATAGGGTCAAAGGAACACTTTGTATATAAATACAAGAATTAATATAACATCAATATCATAATTTTATACGGTTTTGTATATTCTCAGAATATTCGAGAAGAATATTCATATACAATATTATTGGTTGCAGGATGAAAATATTCTATATGATCATTATTCTAAGGACATTCTATCAGAATATTCTGAAATAAGTATATTTGAACGTTGTCATTCTAGAATATTCCATTTCAGAAGCTCATAGGAACGTATTTCATCAGAATATTCGCAAGGAGTATTCCAAGATCGAGTGTTTACAATATTCTGAAAATATTATTTCATAAACTTTCTGGGATATTATATCTCAGGAGCTTCTAGGAATGTACTAGATGACATTTCAGCAGCTTGTAAGACTAATCTGAGAATATTCGTGATATCTGGACAGTTTTACGAATGAATTGTGACAATACGGTCAATACGGGCTCTGACATTGAAATTGGGAATACGTCGAAAGATTTTTATTTCTCGTCTTTATTCACAGGCAGCTTTTTAACTGTTCTTCTAAATTTCTGTAAATATGTGAAACATTTGAAGAAAGTTGATTGAAGATAATGGGCGTGTACACTTTAGTAGAAATTTTAACTCAAACCATGTTTATAATGATCCTTCAATACATAAATAATGATTGACGACATAATTCGATCGAAAAATTAACTGGAATGTTTTATTTTTGGACAAAAATAATAGTACCTCCTGAAAACGGACCCTCTTATGACGTAGAAACCCTTAGTTAAAACAAAATACCAAACGCCCGACGGAGACTGAGGCAACTGATATATTAATTCTTTCAACTGTGATCTCGCACTAATTCACTCTGTCAGAAATCATGTATCAGAGGTCGAAAAAATCGGGGATTTCAATATTTTTTTATAAAACGTAGGGAGCTCACAGCAAGAAACGGTTTGCGGTGGTGAGCTAGTTTGGGTGAGTTCTATCGAATTATGAAATAAAATTTTTTCGTGATATAAGCCCATTGAGCTTTTCGTCAATTCAGGGGAAGAATAGGCAGGGGAAAATTATCAGAAATGGACAGAGGCGGTTTACATGAATTTCGATCTCGAACTTATCTCAGAAATATACCTAAATGCCCTGCTACTGTAACACGAAAGCCGAATGGAACATAAAGTGGTTGCATTCTGCACAATGTAACCACAACTACCACATCTCACACACCAAAAGATCACTCAACATGGTACAGATCCCTGGTGCATTCAACAACATGATGCTGATAATAATTTGATGGTTTTATGAGTTGAAGAGGGCACGAAGGAATGGGCGTGTACACCTTAGTAGAACTTTCAACTCAAACCATGTTTATAATGATCCTTTTATACATAAATAATGATTGACGACATAATTCCATCGAAAAATTAACTGGAATGTTTTATTTTTGGACATAAATAATAGTACCTTCTGAAAACGGACCCTCTTATGACGTAGAAACCTCATCTTGCCATAGTTGAAAGAAAATACCAAACGCCCGACGGAGACTGAGGCAACTGATATATTAATTCTTTCAACTGTGATCTCGCGCTAATTCACTCTGTCAGAAATCATGTATCATTCATCTCTGTCTGGAATAGTCTTGTTTCAGTATTAGGGTTTTGACGTCACATTATCGCCTTGTTTTCAGAGGTCCGAAAAATCGGGGATTTCAATAATTTTTCATAAAACGTAGGGAGCTCATAGCAAGAAACGGTTTGCGGTGGTGAGCCTGTTTGGGTGAGTTCTATCGAATTATGAAATAAAATTTTCTTGTGATATAAGCCCATTGTTTACATAACACACACAAAGGCTTCAGATAGATTACAAAAAATGCAGCGGTAACTTCTTCGTCATTCAATTTCAGATTTGGAAATTATGCGAATTGAAGAACTAGCAATGAAATGCATCTCACCGTTTTCGAAAAAAGTTCAGAAAAAAGTGGCCAAAGTGTAAGAGTACAATTTCTGTGGCTTCTGCTTCGAATAGGATGATATAAACCTGATTCTGGCGAATCAAAGTCGAAAAATTAGTGTTTTCTCAGAAGAAATATGTGCCATAACCTAGGAGAAACATATTTTGTGATGCGTTCTTGTATACAAGTGGATAACATCACATCAGCATCGAAAAGTTGAAGGAAATTAAAAATGAATATAACGAATTATAACACTTTATTTCATTACTGTAAATAATACTTATAGGATGTGAAATCACAAAAACAAATGGAACATGGCAGTCAATTCATTTTATTCAATGTAGTAACTAAGGCTTGTACTCTATTATTGATTCTGACTAAGATCAGATAACTGACCATTACAGAGGCTAAGGTAACCATCATTCCTATTGATTCGAATATCAGTTTTGGGGCGAAAATTTTCCAAACCATCAGATGGCGACAATGTATAGTGGCAGCCAACATACTTGCAAATACCTGAAATATATATTGAATAAATAAATGTTTCCTAAAAATAATATATAGCTAACTAATAATGATGCATAATGATGTAGAAAAGCCCATGCGTCAGCATGGTCACATTTTCAATAGACTTCATTAATGTGAGTTAAATTTCTTTTCCGTCGACCTCGTATTAACGACTAAGTTTAATGTATATGAAATCGTTCATTAATGACCCCCATTAATGAACGATTTGTCTATTAATGCACGATTGTTTTATAGGCAACCAAACATACACCGCGTGCATTCATTGTTTATGCTATAACTTACGGAATCTGCATTTAAATCGAAAATATGCGGATTTCATCGAAGATTTTCCGTTAACGGGTTCGCCTAGTTTCTAACACGATTTTAATTCCTGTTTTCTAACACAAGGAATTTATTTTCTATGTTGATAATTTCGACAAATGTCAAATGTCACTAATGTCAGTAACGAGGTTACTGGGTGATTCTTAGCAGTTTCTGGATGAATGATGAATTCTCTAACCAAGTTTTCTTCATTGCAGGAGAAATGAGAAATATAGTCGACGGAAAAATTTTGTAACCAACTTGTATATTAAAAGGCGATTAATGATCTCGAACATTAACGCGCTCGCTTCGCTCGCACGTTAAAATATCTCGATCATTAATCGCCCTCATTAATACACTAGTTGGTTAAATAACTATTAATGCAGAAATTATTCAAAACTGAACGAGATTAGTAAATCATTTTATTGTGTTTTCTATCATATTTGAGTTACTGTGCATAATGCAAAGGACTTTTCAGCCTAAAAATCTTCCAAAGAACATGATATTTCGACAGGATGCAAAATTATTTTTATCGTGCTGCCAAAAAGCAGTAATGTATCGTTTCGCTTGTATCGCTGTTATTTTTGAAATGTAAAGTTTATTCCAGTGTTTTTGTGGGAATTTTCAAGTTCGCCACTGCACAGTTTATGGGCATTTTCGCCATATTTCTGAAATCCCGATTGACACAAACAAATACCGAAATGTTCTGAAAATCAACAATACATGCTTTGTAGACTATGTGAAATTTGATATTGAAAGCGATAACTGATGAAACATCAGTCACAGAGATGAGTTGAAAAACAAAATATACTGACCCTAATTGCATGCCCCAAAATGTACTTGCAAGACAGCAAAAACACAGAAGTCATAAACATTTGATTCTTCTCAAATAGTATAACTTCTCCTTTGGAAGAATCCATTTTGAGATCACTCCTCTTGTCACTAACGGATGGCATGATGACGAATAGGGTGAAAGGAGTAATCAGTACCATGGGAAGGAGAACACCCATCATGATGTATGAGCAGAAAGTATTCAAGATGATCAGGGTTCCCGGTATCAAGTTACTCGTGAATATTCCTGATGTACCGACGAAAGCTGCGTCCCAAGCGATGTTGGGAAAAGTCGGTTGGTGGCCGGATGCATAGAAAAAATATTGTGCCAATATAATCCAAACCAGTATAGATATGTTCGGTACATCGAATAGTTGTTCTGAAATAATTCATTGATTAGCATTCGGAATAATGTGACTATGCATCTGATGCTGGGACAGCATTTTATCAGTCTATGTTGTATTCAGAATTTCAACAGTCAATACTCATATTCTGGTTTCTTATTCTCAGAATTAATGTTCAACCTGAATATTCATTGTTGGTTAAAACAGAAGCGACAAGTTAGATGTTCGAGAACTCTAAATCTACACCTGGAACAACAATATACAAGTTCTCAAAATTTCGAATGTACACTGATCTTCAAAAAACCGGCAGTCAAAAATAGTCATCTTGTTGGCTTTCTCCAGTACAATTCATCTGATTCTGATGATGTTTATTACAATATGATGCGCTATCAGTAATTTTCATTCCTACCTTAATTTAATCATATCAGTACAGAGGGGGTGCAGAAATGAGATGTTTTCTTCAGTGGCCAGTTTTCACAGGAGTGTTCAAACAGTGTTAAGAAATTCGACCGACAACGCTTCACTTTTTTTTCAATTGCATTACCTCGTTGGTCCCAGCACTGGAACCAACGACCTATAAGTCGAACACTAACATACATGGCCTAACTGGGGCACAAACCCATGTCTTTTAATATGAGAACAAATAAGGTAGGGACAAAAAGTCTTCATGTATTTACTTTTCAAAATACAGAATGTTAAGGTTGAGAAATAAACTTGATATTTTTTCAAGTTTTCGGTAAATGTTTCTAGCCTTGCGTTACGGGGGTTGAAGTAGCTATTTCTCTCATATCTGTTTCGTTACTGATGGAATCAGAATTGATTCTGATTTATCAAATTCCAATATGAACGCTTACATAGGCATTCTCATCATTTTCAACAGCAGAATATTACATACATATTTTCCTGGGCAAAGTAAATTGATTAGGTGCTTATTTTTTGTAGCTGGACAGAAACAAGTATTTTATTCATAAGAAAAACAATCATTTTTGTGATTCCCTACCTTTAAAATTTTGAAGAATGCCAACGCAAGCTGTTAATTTGGGTCGGATACCTGGAAAACTGTTCCTTAGGTGAAGGAAGTTATAAGTGGCGTAGAGAATATTGGAAAAAAGTTACCACAAATCCATTTGCCTCGTCACTGGATAAATGTGACGGAAATCTGAATCGTGAAAAATTTTGGTTTTTGAAAAAAAATCATATACAGAGATCGATTTAGGAAAATTCATATGTTCTTGATTTATGGCAAAAAAGCAATGTTCATTTTTCAAGTGAACATCCTACATCTTCATAACATGAGGATCAGTCATCACTCATCAAATCATGAAGGTATTCACCTGTGAAGCATAGATATTCAATTTACAAAAAATAATAAGAAGCTGAGAAGACTAGTAAATTAATAAGTAATATTCAGCATTCTGTGTAACCCCTAAAAGTATTGACAGTCCAATTTCGAATACAACCGTGAAAGTGTCACTTACCAACTGAATTTACTTTTTCAATTCTCAGGATCGATGATATTATTACAACAAAAATAGCAGTCATAAACATGATCACAGCTGATGGAGCAACACCATCTCCCAAGAGTAGTGCAAATAATAAAGTAACATAAACTCCTATGATGATAAATACTGAGCTGTACACAGTACCCAATCCACAAACAACCGGGGCATCCTCATCTTTAGTTTTATTGCTCTTGAGTTTCTTGAATAAAGCAGGAATTGTATTTTGCACAGTTCCGGTCGATGAAATAATGTAGGTACATAGTGGTTGCAACAGACAAGATATTATTCCCAATGCTGTTGAACCATAAACCACCCAAGCCAAAATGATAGGCGACCTTGAAGAAAATGGCTGTTTTTTGTAGGAAGGAACTCTTATCAGCGCCCAGTAACCAGCCATACAAACTACTATAGCAGTAGGCATGAACTTTGCCAGAGTTACAGTTACTGAATACCCATTTAGATTCCCTGCATTTTTCAGCCATTCTTTGGTAGCAAACACAAAAATACCCAAACATATGACTGTTATGGTCCACTGAAGTTTTGTAGTTTCTATTTTGGAAATTATATTGCTGACTTCATGATAAGAAGCAAAACACCATTGTTGTTCTTCGCGGCAACGCCAAAAGTACATGGACCCTCTAACAAAACCGGCTATCATTAAAGCAAATAACAAAAACTTGAATCGCAACCAACTGAATAATCTCAAAACACCTTGATTCTTTTTCTTCACTTCAGAAGTACTGGAACTAATTCCTATTGATCCTATTATTATTACAGTTGAAAGTAGGAAGAGGAGGACAAAGGATTCTTCTATTATGTAACTGTTTGAGAACAGTCCACATAGATTGAAAATCAATACAAGTCTACACACAAGATTGGCATATTTATCAGTTTTGCTTTTTGAGTACCAGTTGAGGGTGATGGTTTCCCAATTTTGTATCACAATTAGAGCCAACATCATTTGTGAGGCAGCACATGTCAGAAAATAGATTATCAAAGCTACATCATCAACAAAACCACATAAATACAAAATGATTCCCAGTCCTGCAGCACTAAAAACTGTGCTATAAGAACAGACAATGTATGAGCTGGAAAATATTTCCTTATGTCTTTGGATAGGTATACCATCAGTAATAATGAAAACCAAAAATATAGTCAAGAATAGAAAGAGCAACCCTCTTGCCATGGAAAAAGAGTCAAACTGAATCCAAATTCGTTCACATGAATCACGGATGTCAGTGAGAAAAGTAACTAATTCCTTGGAAAAATCCTCAAATTTGTCTTCACTGTCAATGCTGATTATTTTTCCACTTAACACAGAGTGCTTCTTAGACAGAGCATCCAATGTTTCACCATCAAAGGTATGTTCATTTTCAGAATATTCTTTTATATAGTTCATTACTTGCTGAACATTTCCCCACATGGAATAAAGAATCATATGCCAATTCTCAGTTATTATGGTTGACAATGGCAAACAATTCTGGATAATTACTCCCAGATTTTGGAAAGGAATAGGAATTCCCAACAAGATGGATAAAGTAGGAACCAAATCTACTTGTTTGACTGAACCATTTTCTTCACCAACTTTTGATAAAGGATGTTTGGAATACACAAACATAGCTGCAGTGACTTCATCTTCACTTTCACCACCATGATCACCTAAAATAATGCAGTTTAAATGGTGAAGCTGTTTAAAGCTATTTGTGCCCAAACAACATACCTGAAACAGTCATACCATGGTCCCCTATAACAAAAAGCATCATATCTTCATGTTCATCTATTTCCTTGATCACATTCCTAGGAACAACATCATTTTAAGCATACTACCATTATAGTAGAAATAAAATCATGAGACTTTAACTGGAATAAATTGCTATTGTATGCCATTGTTTTCATACAGCTGCAAAAAGAAATTTAGTTTTTAAGCTGTATTCTCAGTGTTATTGATAACTGGTGAAAATGCCTTGATAATGTAATTGTCCCTAAAAATCTAAATTTTGATGAATATACATTTAAAACAAATTAAACTTTGAAATTTTATTTTGGTTTGCAACCACCAAAGGCACTGCAACTAAAATTTGATCATACTGCTTATAAAATATAAGGAGATACATTGAACTGTTGACATATGGGAATTTTGTGAAAAATAATTCACCTCCCTGTTCTGGTCCCTGCTAGAGTCCCTGTATATACCTTAGACAAGAGTCCGGACACAAAACTGACAGCCGTTGGGGTTTTTAATATTTTGTTTCATTTGGTTTGCCCACCTGACAATGTGACGAAACACCATAGTCGCCCCGCCCGCTTTTTTTAATTATTTCGAATTTCTGTCACTGTCACTTTGAAATTTTATGACCGCCAAAATTTAGCATTTCAAATTATTTCAATGTCCTGCTGCGTACATTATTGCGATAATTCATTAGAAAAGGGATTCAAGTTATTCGATTCTTCGAATGATCCTTTAAAGATAATGTCATGGAAGAATGCGATGAAACGTCCAGAATGGAAAGTTGATTTCAAGAAATCCACAATATGTGAGGTGAATATTCAAATCAACTTGTAAAAACAGTACAAGAAAGATGAATTTTAGGCCCATTTTGATAGAGATTTTTTCAAGCTGATGGATTTCAAATTGAAAGAGTCTGCTGTGCCGTCAATTCATGAAATATATAGAGACGTTCAAAAAAAGAGTCCCGTCGTCATCGTATTGGGAATTACTGAATGATACGTTCGCAGAGAAAGAAAATGAGAATGAGATGATGCGGAAAGAAATTGAAAGTTTGAAATCAAAACTCGAATCAAAACTTGAAGATTAAAGGGGAAAATGCAATGTGCTATATCATCAGTTCACGGTGTTGTTACTTCAGATCAAATTCAAAATGTACAGGTGAATGTAGACTGCAGGAAGAGGTGGGAAACCCAATTAATAAAGCACTCGCTATCAAATATATTGTTGTTTTGCTTTTGCCACTTTTATTTCTGATGAGTGTTATTAAATTGAGAGAATCGAATATGTTTTATTTTCTTATATCCCAACAGAAAACAACTATATTTTCTTGACTATATGTGATACCACGTAGAACACTTGAATTATCTTTCTTATATCTAATGAAGGGAAGAAATATCTGATGACAAAAATTTGCAATAGCCATCTCAGGAATTGATTATGAGAATTATCGATTCGAAATTATTAGAACACCCTGTTGTTCATTATTCGAAAATCTAATAGTTATTCTAGTTAAAATAGCCCTATTTCTCACTCCATTCTACGGCTATGAAGGGTTTGACAAATAATCTAACCCTCAAAACGGTTTCTGACAATCATTGATACTAGGGGAATTGAGAAGACAGAGCTCGATATATATGTCTTATTCCTTTATTCAATCATCAATGCATTTTTTGAAAACAGAAAAGGACAGAAGTATAGCTGTGTCCGGACTCTTGTCTAAGTTATATACAGGGACTCTAGTCCCTGCTAGCAAATTTATTCCAGTTGTGGTTAAAGTCCCTTAAAGTATTTATCCTGTATTTGCATGATTCACTGTTGTATCACAATCAACAGTGGTAGTGTGGTAGCATATAGAGAAACAAGGTCTACATAGAACATATGTTGACAATATCCGACGGACGGTCATTTAGACATATTTACTTATTTAGGTTAGGGTTTTTAAGGTTAGGAGAAGAAGAAGAAGAGAGGTTAGAGGAAGAAGAAGAGAGGTTAGGGAGAGACGAATGATGTACGTAGGTAGAAGAACGGGAATGAGTTGAAAAATGTATTGAATAGTTTGTTAAATTACGAAGTGACGATTAAAACTGTGTTCTGGAGGTTTGATTGATTAATAGAGTCCTGAGTAGTGCCGAACATCCACAAGTAATAAGTTGAGAGTAGAGAGCCGATAGTGAAGTCCAATTACCCAATCGACCCATCAATCCTGACAAACAGTATAAAATAAATACTTAACAACTCAGAAGTGGGATACATGTAAGCTAATTCTAGTGAATTGCTTCAGAAATTGGACAAAATATATCAAAAATAGTGAAATTAGTGAACATAACCTCAATTGGAAGGACATTTTCCCGCGTTACGGGCAGTTTCCCGGTAAAAGTCATCGCATGACAGTAAAATTGACATTGACATTGATGAAGTGGCGCTAAATTCAAAATGGATGAATTCGAAGCACAGATCACAGATTTCCACAGAAGGATGCAGAATTTTAGAGAACAACCGCAACCGCAAGTACCGCAACCACAACCGAGTGTGAATAGTGTGGACATGCAAGACAGAGATCAGCGGGAAATGCAAGAAGAGCAAAGAACATATCAAAGGAGTCTTCCCAGATTAGAACCTTATGACGCTTATGATAATGAACCACAGAACGATCACATGACAACACTCATGGAAATGATGATCCGTGAAAACCAACGTAGAGATAAAATGATGGAGCGCATATTGATGAAGTTGACAGATCAATCATCACAAAACATTCAATCTAGACCAATACCAGAGCAGTATCATTCAATACCGGATTTTGCGCGAAATTTGAATTATTTCAATGGAGAAGGAAATAATATAGGTGCAAAAGATTGGTTAGAGTCAATAATAACAATGGAACAGATTCATAGATTGCCAGAAAATTTTGTGTTAGAGGCAGCAAAATCACATCTAACAGGAGCAGCAAAACATTGGTATGAGGCTAGAATTAGAGAGCTGGATACTTGGGAGAAGTTCAAGACAGCTTTTAGAAGGACATTCCTTGGAACTCAAAGTTTGCCAGAAAAATGGAAGCGAATGACTGAAAGAATTCAGAGAAGGGGAGAAAGTGTTCAATCATATTTTCATGAAAAACTTCGTTTGTGCTTAGAAGTAGGGTGTAACTTCAAAGATACCAAAGAGCAAATACTAGTTGGTTTAGCCAGCCACACATTATGTAACATGGTTTCTTCTGCTACACATACTGATTCTGATGAGTTATTACATGATATTGTCTATCATGAAAGAATCATTGAGCAGAGAAATGAAAGAGGTAGAACTTTTAAACCAGAAGAAAAATTTCGAAGAACAGTAGAAAGACCAAACAGAGAAGTAAAAAGAGAAGAGGGACAGTCAACAAGGCCAAATAATCTGGATAATTATCGACCAAGTAGGGATGACAGAGGCAATCCATTGTGTTTTGTTTGTAAAAAGTATGGACACGTTTCACGATATTGTAGAAACCAACCTCAGCAGACAACTCACTACAATGCTACACAATTATCTAGAAGAGAGCCACCAAATAGTTCACAGCCAAGACAGTCAAACCCTTCAACAAGTGGACCACCAGAGAGACAAATGATAGTTCAAAGTCAAAACCTTGATGATAGTGTTGAAAAGTATTTGAAACCCATTGTTGTAAATGACATTATCAAGACTGATGCATTCATTGATGTTGGGAGTGCAGTATGCACAGTCACAGAGAAGTTTGTTAGTGATAACCAGCTATTATGTGAGCCAACATACAAAAGACTATATGGTTTTGGAAAAGACAATTTTATTGACAGTGTTTGGTGTACAAACTTGAAACTGCTTATAGACAATGTTGAAGAATATGTCAAGGCATTAGTAGTTCCTACTGATGTGCAGTTTATTGACTTATTAGTAGGTCGCAGTTTTACAGATCTACCAAATGTGGCTTATGTGCGGAAAGGAGATGTACTTCATTTTGGTTATATTGACCAAAATCCTTTCAAAGATATGGACTTACCTTTAGCCAATTTGAAAACAAAAGTAACCACAAGTGTAGACTATATTCTCTTTAAAAACTCTGTAAATTTTTTGCAAGTTAAAGTTGGACAAGATAATCAAGTTTTGTCAATCTGGAATGGAAGTGACCAAGATTTTTATTTGAAAGGAGGAGAATCTATAGTTGAGGTCAGGGGTGAAACAAAACCTCTACAACTGAAAAGTGATGAATATCTTTTCAGCAGTCCAAATAGTAAAATGCCAATTACCATGAATATGTTAAATATTGATGAATCTATTCCAGAGAATGACAAACAGTCACTCTTGAACTTGATAAATGAGTTTAGAGATGCTTTTGCTTTAAATATCAGTGAATTAGGTTGTACTGATCTAATGACAGTGGACATTGAGGATAACAATGTACCTGTGAGAGCTAGACCATACCGAACCAATTTTGAAGACAGAAAAATTATCAAAGATATTGTCACTGAGTGGATGGACTGTGGTATTGTAAGAGAGACTAATTCATCTTATTCATCCCCAGTACTCTTGGTACCGAAAAGTTCAGGAGAGAAACGATTAGTAGTGGATTATAGAAGATTAAATAGCCAGACAGTGAAGAAAAATTTCCCAATTCCACATATGGACGATTGTTTTGAATTGTTATCTGGATGTAAGATATTTTGTGTGTTGGACTTAATGTCAGGATACTTACAAATCCCTTTGAGTGAAAATTCCAAACATAAAACTGCTTTTATAACTCCTGATGGGACAGCTGAGTTCGAACGAATGTGTTTTGGACTTGTAAATGCTCCATATGAATTCTCAAAACTGATGACTGTGGTGCTAGGTGATTTAAGAAACAATATAGCCACATCATTCCTAGATGATATTTTGATACCAGCCACCGATTGGAATGATATGTTAAATAGACTGTATTTAGTGTTTAGTGCTGTCCAAAAAGCAAAACTAACTTTCAAATTGGAGAAATGTGTATTTGGTAAACAAACTGTAAAATTTCTGGGCTTCCAATTATCAGATAAAGGACTTTCACCTGGTCCAACTAAAATAGAGGCTCTGGAAAATTTCAAAGTTCCAGTAAATAAACATGAAGTCCGCAGATTTTTAGGACTAGCTGGATTTTTTCGTCGTTTTGTGCCAAATTATGCTGTCATTGCACGTCCTTTGTCAAATCTAACTAGAGGAACCAATGAATTCAAATGGTCAAGTGAACAACAAGAAGCCTTCCAAAAATTGAGACACTTGTTGCAACAAGCACCCGTACTACAGGTTTATAATCCCAAAAGTTATACAGAATTGCATTGTGATGCATCATCATTAGGAGTAGCCGGAATGTTGCTACAAAAAGGAAATGATAATAAACTGCATTTGGTATATTGTGTATCAAAGAAGACAAGTGATGCGGAGCAAAAATATCATTCTTCAAAACTCGAATTATTAGCAATTGTATGGTGTGTGGAGCGACTCAGACCATTTTTACTAGGCATTGAATTCACAGTAATAAGTGATTGTCAAGCCCTTGTGTATTTAAATGCCAAGAAGACATTACAAGCTCAAATTGCCCGATGGTACACAACCTTATCAGAGTATACTTTTGAAATCAAGCATCGTCCAGGTCATAAAATGGCACATGTTGATTCCCTGAGTAGAGCTGCAGTAGAAAACGAAAATCCCCAAGGCATGATGGAAGAAGTATATGGTAGTCGGCTAAATGTTTTCCAGATAATATCTGAACAAGATAGAATTTTGATGGTGCAGAGAAGTGATGAACATTTTAGAAAAATAATAGAACTGATGAAGAAAGCTGAGGAAGACCGAAACGCTGAAGAAAAGAATCAAACAAAGGATTATGAAATAGAAAATGGACGATTATTTAAAAAGGTGAAGGTGAATGGTGAATATAGATGGCTATTTGCTATACCAGATAGTATGAGAAAAGCAATTGTGATCAAGCACCATGATCAAATGGGACATTGGTCAGTAGAGAAAACAGTGGAAAAGATATTGAGAAAATTTTGGTTCCGGAGCATGCGACGATATGTGAAGAGACATATCAGAGGATGTTTTGAATGCCTGATGATGAAATGTCCAGGAGGAAAGAAACCAGGGATACTTAGACCAGCAAAAGTACCTGAACGTCCAATGATAAAGATACACCTTGATCATTTGGGACCATTTCCTAAAAGTCAATCAGGAAAGATGTATTTACTGGTCATAGTAGATGCTTTCTCACGATATGTGAAATTGTATGCTACCAGAACAACATCTGCTGTAGAAACAGTGAAAAATGTTGAAAAATTTATCAATATATTTGGAGCACCTCGAATAATAGTGTCCGATAGAGGTAGTGCTTTCATTAGTACTCATTTCAAGAATATGTGTCTGAAATATGATATTAAACATCACTTAACAGCTGCTAGATTTCCGCAGGCCAATGGAATGGCAGAAATAAAAATGAAAAGCATTGTACCAGTAATAGTAACAGCTTGCAACTTCGAAGAAGAAAAATGGGACAAGGAAATACATATTGTTGAGAGAAAAATAAATACCACTATAAATAAAATGACTGCATGCACACCTTTTGAATGTGTTTATGGATTTTTGCCAAGCTTTGAAGAATCCCGGTTAATCCATCTAGCAGAAAGACAAGACCCAATCGAGACAGTGGAAACAATTAGAACAAGAGCAAAGGAGAATGTGGAAAAATGTCAAGAAAAATATAAAGCTAGATATGATAGAAGACATTATGACGGAGTGGAATATGAAGTAGGAGATGTAGTAGCCGTTAAAACTTTACCAGCAGCGACTGGACAACCTACTAAGACCCAGTTGAAATATAGAGGACCTCTAGTTGTCATAGAAAAACTGACAGGAGACACCTACAAACTTGAGAAACTGAACAAAGAAGATGGAGGATCAGTACCTATAACTGTAGCCCATATTTCTCAAATGAAACTATATCGGAATCAAGAAGATGACATTTTTGAGGAGACAGAAAATTCAGAGGAAGAATCCGAAGAATATGAGGTAAAAACAGATACAGATATAGAAAGGGGACAAGAAGAAATAGAGTCTACCGATTCAGATTCCAGTTCAGAGGAAGATCAAGAATGGACACCAGGAAATAGTGGAGATATGGAGGGGGATACAGCTGAACCCGAGGAAGAGGAGAAAGCGAGGCCAGCACGAACAATCCGTCGTCCGGTCCATTTGCAAGATTATGTTTGAGGCCAAACATGACGTCAGGAAAGGCCGAACTGTTGACAATATCCGACGGACGGTCATTTAGACATATTTACTTATTTAGGTTAGGGTTTTTAAGGTTAGGAGAAGAAGAAGAAGAGAGGTTAGAGGAAGAAGAAGAGAGGTTAGGGAGAGACGAATGATGTACGTAGGTAGAAGAACGGGAATGAGTTGAAAAATGTATTGAATAGTTTGTTAAATTACGAAGTGACGATTAAAACTGTGTTCTGGAGGTTTGATTGATTAATAGAGTCCTGAGTAGTGCCGAACATCCACAAGTAATAAGTTGAGAGTAGAGAGCCGATAGTGAAGTCCAATTACCCAATCGACCCATCAATCCTGACAAACAGTATAAAATAAATACTTAACACATATCAGATTACTTTGGGCTAAAAGATCTCTCAAGGTTGATACCAGTTGGTATGTACACACCTCAGTACATACATACCAACAAACTACACTTACTACTAAAATACTAGATTGTGGGACAAGAAATAACTAGCTTTACAACAAAATATTTTGTGAAATTCTGAGTTGTAAATATATGTATCATAACTAAGAACTTGTACTTACTCTAAAACTGAGTTGATTTCAGTCAGTTTTCTTGACATCTCTGGATGGTTGGGACCGTACCTATGACCACAATGATCCACACCTAAGAAGTGGCCAATAAGGAGACTCCAATCTGTGTTATTTAATTCTGGATACAAGTTGACTTTCACACCATTGTCCACTGTATCCAAATCCCAAACATTGAATGAAGGATAAGGAAAATTTCTTGTGAATCTGTTAGGAAAAAGTCCACTCCAAGTGTCATCTCCCATGAATACTATATGGTGATTATTTTTGATGAGCTATAACCAGAACTATACATTAAATACTGGAAACTGGAATGTTTGTTAGGAGAATTACCTGATCTATGATATTGTCTTCATTGATTTCTGATGTGGCAAAATTTGAGCCAGCATCTATGAAAGTAGGTAGACTACCTGTTGTTAATGCTTTCAGTCTCTGCATTGTAGTAGTAGGTGGATCAGCTATGAATTTATATAATCTTGAATTATCTGGATATTTCCTTAGACTCTCATGAACAACTGGCAATTTGTTTTGAAATGGTAGTGGATCTATGTTTGTCTCATTGTAGACTGTAAAGTCATATCTTAATGCATCAACTATCAGTAGTATAACACGAGTTCTGGGTGGTAGGCATATATCAGATGCACTGGAATATTTCTTCAATACTGATGCTATTTTGTGATGTAATGAACATTCTTGCTGTGAGGTAACTGAGTTTATTGAAGTACATGGTATTTCATTGTGTGAAATGCATGTAGAATTGTTTCTCTGGACTGTTCTTGTGAGCAAAAAACCCTTAGTGAATAAATGAATTGAGGAAACTATCAAATAGGTCAACCACAGTAGAAATAAAAAATAAGATAGTCTACTTCCCATTGCAGCATTTCAACATATCAGATATCAAAATGAAAATGTTCTAAAAACCATAAAACACCCATAACCTTCTCATAACAGTCCTGACCTAATTTAGGTTAAACTAAACTCCTATTATTGTATTTAATCACTATTATCCCAAGACTCCGAATTTCTTCTTCTTGTATTTTGGCCTCTGTCTTCGAGTGTTGTGGTTGTTTCAACTCAAGTGTCATTTTATTAACTGTCAAATTCTAGAGAACCCAAATATTGATCTGCGCTCTCATTGGTTGAATCTGAAATCTGAGGAAACAAATCAGCTAATCACAAATCAAAAAATTTAGTTGTATTCGAATCGAATCGAAAAACATGGCTGCGTTGCCGTCTCCTACACAGGTAGGAAAATTATTCGTTTCACAAGAAAATCTTATCATTTGTGTTAAAAGAAAGTGTTAAGTGCGACCTTAAATATGTTAGGTTTTTTGTACAGCAATATTTTTTTATCAGATATACCTATGTTCTGATAAATTATCACTTTTTGTAACATGACAGTTCTGTGGGCGGTGTTGAAAAAGACAAACTTTATCAAAATTTGTGGAGTATTCTTGTAATAATAACACTATCACTATTTCATAAGTCTCACGGACTATTTCGTACCGTATCTTATCGTTATTTCACATTTTCCATTTTCTTTTCATCTTGGTCTTCACATCCTAGCTACAATATTATATGGATAGACAATTGTTGTGGCTAATAACTATTCATTATTGTTCTGCATACTACATGAGATTTATTCATTTTTAGGTAGCTGGCGAGTCTAGTTCAATATATGAAGCTTATTACAATGTGGTAAGTTTTGAATATTAACAGTATTTGATATTACATCCACCTAATTACTGGTTTTGATGTTTTCTTCAGGTTGATCCTAAAGGGATTGGATCTGTTGGTGGGATGGAAGCTGCTCGGTTTCTTAAGAAATCCGGATTAAGTGATGTGATGCTTTCAAAAATTTGGGATCTATCAGATCCTGGTGGAAGGGGTTGTTTGGATAAATGTGGCATGTTTGTTGCCTTAAAATTGGTTGCTCTAGTCCAAAATGGAAAGGATTTGAACATTTCCAATATATCTGTTGATGTACCCCCACCAAAAATGGTAATGAGATTTGTAATTTGGACTCAAATAATAATGTCAATATTTTCAACTGTTAATTTTTATAATTGAATACCTATTTCACATCAAGATTTTTGTTGTTTTTGAGATACCTATTTTTTTTCAGGGGGATGTTCCTCTGCCTAAACCTAGCAAACCACCACCACCAAGAAACACACCTAGCACATTGATAACATCTCTTCCTCCTTCTGCTGTTGATTGGATGATTAAACCACCTGAGAGAGAAAAATATAACAAGCTATTTGATGATTTGCAACCTACAAATGGTTTAATACCTGGTAATAAGGTGTGTTACTCATGTTACCTATGATTAGTGAATTTGAAAGCAAATAACCAATTGTTTTCAAGGTGAAAAATGTACTAATGGAATCAAAATTACCATTTGAAACATTAGGAAAAATTTGGGACTTGGCTGATCAAGACAAAGATGGTATGCTTAATAGACATGAGTTTGTAGTGGTGAGTAAGAACAAGAATTGTTTAAATAGATAGAATCTATCTTTTCTGATAAAGTTATACAATGCTAAATTCTGAAAACATCTCTCTCAATTCATCTGAACATGTTCATCTTCCAGCTTTCATGAATGACACTTTTACTCCTATTTTCCATCACAAATTACAAGTACTACTGGGGTTATGAATTTTGTAAATATGTTGGTGTGTTAATTCTTTGGCTCTATACCTTCAGTTTTGCCATAGTGATATAATTCACTTGCCTTCTTAGTTTGTTAACTTTGTTTCCAAATCTCCTCTTGATTAACTTTGTATTGAATGCTTCAATTCATGTGTGTTCCAAATCATATCTTGGCATGGGTGTAAATGTATGTATCTCTATAGGTCATTTTTAACAAATGTTATTTGGAGAAAAATGACAATTTTTTGATGATGTGGCTCATTAAAAGATGGTTTCACTATCTTTATTGATAATTCTCATAATACCTAATTATTAAAAAATATACAGTTTCATTCAACTCAAATTCAATGAAGATTCTAAAAATGAAATGAAATACAGGTTGTAGTTTTCATCTACATCTGCTAGCAGGAGACATTGTAACACCAATTCTGTGGTTACACCTGAAATATATACACAGGAATGAGCTGAACATTTAATTAAAAAAGAATCAATCATCATCATCATATGACCTTATATCATGATGGCTCAATGATTCCAGGAAATAGAATAGTGATTCCAAGAAATATCCTCAGAAATATCACTTCATGTCTTTCATTGTAACAATGGGCTTGTATCAGTGAGAAATTTTATTTCATTATTTCCGAGTACTAACCCTAACTAGTTCACTATCACAAACCGTTTTTTTTTCGGAGGTCTGTTCATTTTTTAAATAGTTATTGAAATTCACAATATTTCTCAACATGAAAAACGCAGGAAAACGCGTGACATAATCATCCGAAAATATTCAGCATACATATTTATTCTCCATGTCTGTAAGACAAGTGCAAGAAGATTTCTGATTTTCATTTCAATGAAAATATGAAAAAAGTTAGGCTCCTCAGAAGATTCACTCCCTAGACTCTATTGAATGTTCTGGACTGAATACTCTCTGCAGATAACTGAGAACACAATACACAACTGAAGAATCAGATAATGAAAGGAATATCTTTGAATAGTCCCATCTTGACTGGATGAAACAAGGATTTGAAGATGAAGATGACTTTGTCTTCTTCTCTTCTTGTATTTCTGGGAACTCTAGGCATTATGCTTTTGCCAGTGCCACAAAATGATTTTGGTAAAAATAAAAAAAAATGCTCAGATCGGTCGATTTTAGTTTGCACCTCCTGCTAACAATCAAAGTCGTTCAAAGGTTTTTCGTTCTGTTGATAGTTCGGGGGTACATATATCATATTTATTTTAGCAAGCTCTTCATCAGATAATAATAATAATAATAATAATAATAATAATAATGTTTATTGAAGTAATACCCAATATGTATAACAAATTCATGACGAAATAATATATTATGGTCTTACTACTCCAAAAGGACAGAATATTGGCAAAGCCATTTTTCAATTCTGCCTGAATAATTACAATAGAACATAACATAATGAATAAATATAAAGAAAAACGATATATACAATACATACTACATAATATACAGGAAAATATTCAGAAAAATTGACTGAATAAATATAAATATAGCTACTAGGTGAGAGCTGCGCTCAGATTCTTACGATACTCTGTTTTAAATTTATTTAACGAGTCTAGCATGAAATATTCTTTGTGTGTGTTGTACATGAATGGAGCAATATATGAATAACATTTCTGAAATTTGGATGTTTTGTGCCTTGGAACTATCATATTATCAGTATTCCTTAGATTGATAGCAATATCTGGCCTTTTGATCAATAAGTCATACAAATAACTAGGTATTTCATTTCTGTAAACGTTGTAAACGAGAGAGCCATATAAAAGAGCAAACCTTTGTTCAATTTTCAAGATGTTCATGCTTACATAGTACGGAGTTATGTGATCACGTCGTTTTATATTATTGTTTGAGTATCTCAAGCAATTATTCTGCAGTATCTGTAACTTTCGCTTGAAACAATCATTCAGAAAGTTATAGTAAACACTTGAACCATAATCGAGCTGACTCATAATAAGTATATTTACAAGATTCCATTTTGTTTCATGCGGGAGTATGTATTTATATCTCCATAAAGATTTGAACTTGAAATAGCATACTTTCAGTTTTCCTAAGACATGTTTTTCGAAGGTTAATGTTTCATCAATGACTATACCTAGATTTTTCGCATCACAGCTCAGATTGACAACAGTATCGTTCAACATTATATCGCAGGTTTGTGTCGATTTAGCTCTGGATACCATAATTTTTGTGCCAAGGCACATAGCAACTGTTTTAGATGGATTAATAGTTAGTCCATGGGTCTTAGAGTAATCACTTATCAGTTGAAGATTATGATTCAATTCACATATAAAATAGTCAACTTCAGATGGATCACAATATCCATATAATTGAACGTCATCCGCATACATATGCACAGAACAAGTAGGTAGTAATGATTTCACTAGATCTGCTGTAAATATAGTGAATAAGAGCGGACCCAGTATACTGCCTTGTGGTACACCACAATTGACTGCTCTTTCCCTTGATAAGATTTGATGAGTTCATCAAATCAATAATTGAAAAATGAACTGGATCTCAGAGACAAAGAATAATTATAATAATAATATTAATAAATAATAATAGGAATGATACTAATTTTCTATTCATCCTACTTCAAATCAAAATCACTACCCAAATTCAATACAGAAGGTATCCAAAATAGTTGCTCCTCCATAAACATCAAACAAGTAGGAAGAATATTCGGAAAGTTAATAATTAATAATCATCAATTATCAAACAGAAAACATATGTTTTTATTGAATAATGAATAAATAATCGATAACTGTCAAGAAAACAAAAAAAGAAAACGAGAATAATGGTGATCCCATCATTCTCCAAACATAAACGAGCTCTTTTCACGCAGTGGAATCGTATTTTCTGAAATATTCCTGGAATATTACGAAACTTATCAGTTGCTGTGAAAATTCTTTCTCTTAGCTCTTCCACTGTATTGATAGCTATTTCAGAAAATACGATTCCACTGCGTGAAAAGAGCTCGTTTATGTTTGGAGAATGATGGGAGACATTTCGAGCATTTGCTTGATTGATACCACCATTATTCTCGTTTTCTTTTTTACTCTGACGCTCTGCCACTAACTTAGCTCAGTGAATGGACCGATAATGAATTATTGGCATTCAATTACTCCACTGTGTCGTTAGGGACCTAAATTAATTTTTGCAACACCTCTCACGCTTTTTCATGTAAATGAAAAGTCTATGCGTTGTTCAAAATCGTTGAATTTCAAAGCTCATTTCAAACGTAACGTCATGGCCGTCATTTGGCGATACGTCGAATAAATGGTATCATCTTCCATTTCCAATCATGAAGCAAGGTTGTCAAGTCACCAATTATATGAAAGATGTTTGAGTCCTGTCGTTGAATAAGCAAGTTCACTGAAGCTTCAACCTGTCATTTATCAATCCCTTCAACAATACACTGTTATTTTTATATTCTTTAATTTTAATTTTAAATGTTTTTTGTTTTATATATTTTATTCAGATCATTTGATGTTCTATCTTTAACATACTTATCATGTATTTTTAATCATGTATTTTCTTCTTTATTTTCAAGCACTATGGCTATTGTAATTAAAACTTGCCGTACATGTAATTTACATAACATGGTCAAATAAACTACTCTACTCTACTCTACTCTAAAACATAATAGGATGAAATCATGACATTATAGTTCATTCTTGACTTTTTCGATCAACCAGCATGTCCAAATATTTCTTCCCCATAACAAAATATCATGTGAATGACTTGGCAACATTATGCTGAATGCTGAGAACTGACAAAACCACGCCCACAAGTCGTGCGCGGGGTTGTCACGTTCACCGATTCAAATGTCCTCTAGTGTGAATTAATATAATTATTATATACACAAATTTATTTTAAGTAATAAGCCACAAATCATAAGGGAACATATTTAGTTGATTGCATTTTTATTGCTAATTAGGAATATTAATAATACTCAATTGTGAACTTATGAATTATTGAATTGAAGTTCCTAATCGTACTTCAACACATGCCAACTGTGCTATGATCTGCCCCTACTGGCACAGGTAGGTTTTTGGAATCTACCATTCAATTGGTATCGGATGGCATAATTCTTATCTCTTTATCAAATAGCGAAATTGAGTGCAAATTAACGCACAGGATAGTGCCATTTTCAATCATTTCGCTCAGAATAGTGATTGGCACAGATCCCGTTCGATAAAACACAATGTTTTTACATTTGGAACATATAACATTTCGTTATATTACTATTCAAGAGTGTGAACACGCTTATCACCACTGACAAGTCCAGATTTGAAACGTCAGTTCTGAAAATGTAATAGGCGTCTCCGCGAGTTGCCCAAAGACTATTCGCGAGATTCACGAAGTGGGCGACATCTAGGTTACATAATACGAACTTCTAACTGAGGGAAAACAAACTGTTTATGGATAAAGTGCATAGACTACATTGCATTCAGCTTGCTGTAACTGTAGTCAAACTTGTCAATGACGTAAAGTGTTGGCACTGTTGGTAGTGATGATGGTTGAGTTGGTTAATTTTGTTACATTATTACATTTTTATTAGTTTAGTGAACAGTGAACGGGTGAAGAATTGGAGATAGTTCAAATAATTCAAACTAATTATGACGAGCAAATCAATTGACATATAAAAGAACAGCTACAACATGTTAATACCCAGATTGTCCTGCTTTGCATGAACAAATAAAAATCCATTGTTCTACAGGACCCCAAGATTGTAGACAAAGTGCCTTTTGTTGAAGTCTTCTGCCTCACACAAAATCACTTGATAAGCACGGAGAACTGCTTCTCCTTCCACTACTGGTCGGCTTTTTCTATCTAAATAGAGCAAAATATTTGCCAAAAGAACCTCTACAACAGGCATTATTAGCGTTTTCGATCGAATATTGACAATTAATGTCAAGAAATTTGAAAACTTATCACTCCTAGCTAATGGCACTAATGGGATTGAGTCGATTGAGTGAGGATTGAGTTTGTTTTCCCCCAGTTTTGACGTGGCATTGACATGGAACGATGAAAACCGAGCGCCACCTGGTAACATTGATTCTCGCGAATACAGAAATTTCAAGTGTTCGTTGAAGCTTCAAATTCCAATATTCATTTCATGGAAATACATCATCATTGACATAATATTGATATAACTACACAATGAGCATTACGTGCCTTTGGTGTTACGCCAATGTTAGGGTTTCAAATAAAAATATGTCTGCACTTGTTTAATGAAAGGGTACATAAAAATGGCATTCCATCTTTTATAAAACATATTCGTGTCCCATGTTTTTTGTTCAGCTGTTCAGTTAGTTACTCCGTTCTCACAATCCTATGGACGAACTTCGAACATCATTATTTGTTGAAGTGAATACTGTTAGGCAGTGAGTAATAAATCAGTGGATTCCTTTTTGAATGGTAGCAGATATAACTTTTATTCGCAAAATATTTGTTATTGAAACAAACAACATAATCAATTATAAATCCATAGTTACATGACAAGTGACTAACATATAGGATGGTCACACTACATATTACATAACATATTATTGTCGATAGATTACAAACTATGAATTCCAGCAAATACACATACAGAGCAATTCAAGGAATAATTTCACAATCTCATGGACAAACTGAACATGGCAGTTTGAACTTATTTGTTCTTGTTTCTTTCCTCGATACGTCTGGCCAAAAAAATCCATGGAGAAACCATCTATTGAAGTGAATAGTGAATATGCGTAGACATTGAGTATGAATATGCGTAGACATGAGTAAGGTAATAGCACCAGCTATTGACAGCTTAAGATGGTAAAGGTCATGTGTCAAATTTCTATTGAACATTAATAGTTATTTAACCAACTAGTGTATTAATGAGGGCGATTAATGATCGAGATATTTCGCTTCGCTCGCACGTTAATGTTCGAGATCATTAATCGCCTTTTAATATACGAGTTGGTTACAAAATTTTTCCATCGACTATATTCCTCATTTCTCCTGCAATGAAGAAAAATTGGTTCGCGAATTCTTCATTCATCCGGAAACTACTAAGAATCACCCAGTAGCCTTGTTACTGACTTTAGTGACATTTGACATTTGTCGAAATGATCAACATGGAAAATAAATTTCTTTTTTTCTGAAAACAAGGATTGAAATCGGTTCAGAAACTTGGAAAGGCGAACCCGTTAACGGAAAATCTTCCATAAAATCCATATTTTCGTTTTAAATGCAGATTCCGTAAGTCATATCATAAACAATGAATGCACGCGGTATATGTTTGGTTGCCTATAAAACAATCGTGCATTAATAGACAAATTGATCATTAATAGGGGTCATTAGTGAACGATTTCATAAACATTAAACTTACTCGTTAATACGAGGCCGACGGAAAAAAATCTAAATATTTCAATTGAAATTACTTCAGAGCATATTTTTTCTCGTTGGTTATTGCTTTCGAAAATATATCTGTTGGATACTACTGAAAATCAACTGGGTTGATGAAACTACCAATTTAATTCAAAGGAGCAAATGAATCGTCATGGACATAGAAGAGGAAGAATCAATGCCGCATTAGCTATTGACATAGTTCTGCTCCTATTATTTTTTTTCGTCATTATTCATGTAATAACTGCTTTCTGGCCTTTCCTAACCAGGACTTTGTCCTACTTGGCTTTCAGAAGAAAGCTCTCCTGTCTGACTTCTCCTAACTATCAAAGTAATGTTCTTCCGGTTACTCGATACTATGTGCCTCGAACAAAATTTTGAATTGAAAGCAATCTGTAATAATCAATATTGGCTGTCAATAACTGATCAGGGCAAAATATGGTTCACTGAGTTCATTTCGAAATTGTATCAGAATTCAGAAGCAATATTGTGAATAAATATCACTGTTAACATTGAAGTTAGTAGTTTTTGACATCAGTGTCGGTAACTGCAACAATATGAGTTTCAACTGTACCAGTTATTGACACCACTTTCTTGTGCTTATATTTGTAAATATCATAGTCTTCAGAATATCGGAGGAAACATTTAAATCACTATTTATAGAGGAACAGAAAATACATCATTGAATACAATTTATTGAGGTTTAGCTACTCCTACAAAGCCCTCACCTTTAAGCAAAACGGCTCAACCAGGGAACACAATGTACTGGTCATATTCAAGCATTGTTTGTGTGGGCAGTTTCTATTTTATCGACATGATTCTTTTTGAAGATTGTGGATAGATCATGTAGATGTCACTATGACTGCTAGAAATCTGTATTGACTTCAAAGTTTTCTTATTGGAGCTTTATTAAAGCAAAAGGTGTCAATAACTGAGGGTGTGTCAATAACTACTGTCACTATCTTATCTGATTAAGATAAAAACAAAGCAATATTGTCAAACGTTGCGTCCACCTTCCCAGAGATTATACACCCAATCTCTGACCTTCCTATGCCTCCTTCAAGCGCGCCTTATTGTTTGCCACACGGACCGACCACAAATAGGTAGGAAAGCATTTTTCTCTATAAGGTACCAAGGTACCCATGCATTTTTTTTTCGAACGCCGAATTTTGTCACATATATTCATAAATGTGTTGTCGGTTCGACAGCTTGGCTGAGCATTTTTCTCAAAATGCTTGATTTTTGGTTGTATTCCTGGCAGCAACTTGGCGCCCTAGAAGTGGTTTGAATACGACTATAAGCTGTAGGTCCCGCTCTTCCTAACCCCGCGTAAGTTTCGACTTCTGGGGAGTTAGTTCCCAACTTCGAAGTAGGGATATACAATATTAATAATAAAAAATTATTATTAATATTTTATACTTTATTTATTAATACTCCAAAGTATCTCTCATAAAGTGTGCTCAGGTTAAGATGCCTTATTCTGATAATGATATGTAGAGCAGTTGTTTCCCTGTTTCAGCTACTTTGAGGGTTTTTCAGGCAGGATTCCTCCAGTTCTGGAATATATGCCCACATTTAAGCAGTGTTCTGCAAATCATTTTGTAAATTTTAGTTTTTGTGAATAAATTGATTTCATGTTCTTTTTATGACATTGATTATGTTTTGTTCTTGATATGGTTTTTCTTTTCACATTTCCAGTATGTACATTGAAGTTGATTTTGTTGTCCATACCAGCGATTTTCAAATTTTCCAAAAAAAATTCAGAATTTGATGAATTTCTGAATTTTAACTGCAATACTTTGTGCACACAGCATGACATTCGGATAAATATTTTAGGCAATGCATCTCGTTTATAAAGCTTTAGAGAAATACGCAATCCCGAGCGTTCTACCACCGGAACTCATAGAGCCAGTCAAGACAAAGCCGTCACCTCTGGTTAAAGGTTTAGATGGTATCAAACCAGAAATGCCTCCGCCTCCAATAATGGCCCAACCTGTTTCTCTAAATTCATCTATCAAGACTTCCATTCCCATTCAACCCACTGTCCCACCCCTTCAGTGGGTCGTCAGTGCCGAAGAAAAAGAGAAGTCCGATGTACTTTTCATTAAGAGCGATGTTGACAAAGACGGTTTTGTGTCCGGTCAGGAGATAAAAGATGTGTTTCTGCAGTCGGGTGTACCTCAGCCTGTGCTGGCGCATATTTGGTAAGTTATTTATTTATGTTTGATGGTATTGAACACTTTTTTATATAAAACCCGTGTTTCACCATGTGAAGAACCGGAAATCTAATTTTATCTGACCAGTTTTTTTAGATTGACTCCATTGTTTATCTAAATATTTCCTCAGTTTCTACATGTTTTCTATATTTTTGAGTTGATATCAGTTGTTGAATATGTTCATTGATATGTACAATGCATTCCATTTTGGTATCTCGGTTGTTGTTGAAGATAGAACCTTGTGGTTTTCGCGGTCCTTTTTTGTGAAACTCAAGATGGCCTGGACAAATAGACCAAGAGCTAGCGACCGCCAGACTTGCTTCACTTCAACAAGGTTGAAATTTTCTATGTGTGACAGTGACAACGGTCTGGGGGTTAAAAATCTTAAATACCGGGGCTTTCAAGAGATATCGGGTGTTAAATGTACACTCGTCTTCAGTGAACATGTCGCGGTTCGACGGTATGACCGCTCTTATTGCAGCGGTAATTAACAGAGCTTACACCGTCCATGTGCGACATGTTCTCTGAAGACGACTGTACAAAAAAATCACTGGCAAAAACATTTCAACAATGCTGAGTTTTTTTATACGGGGTGTTTCTTAAGTACGTGTAGAAAATTCAGGAGCATGTTGCTGACGTCAAAATAAGAAGAAAAGTTTGTATAAATATATGTCCGGAAGTTATTCGTTTCTGAGATACAGAGTGTCAAAGTTGAATTCTCATTTCTGTATTTTGTCAATAAATTTCGAAATAAATGTAATATTGGAATACACTTTGGTATCTAGAGGTGTTTTTCAATGAAAATATCAAATTTTATGTAATTTTGTCTCTTTCGTGGGGGTGGCGCCACCTACATTTCTTTCGAGTCATTTGAAAAGTCATAACTTTTTTGTGCGTACCTGTATAACGTTTCATAGTAGAAAAAAAGATTTCTAGAACACTTTTATGTGAAAAATATATTCCTGGTAGGGTAGGCAACTGTTTTCGAGTTATCGGGACAAGAAACTGTCTTCTGTACATGTGATCCAAGCTCTTTCAACTAGTGTGTGTTTCATCCATGATTACTGTAATCATTATTAGTATCAAATTGTAATAACACCCGATTCCTATTTTTCAATGAAATTAAAGAAGAATAATTTCAATTATGAATTCCACTTTCTTGTCATTCCACACTCTGTATCTCAGAAACGGATAACTTTCGGACCTATGTTTAAACGAACTTCTCTTCTTATTTCGACGTCAGCAACATGCTCCTGAATTTTCTACATGTACTTGATAAACACCCTGTATATGTTGAATTCCTGGAGTAGAATATACAATTGCCAGATACTCTCCACGGGGTGTTACCCGTGTCAGACAACTTTGCAAGTCGTATAGATACCGTGTCATTTACGTCATGGCAACAAAGCTGAATTTTATATATGTTTATTATAAGGTTATTTTATCATCATTTAAACAGCCAGACACTTCTGATAGGGCGAACCTGCCGCCAGACACCCCTGAACGTCAACCGTGAATGCGAGCATTGTTGCACAAGCCAAAACACATTTAGAGTAGAGATCCTTCAGTAAGAAACAGAATACTTGATAGCAGATTTTGTTTTAGTAATAATAATTATAGAAATATATGAGAGGAAGTATCGTTTGTTAGTTATCCATTACTCTCCATTTCATCTATTTTTTAACCATTGGAGCACACGAAAGGAAATCTCTATAATGTTTTAGTAACATCGTGGGTCCCTAGGGAGGAGAGAGAGAAGGTATTGGATAATTTTTTAACTTCTGGAAATTATAAATTCCTGGGAATACTTCCTTCGGGAAATAATTCCAAAGCTGTGCAGTTTTATATACAAACGAGTTTTGGTAAAGAGTTGTTCAACATGTTTCGAAGTTGACGACGAAAATATGTGTTGATTGGGCTTGTCGAGTAAGTTTGACTGGTATGGCATGTGACGGAATTATAGCAGATATTTCTGAAGAACATTTCCCTTGGAAGTAGGTATTTTTGATATTTAATGAGTGTTCGTATTGTGTTTGTCCTCTTTATGGTGAAATCAATGGGGAAGACCACTGAGGGAAGAAATCCGTGTAAACCTCTTTCAATCGACGAATCATGATTTATATTTTATGTACAATCAATATTATGAGTTGAAGTTGAAGGGAATCGAATCTATATCGTTTTGAAATCAGCATATTTCATTCGATATTTCAAACAGCCAAATATGATGGTGGAGTCGTGACGTATTAGTCCCGAACCATAGCTATCTCTCTCTGATACATCGTCATTCTGCAGTGTTGCAGTGTAATTGGTCAGTTCAAGGACAATAGGCGGGTTGGGACTGAGACGTCGCACTAGTCACACCAATGAATTGATGGAATTTCAAATGGCGCAGGAATTGTGTGTTTTGAAATGGACATATATTAATTTATTTTTTTCATCGTCTTAACATGGATGAAAAAATTCAAAATTAATTCACTGGTAGTTTTTCAGTATAGAGTTCACGATAATGACGTTTTTAAAAATCAGTGGTCTTCCCCATTGTAATATTCCTTCAATTGGAACTTGAACAATAAACATCTGTGGTGGATTGCCATCACCCTATGTTATGTTATGAGGACGGACTGACAGTCTTGTCAAGTTGAGTTTTTATATTGTTTAATGTCAGACTTTCTACTTAATCATTTGATTGAATAAAGCATTGAATTCATTGATACTTATTCCTGGTTCCCAAAGTGGTGACCCCGACATGGAAGAACTTGCGGATTTGAAGAATCAGTTAGCCGCCATGCAGTCTCAAATGGCAAACTCACTACCACTTCAAACAGCACCAGTGTCTCTCAAGCTACCACACTTCTGGATGAACGACCCTGCACTATGGTTCAAACAGGTCGAGGCACAATTCGAAATTTCAAAGATAAGTAGTAATCGCAGCAAATACAATTACGTATTGGCCTCTTTAGACTCAACATCATTAACAGTCGTTTCTGATTTGATCAAAGCAGACACAACGTACGATTATGAACAAATCAAATGTTCTCTCATTCAAAGATGTACAGATAGTGATGAGGTGAGGATAAGGAAACTATTGTCAGGATTAGAGCTAGGCGATAAAAAGCCATCTCAATTTTTACGTGAAATAAAATCATTAGCCGGTCCACAAACCTCAGACGACATTGTCAAACAACTCTGGCTTCAACGTCTTCCTATTTCATCTCAAGCCATTTTACAAGTCAGCAGTGAACAGCTTAATAAAATTGGTGAGATGGCTGATAAAATAGCTGATGTTTCTCAACCAAATACGATGGCAGTCGAAATTTCCAATAATCCTCCAGCAGCAACTTTCGATATAAAAGCTGAAATTGCTAGCATCAGACAAGATATCAACTATTTGAAATCGGGATTATCTTCAAGAAGTAGAAGCTCATCTCCAAGATTTCGTACAAGAAGTTCGCAGCGTTCACGTTCAAAGGAAAATTCTAAAGGACATTGTTGGTACCATAGCAATTTTGGTTTTAGAGCCAGGAAATGCCAACCTCCATGCACTTTTCGCTCATCGCCGGAAAACTAGAAGGATGGCAGACAGCAGCGGCATGTACCTGTCATATCTATCCCAGCCGCCTTTTTATCGTGGATAAGGTATCTAAATTAAAATTTTCAATCGACACTGGAGCTGATGTTCCAATTATACCACCAAGATATGTCGACCATCGCAATAAAATTAGTACAAATTTATTTGCTGCAAATGGTACTGCCATTCCAGTTTACGGACATAGAGTATTGACAATTGATTTGGGATTGAAAAGGACATTCAGATACGATTTCATAGTTGCTGGAGTACAGTATCCAATAATAGGATCAGATTTTCTGAACCATTTCAAGTTATTAGTAGATCTTTCCAACAAACAATTAGTAGACAGTAATAATTTTACATGTGAAAATGGAATGCCGTCTTGTGACAGTTGTCAAAAAGATCTACCACTTACCGTAAGTTCGATTGATCCTAATTCTCCAATTGGCAAACTAATTAAAGAAAATAGTAACATCGTCATTTCAAGATCACAACAAAATACCATCAAGCATGCTACCAAACACTATATTGAGACATCAGGACCACCAATTTTCTCTAAACCTCGCAGATTAGCTCCCGATAAGCTACAAGTAGCCAAGCAAGTTTTCGATACCATGATGATGCAAGGATTGTGTAGACCATCCAATAGCCCGTGGTCCAGTCCATTACACATGGTTTCCAAGAAAAACGGTGATTGGAGACCATGCGGAGATTATAGACGCCTAAACTCAGTGACAATTCCAGATCGTTATCCACTTCCTAATATTCAAGACTGCAATAGTTTTCTTCATGCAAAAACAATATTTTCGACCATAGATCTATTTAGAGCCTATCAACAGATACCAGTTGCCAGTGATGATGTTGCAAAAACAGCAATCAGTACACCTTTTGGATTATTCGAATTTCCGTTCATGCCCTATGGTTTGAGAAACGCTGGTCAAACATTCCAGCGGTTCATGAACGATGTTCTAAAAGACTTAGATTTTTGTTTCACATACGTTGACGACATCCTGGTGGCATCAGATAGTTTCGAACAACATTTATTACACCTCAAGAAATTATTTCAACGACTTTCTGATTATGGCATTATCATAAATACTGCAAAATGCAATTTCGCAAAGGACAGTGTGAATTTTCTTGGCTACCAAATATCTAATTCTGGACTCCAACCACCACAGTTCAAAATCAAGGCAATTTTAGAATTTCCACAACCAGAGAATGTTTCACAGATGAGACGATATTTAGGAATGTTGAATTATTATAGAAAATTCATACCACACAGCGCCGAATCACAAGCACCTCTACATATATCTGGAAATGTTAAAGGAAACAGCAAAATTGTATGGACAAAAGAAATGGAGAATTCCTTTTCTAAAACAAAAGAAGACATCAGCAATGCAACTCTGCTAGCACACCCAAGATTGAACGCCAAATTGTCAGTATTTTCAGATGCTTCTGATCGCGCAATTGGTGGGGTGTTGCAACAAGAAACAAATAACAAAATTGAACCTTTGGCATTTTTTTCTAGAAAACTCGGCTCATCAGAACAAAAATATTCAACCTACGACAGAGAATTACTCGCCTTATACGGAACAATCAAGTACTTCAAATACATGTTGGAAGGTCAGATTTTCACCTGTTTCACTGACCATAAACCTCTCACTTTCTGTTTTGAACAAAAGTCAGAAAAAGCCTCTCCTCGTCAAGCTCGTCAACTGTCATACATTTCACAATTTACTACCGATATAAGACATATTGAAGGATCTCAAAATGTCGTAGCGGATACTTTCTCGAGAGTGGAAGCTATAAGCAATCGATATCCGTCATTCATTGACATTGCAAAAGCCCAAATTGAAGATAACGAACTCAAAATGTATCTAAATCATGAACAGCACTCTTCACTTGAACTCAAGCTGATTACTCTAGACAACAATGAAAAACTGTATTGCGATATATCAACTAACCGTCTTCGACCATTCCTTCCCGAAAATTACCGTAAGATCATCTGCCAACAATTTCATAATTTGGCACATCCAGGTATTCGAGCAACAACTGAGTTGATACGACTAAGATTTGTCTGGCCAAAAATGCACACTTATATAAAAGACTTTGTTAGAACATGTATCAACTGTCAGAAAGCCAAAGTTCAAAAGCACGAGAAATCACCTCTTCAAAAATTCCTTGTGCCAGATGAACGGTTTTCTTGGATTCACATCGACGTAGTTGGCCCTCTTCCTCCTTCTAACGGTAATATCTACATTCTAACCTGCATTGATCGATTCACACGTTGGCCAGAGGCAATTCCAATTCCTAATCAAACTGCTGAAGTTGTTGCGAAGGCTCTCGTCGAACAATGGATCAGCAGATTTGGAGTTCCAGAGAAAATAACAACAGATCAAGGAAGGAATTTCGAATCACATCTGTTCCGTTCTTTAACAAACCTTTTAGGCATTCAAGTTTGTCACACAACATCTTACCACCCACAATCTAATGGGATAGTAGAACGATGGCATAGATCACTCAAGGCGTCTCTGATGTGCAGACTGAGAACCAATGAGCGTTGGACTGAGGAACTACCAGCAGTTTTACTCGGTTTGAGGAATGTTCCCAAAACTGATCTTCAGGCTTCACCTGCTGAGATGGTATTTGGCTCCAGTTTACGCTTACCTGGAGATTTTTTCCAAATATCCAAGACATCTGCTTCCGATGCTTCTAGTTATGTTCATAGACTGAAGCAAATTATATCGAAATTGCAACCAACTGATACATCATGGCACAATAAGCCGAGCATATTCAAACAATCGAATCTGAGTTCGTGTACTCACGTATTCTTACGCGATGATTCTGTACGTAGGCCGCTTGTGCCGCCTTATACAGGCCCATATAAAGTGATATCTCGTTCTAAGAAAACATTCAAAATAGATCGAAATGGACAGACGGTAACAGTTTCAAGAGACCGAGTGAAACCAGCGAAAATGTTCAACAAAACGCACACAATAATTCTTTGAGATGGTCAGCCAGAGATGATGTCTTATCACTCTTCAATAATAGTGAATCGAATGGAAGAAAAAAGAAGAAGGTCACTTTCCAACTCTACCCAAAGTGAATTTTTGAATGATCCAGAATCCTTTTTATGGAAGATGTTTCGGAAATGTAATTCGTCATTAGAAGGGGAGTATGTGGTGGATTGCCATCACCCTATGTTATGTTATGAGGACGGACTGACAGTCTTCTCAAGTTGATTTTATATATTGTTTAATGTCAGACTTTCTACTTAATCATTTGATTGAATAAAGCATTGAATTCATTGATACTTATTCCTGGTTCCCAAACATCCATAGCTCACTATCAATATTCAATGTTTTAGTGATTTTGGAGCATCTTTGAAAATTTGATATTTTTACATTATCATATCATTTTGAAGTCAAACAAATAAGGAATTTAATTAGGTAATAAAATACAGTGTTGATAAAATCACAAGTTTGAGGGGGTCCAAAAAGTGAATTTTCAAAAACGCCCTGTAACTTATGAACGAAATAAGTTAGGTAAGCTATTTTTACGCCATCCTGAGTTTCACTACAAAGTGACATAGGACCGCGAAAACTGCAAGGTTCTATCTTCAATGACAACCGAGATACATGGCTGTTTCAATCGAAATGGGATTTACTGTACATATAATATAAAGGTTTTCGTTTCAAAACTTACCACCCAGCATAACTTCTGATCCACGGTGATCACAATTTACCGAAAAAATAGGTCAATTTAGATATTGAGGGGAAAGTAAAATATTCACTCCTACTTCATAATTTCAAATGCACCTCCCTACCTTGAAATTCATGAGATTCAGGCGAAAGCAAGAACCTATCCGACCAGATGAACATTAATTTAGTTTTTTCCACCACTAATAGTAGTAACTATTGTTTTCAAGTGACCCTACAGAAAATGTTCAAGAGGTGCGAAGTCTGGAGATGGTACCGTTCATTCGATGGTATAGTTGCAAATTATTATTTGACAATATTTAACTACCGAACATTTTATAGTTTTTTTACCTGTTTGATTTGGTTATTGCTAGACTCCCAATTTTATGTATCTCGAAGTAGGGGGTGCCATTTGTAATTTCATAGTAGGGGCATTTTGGGGGTGGAAGGGATAAACATTGCATTCAATTGATACTGGTATTTTACATTCCTTTCGATATCTGAATCGACCTATTTTTTTCTGTAAATTGTAATTAACAAAGATCAGAAGATATGCAGAGTGGTAAGTTTTGAAATGTAAACCCTGTATATAATTAATAATAATATAACAATTATCCATCATTCTTCATAACATGATTTGCATTCCTACATTTTAAGGGCCTTGTGTGATATCAAGCAAAGTGGCAAGCTTAATGACGAACAGTTTGCCTTAGCAATGTGGTTTGTAGCAAGATGCCTGAAAGGCATTGAACCCCCTTCTGTTCTTGCTCCCCAAATGGTGCCTCCATCTTTTCGCGCCACAAAACCATTAGACGGCCTTGTGGTAAGAATTCACTTGGACTTTTTTATTCTTGTGCGAAAGCAGGACCTATAAACAACAAATGGAAGAACAATGCTAGTTCTGTTCTAGGCAATTCTTCACGCCTAAATATAATGTGATTTAAAATTACATTAACATTACATTACTCGCGAATTACGCGTGATCGGATTGGAGAAGTTGGTAGACTTGGGGAGTGAGGGCTAACATTATATATCGTCCGCCAAACCGCGCTATTCAAACGTGAGGTCAGAGTTGGTAGAACTGGTAGATCTTCTTTTCGTGTCATTTGGCCCCTTTCCTATGATATCTACCTCCTCGTCAATGTAAGAATGGGCGAGTAGACTTATAATGAATTATTGGCATTCAATTACTCCATTGTGTCGTTAGGGACCTAAATTAGTTTTTGCAACACTTCTCACGCTTTTTTATGTAAATAATGAGTGTAGGCGTTGTTCGAAATTGTTAAATTTCGGATCTCATTCCAAAACTTACCGTCATGAATCTTTGGTAGAAGTCCATATTGCTCAAAGTGGAGTGAAATATTTCACAGGAAGGAAGGAATGCTCGAAGTCATCTCCACAAATTTTAATGATATTTTTAACTAAATCATGAGGGACATGTTTCGGTCTTATAAAAGACCATCTTCAGCCTAATTGAAAAGTCTACAATACAAAAACAAATGATATTGAAATGAAAGGATTACCTATTTTATGCTAGACTTACTTGGAGTTGAAAAAATTATTTTATTTTATTAAATGCTACTATTCCTTGAACTGTCAATGCCCATAGGCGAGAGTTCCAAAATTCTGAATAAACGGGTTCTCAATAAATGAAGGGCCCCGTGCCCTGAGAGCGTATACTATGTTTTATCAAAGAACATTTCATATACCCAAAATGGTATATGAAGGGTATTGTCAAACAATTCAATATCTGACCATAAACTAGCGGGTTTTTTAAAAAAGGGGTTCCCCGTTCCCTTATGAAGGCGTTATTTAAAGCAAATATCAATAAAATTGATGGGGCCAGCAGCCAGCACGTGTTTTAAATCTAAATTAATTTGGTTAGAACACACTGAAAATTATGTCAATTGAAGACATGGACAAGACGTTAACATATGTCAGTCAATGAGTCAATGTCAATGTCAAAGGATAAAACATGAAAATCTGACCATGAGCATAGGCATTTAACAATATCTATTACAACTATTGGAGATTTTGGATTAAGGATGTATCCCTCCTCCTCACACTCTCCGAGGAAGTGAAGCGATGTCTCCTCATCTTCTCCGCATTCACGGCAAGTGGGACTATCTTCTACACCTATGAGTGAAAGGTGTCTGCGTAACCTTTTGTGCCCTGTCAGTAGCCCTATAAGAAGGCGCAGGACTTGGCGATCACTGCCCAGTAACCAAGCCGTCTTTGGCTTGCTTGAACCGGCCACTAGGTCTCTCGATTGCCTGCAGCTGCCTATAAGCCTACAGTATCCTTCTAGTGCATCGTCTGCCCATTTGTTAAGGGCAGACGAAGTTTGGGTTCTTGTTATGCCCAGTGCAGGCTCCGGTCCCCAGAACGGTGTCGCGGATCCGACTCGTTCCCGGGCACCCCCCTGTGACCCGGAACCCATACTAGTTCGACTTCCTTCTGTTCAGCTAGTTTCTCAAGAGCATCGCGACATTCCTGCACCAAAGCTGAGCTTGGTTTAGGATGGCAGATAGCCCTGACTATCCGAGCAGATGTAAAGCTTCTGATCTGGTCCCTCTTTCACCTCTTGCCTCTCTGCTACGGCCAGAATGGCAAATACCTCGGCCTGGAAAACTGTGGTATACTTTCCAAGAGCGTAGCTCTCTCTTATACCTATTCCTTCTAGTTAAATTCCTGCACCTGAGTCCTGTTTGTCCGTTAGGCGCGATCCGTCCGTATAACATACTAGACTCCCTGGGCGGAATTCCACTCTGTTCTCTTCCCATTGTTCCCTGCTTGGAATAGTGAGGGTGAACCTTCTATTCCATCTCAGCCTATTTTGAGCGTTCTTTACTCTTAGGGTGGAGACAGGGATCTCCTGCTCCACCCTTGACGCTATTTCCGCGTGACCCTAGTCTAATCCTACATACTGCGTTTAGTGGGAATAATACATGGTGATTTACGTGGGCCACACATTAGAAGTTGGATTGAAAACTTGAAAATTGATATGCTGCTGTTATCGATCATTTCCAATCTACCTGAAATATTTTCAGTTTTCCAGCTATACAGGGTGTTTCCTAACTACGGTTCCTAACTGCAGATGGTAATTCGTTAGGTAATTTTAGGAAGAAAAGTTGAACTAATAAGGCGCTTATTTAGCCCTATTTAGATCGAAATTATTGGGGCCAGTGGCGTCTCAGTGGGTACCACAGCCAACAATATTGAAAAAAAAAGTACGCCCCCGACTTTTTTTGGTAAATTTTTATTTTTTTTAGATTAAGCAACTCAAAATACAACTTTTTTGGTTTCTTGCATTTTCTTCATATCCAGCTTCGTTTTCGAGAAAAAAAATAAAGCCACTGTATTGCATATCATGACCACCTGCATTGGAGAAATGAGTTTTTCATTATTTCCGCCAAAAATATAATTGACACTTGATGTGCTGAAATTTTAGAAAATTAGACAAATAAATGTACCAAATTTCAACCAAATCGGTTCATGATATTATATAGTAACCGTTTTTTTTTTTCTTTAATTTCAACGCCCTGTATCTCAGAAACGAAGCAACTCCGGGCATATGTTCATAGGAACCTTTCTTCTTAAAATGATCTAACAAATCACTCCCTGCAGTTAGGAACCGTAGTTAGGAAACACCATGTATAGAGTGTGCCAAAAGTCGGCACCAACTTTTTTATTTCAAATAGAAACCTGAATTTTTTTCACATGTTTCAATTGACCTTTTGATTCTGAGTTTGAGATTGCTATATTCCCCCAGGTGGTCATTTCTGGCTGAACTCTCTTTACTATTTTTGTTCCTAGAATCTGTGGTTCAAATCTTTCTATGTAATTTTGGGACATCCTATATAACTACAAGTTTCCTAGAAGAAGGAGGTATAGCAGAAAACATCCCTGATGAAATCCAAGACTACGACACTGATAGATTTGATGAACTATTTGAGATCTAAGAAAACCATACCTGTTTTGAAGCTACTGAAAATTTTTTTATACCAGCCTCGGAGCACCCACAGAATGTATAGAAGTAAATATTCCATGAACGAATCGGCTTCCAGACATCAATCATGTTAACAGAAATCAACGCAACATTTATGATAGATACAGGATCCACTAAACTCATTTTCTTTATTGCTCTGAGCCACTAAAACATTGAAAAATCAAGTCTTAGCATACATATACTTTCCGGACATTTTGGAAAATTGCCCTTTCCAGATATTTTATTCCACATCAAATAACCAATCATAATCATTCGATTACAATTAATATTTCCGAAATCTTTCGAAAACCAGACATCCTACGTAATATTAACATTATTTGTTCGGCTTCATTCCTCACTACCAAGGATTGATAGGAATTGATTTCGAAAATTGAAAGCAATGCAGAATTTCTATGAAGGAGATTTGATAACACCTGAAGCAAAAATTCCACTCTACATAGGTGATATGGGATATCACAACCAAAACCAAACGACCTTCAATCCAGGATACAAAAATTAATCAATATCCCTCCAAAGACCGATAAAAATACTAGTGAATCATTATGAGGTACAGGAAGGAAACATAAAAGGCCACCGCTTTTCTAACAACGTCGGAAGTACCGACCGGAATTTATCAAGTCCACAATCATTACACATTCGCACTGGCCATAAGTTCAAAAGATAGTGAACAAACCATAGACGTACGAGATCTATAATTGTGTCCAAAAACAATATTAAGATAGATTCCATTCAACAAGAACAAATGGATTGGGAAAAGCAAAGTATTGATTATGAGAATCTCCAAAAAGACAACTTGAGAAACATGAGACTAGAACACTTGACTCAAGACGAATACGACGAAATTAGAAATATTTCTATGAGTTTAGAGATATTATGTATTGTGAAGGAGTGCTACTGACCTTTACAAACCAAATCAAACTAATTGTAATTAGTTGGGTTTGTATATCATTACTTTCATTATCATAATAAATTACCATACAAAAATTAGTGGGGTCAAGTACGGTCATTTTGAGGGAAAAAAACGATAATAGATGTAACTCATCTAGATTTACATAAGAATTTCGTGGTTACTTATGAAAAATTTAGGAGTAAGTGCTCTGGTGCTGAAGGGGTTAAGTATAATACAATAACAAATACCTCAAAAGTTGTGCTCCTTTATATATAAATTGATGTGTCTCGCCAAATTTTCATAGTGTCATCAGTTGAAGACATATTGAGAGCTGGTCATTTTTAAATTGTCGTCCTGTATATTGCTCTGTATAATAATTAGATTCCGCATTATTATTCTGTCGTGACGAGTCTTGTAAGTTTTCATCATATATAGTCGTTCAAATTATTTCTGTCAGCTTCTTGTAAACTAAAATGAAATTTTTAAAAACCTATTTGCTCGGAACGGAAACTTAACTCGCGCATCCTCATGTATTGTCCTTTCATTTGTTGAATATAGGTCATCGTGTCCAGTGTCCTGTTACTATAGGGGCTAAAACAGGTATTTGTCTTGCAACAGGTGGAGTACTCTTGATTTTAGTATACAGAGTGGGCCGTTGAAAACGAAACAGAGGCTCTGTAGGTCGCCAAAACCGGATTATAAAAAAAATCTGAAACACGTCAACTATATTTTCGAGGGGGACATCGTTCTAAAATATTTTCAGCCCTGCGGCGTTGCCGCTTCTAGAGAAAAGAAGCAACAACTTTGTTATTTCAAATGGAACACCATGTATTTTATTGTATTTTTAGATTCTCCCCGAAGAGCTGATTGTATCAATGTATCACACTTGGGGTCCAGCTGTAATGGTTTCAGGGATATAAAGTGTTCAAAATCGAGATTTTTCAACTTTAGCATTTTTTTGTGTCGAAACTATTCATTATTGGTCAAAACGGTCCCTATCTCAACTTGTGATTTACTATCTACTGACATTTATTTGAAACAAATACAGGGTGGTTCAAGATTCAGAATTCTGATCACCCTGTATCTGTTCCAATTAAATGTTAGTAGATAGTAAATCACAAGTTGAGATAGGGACATGGAAGCCGTTTTGACCAATAATGAATAGTTTCGACACAAAAAAATGCTAAAGTTGAAAAATCTCGATTTTGAACACTTTATATCCCTGAAACCATTACAGCTGGACCCCAAGTGTGATACATTGATGAAATCAGCTCTTCGGAGAGAATCTAAAAATACAATAAAATACATGGTGTTCCATTTGAAATAGCAAAGTTGTTGCTTCTTTTCTCTAGAAGCGGCAACGCCGCAGGGCTGAAAATATTTTAGAACGATGTCCCCCTCGAAAATATAGTTGACGTGTTTCAGATTTTTTTTATAATCCGGTTTTGGCGACCTACAGAGCCTCTGTTTCGTTTTCAACGGCCCACTCTGTATGTTCTTTAGGTCGGAGCCCCGATGGAGAATCCAAGTTTTCGACCTTGAGAGGTGTCGGCGTGATCCGCCATCTTGGATTAAAGGTAGAACAATTTAGTTTTCCAATGGTTATTCCTACAACAAGAATGTTCGGTACAAAATTGAAGAAGTCTGAATTCCCTAAATTTTTTGTAGAAACACTTTATTCCGTAAGTTCAACGGGTAACGAGTTACAGCGGCGGAAATGTCAAATATTTACAAAAAAAAAATTGTCATACCTATAATTCTTTTAATGAATTACATTGTAATTTTTATACGTTTTCTCACACCACCATAACATCATATATCAAAATAACCTAGACCTTAAGTACCAAGTTTTAAATATTTGAGGTACTTTTTAATTGCCACATATTTGAATATGGTGTACACATTCCGAGCAGTTGTTTCCCCCTCGAAAATAATCTACGAATTGTAGTTATTTGTCTTAGTTGGATTTCGTATACATTTATAGACAGTTTGATTAATATTAGTGTATCACATGAGATCAATTGCTAAAAGTGCATCCCAAAAACTTGGTTTTCTGTTTTGGGCCAGGAGTTAGTTCACTTCCAGTCAGCTGCTCATGATCTATAAGGCACAGATCCGACCTGTCCTGGAATACTGTTCCCATATTTGGAGTGCAGCACCCAAACATACCCTGAAACTGTTGGATTCTGTCCAAAAAAGGGGAATTTGTCTCGTGGGTGATGGTTCGCTCACAAACTCACTCACTTTTCTGGAACACCGTAGAAAAGTTGTCGATCTGGCTCTATTTTATAGATATTTTGGACGATGCTCTTCTGAAATATCAACAATTGTTCCTTCCTTGGCAGTCCCCGCGAGATTAACCCGTCGAGTTGAGGCTTCGCACCCCTTCGAGTTGAGGCTTCGCACCACTTCGTGTTCACTTTGGAGACCTGCAGAACATCTCTTTCCAAATACTCGTTCATCCAACGAACAGCGAGGCTCTGGAACACATTGCCAAGGGAGGTGTTCCCCAAGGCATATAACCTCCAGAAATTTAAGAAGAACACCAATTCCTACCTTATTTCCCTTGGTTCTCACGATGTTCTCTGAACATTACAGGATATCCCTTTTCGTGGGAACCAGAACATGAAAAAAATCGATTTTTCTAGTTTCTTCCCATGACTATGCTAAATGACGATGCAGACGTCTGCGGAAGTACTTTTCGACATCGACGTGACAATGACTGTTCAAATTTCTCAAGAAATATTTTTGACCAACGAAAAAAATAGTCCGTTTCATCTCGATGCTGATAAAAAACTTCGAACAGGTCGATTTCAGTAAAACATGCTGAAGAAGATGCTGATGTCTTTATTTTCGATACAGCGATTCCCTTCTGCTTATAATTCAACGCTGTTTTTATCGTCGGGGAAGACGTCGATCTTTTAGTACTATTTATCTTACAGCATAAGAAGAAATACCGAGGAAATACTATATTTGTCAAACAGTTTGAAACAGTACTCGGCATCATCCCTCTTTAATCAAAGGCAAGCCAAGTTCCTTCAGCTTGTTCAAAAAAGATCTCGAAGACGTTGGAGCACGTTTTCTCGTTGCTTTGTATGGTGACAGCATGGGTAAGGAAATTTCAGGAGGTATCCACTTCCAGCGGTTTGCCAAGTCATCCATAGAGAACAAATTCAACCTTGCTCTTGCTTCTTTACCATCAACAACAGGAGATACCGTGAAGTCCAAAAACAGTGTAGAAGGCCAAAAAATCGATCCGAGTAGGGCTGGAGATTTGGTACAAATGGACTCACTCATGTGACAATGTCGGAGACACCAGCTCCCAATTCTAGTTGCCAAAAGGGATTTGGTGTGGCATATGGCTGGAGTAGAGTCATGTGACAATGCACCGGAGGTCATCATCGAGAGCGACGACGAATATGACGAAATTCTACCAGCTTGTCAGATTCTCACTGCATACAACGAAGGGGATGATTACATGGCCAATGAATTAGGAAGATTGTTCTAAAATTCGGTTGCCCCCTTACGAACAACCCTCAGAAGTCTTCAAGATACTTGTGCTAGCAAGGAATAACGGGAACCTTACCTTTTAACGTTTCAACCCTGGCCTTATAACGGAGGAACTACCATTAACGGACCAACATAGCGAAAAAACACAAAAAATGATGGGATGCAACGATACGGAAATCAAGCATACATTACGAGCCATATACGATCCATGCTCAGGCGGAAAAAAGAAAAATATGATTAGACCTACTGGGTATACCATGCACATTGAAAAATACGCCTTTTACTCTACCTTGTGGTGGTGGAAAAATGTGTCTGAATTCACAAACTTATCATAACTTTGTAATGAATAACTTCAAATATCATTTCTCAAATTCCCTTGTAGAAGTCCATGTTTGTTCAAAGTGGAGTGGAATATTGAATTTTAATGAAGTTAATACGATTCACGCCCATGAAACAAGGCAATTCAATTTATTGATAGCAAATAATTATAAGTCAAATTTTGGTAAACAATCAATATTCCATAATGGAATAATTTTGTATAACTCCTTACCTAATGAGTTGAAAAATATAGAAGAAGCAGAAAAATTTAAAATGAAATTAAATAAATATCTGCTCAGTAAACTTTAATAGTACTAATCATTCACAATTTGATTACTTGTAATGAATTATGATAGTTTCATTTTATATTTTATTATAATTCTTTTTTTTTAGGAAAAAACAATAATGTGCAATTATTATTGTTTCGATTTATTATGTTTTATATGTATGTTTTGTTGTATATATCCCTATTATAAACAATAATGTTTCTTGGGGTAATAAAGACAATCAATCAATTTCAAAGGAAAGAAGGAACAACTTTGTGGAGATGACTTTGTGCGTTCCTTCTTTTCTTTGCTTTCTCAAATTGATAAAAACGAAGAGTATAACGATTTTTGTGAAAAATGATGACATATCCGCCGCTGTAACTCATTGCCCGTTTGATTTACGGAAAAAAATCTTTTCTCAGAAAATTTCCGAAAATACCGAACTATTTGTTTGTACCTTTATAACAAGATGGCGGAACACGCGGGCCAAGTTTTCGACCTAGAATTTGTTATCGGGGACCCGAACTGAACAAAATATACCAAAATCAATACTACTCCACCTTCTACAAGGTAGAACTTCCTGATGACTGGACTAACTTTTATTATTCGTATCTAAACAAATTAAGAAAGAAATTCAATAATACTAATACCTATTCAAATTGCGTAGTTAGAAGTTAAAGGTGGTGAAAACGTTTATCAACAATGTTTTTTAATCTTGGAAGCTTTGCCCAGCTTCAAAAAATGTTTATTCTTCAAGGAAAACAATAATACAAGATACTCAAATCCAGAACTAGATATGATTACCAAAGATATAGAGGAGTTGTCCAGAGAGAAATTGGCTCTCGAGACGGACATTGCCCAGAAAGAGGCCGATTTGAAGATCAAAAGCGGCGAAATTAAAAGTTTGCAGGCCGAGTTGGATACTTTGGCAGCAACACTTAAACAATTAGAGAACCAAAAAGGGGAAGCCCAAAAAAGACTCAACGATCTCAAAGCACAGGTAAATGTTTCTTCTGCTACTGAAGTTATGGCTTGATGTGCTCGCAAACTTTCAATTTTCTACTCTCTTCATTTCAACTTATTTTCTCTTGAGTGACAAATGGAAATAGTGAAATAGATCATTTTACACTAGATGAATGTTTTATTTGTAAATCTTCTTATGCATTTTGATGACATGCATTGTTGTCTCATCCTGTATAAAATGATCTATTAATCTATTCGTATTAATGCTTTTCTGTTCTATATCTTGCTTGTCATCTTCAGTGTTTATTGAGTGGTTGTGGAACTATTTGCACTGTTTTGGATAGTTAGATTAGTATTTAGCAAAATATGTTGGTAGAACACACAGGTGGATGGTGAAATAGAATCGTTCAAAATACAAACAGAGGACCAAGCAGAACAGGTATGTTTATCATGCATACATAGTTGTAGTATAGTGTATATATTATTTCTGAGTTCACATTTTATTTTATAATATTTTCACCAATTCAACTTGGTTTAACAAAGTACTGTTATGAATGTCACTTATCAAGTAAAGAAATGTTTCCTTCAAACGGGGGACCCAAGATTCTTCTTCTGAAATGAATCTTCAATTTGAAATTTTTCCGGAAGTAAAATTGTGGATCACGATGCAGCTTTCGAATGCTATAACATATGACACTTCTGGTTTGACTGGAAGCACTATCAAATTCGATATTTCAAATAGAGCCCTTGCTTCACCGATCTGTACAAAACATTGAAAGTTTGAAAGCGAAAGTACCATCGGTATGGCTGCATGTGCAACAAAAACAAATATACAGGGTGATTCAGAAGTACTTTCGACAAACTTCAGGAGGTGATTCCTCACATATGAAATGATCAAATTAGTATAATATGTCTGTAAAGGTAAAGGCTTCGTTTCCAAGATACATGGTGTGTTGAAGTTTTATTGTTTTATTGTTTATTCAAAAACTAGCTTCCAGTCAGAAATAAAATTCTGGTATGAGGAAGTTGATTACAAACAACAATAATAAAATAATATAAGGTGACAACAACAACAAAATCAAAAAAATCTAAAAATGCTAAATCGATCAAGTCATAAAAATAGCCACAGGGACTAATCAGAAGATGGCAAAGTATAAATTTTATCTATTTCGTAATGAAATCATGTGTTTTTTTAATTCAACTTTAAATTTTGAAATATGTCTGAAATTTTTTATATTATGTGGTAATTTATATTTATATTTTTGTTTTTTCACAATAACTTTTGAAATAATAACCTTACTTACGTATTGAGAGGATTTTTGAGGTGTCGAGCTCGAACCTGATGTTATCATTGCTCTAACTGGTAAGGGGCGGAACCTACACGTCAATGTCAACACCCTGTATCTTGGAAACGAAGCGTTTCCGGACATATACTCATTTGTACAATTCATATTAGAATATCGTGAGGAATCACCTCCTGAAGTTTGTCCAAGGACTTGAATCACCCTAATGTTTACCCAACCATAAGCTGGTAGCACCTCGTTGCCTCTCTTTCGTTTGTCAAATTCATTGGTTGGTTCTCTACATCTTTCTTTAGGCCCGATAAATGTTCGATTTGATTAACGTTAGTCAAATAAAAACAGGAAGCCGAGTCTTTTTGACCGGTTACCAGAGTATTTGACAATATCACATTAACTATGCAATTAGGATGGGGGCGAAATTTGTACCCTGACATAAATAACATAAACTGATTTTGTTGCGCCTTGCCTCTCACTCTTACGTTGTCTTGAATGCTTTTCTCTCTAGGTACTTCCTAGGAGTTGAATATTATTAGATCATTGATAATAGCAATAACATGGACCATCCATAATATTCTTGAGTTGTCAAGCTGTAGATAGAGCTTATGTATTCAGAGTAATAGGGAACCCTGTGAGGGAACCAAGTTCAAGATACAAACAGGTTGAGTGCCACCATGTATCGAAAAATATCGGTTCCAGAGGCCGATACATTATTTTTGCCTAAAACATCAGATACCAACGTACTGTTGATATTTACTTTCATTTTTGATGTGCCGGAAGGTTGAAAATGGCGCACAATTTTTGGAGACCACATTGGTCTCACACGGCTCCTCAGTCGACCATTTTGTTCAGGCGGCTGCGCGAGACCAACGTGTCACTACGCTATGCGCATGTCTGCATGTTGAGAATTGTAGCGGGGGACCGGCAGACCGGCTCAACTTGTCTTGTGATGCTGCAAAACTCACATCATGTCCTCGTACGAGAAAGAACAAAAGTAATTGACGAAGTTATGTCAGGAGGTGTTGTCCGATGATGACGAAAACTGAAGCAATCAAGATGGAGAATCACTGTTTGGGGACGTGTATCTTTCTGATGAATATCAATGTGAGTCATCAGTAGATTCTTCGTCATCGTTGAAGAATGAAGATTCCGAACAACCGAGGAAACGTCCCAAAATCAAAAAGAGAGTCGGTGCTAGAATAATTCAAACATTCAGAAATAATATACCGTCGACTAGTGCAGTTTCTAACAGTAGGTATATTGTTCAATTAATGATATTTATTTCATTCTTAGAATATTCTGAACGATTTTGTTACATATTCATGATAAAAAAAAGATTACTAACATTTCCTAGCCACGTACTACCAATTGGGTCTCTCATATCAACAGGCCAAAATATGTCTCTGGACCACCAGGCCGCGCTGTTTCGAACGCCATTTAGTCCATAATGCTGCGAGAGATCGCTGTGGAGATATGCAGCCAAATCAGTTGTGGATATATGCGAGACCATATTGGTCTCACGCGGCCACAAAGTCAGAAGTATGCGCGAGACCATGTTGGACTCTCACGGCACTCAACCTTTTTGTATGATTGTGTGAGTGTTATAGAGAATTTAAATAGAAATGATGGTAGAACAGCTACTTCATGCATAAATAAGCTGTTAGTTGAAATAAATTTTGTAGAAAATGAAAATATACTGGGTGTTTTATTCCAATTATCATAGTTGATGATGCTTCCGGTCAAACACGAAAAAATAGTCAAATGTAAGTAATCAAAATTTACAAATACAACAACGATTGGAGTTTCATAAAAAATGGCCTCTCGGTTTAGATTCAGATTCAAACAATGGGCTGTTACAATACAATGCGTTTTTTTTTCCTTTTGATTAGGTTGATAAACTAAGGATTCAAGCAGCAGAACAAGCAGAAATGGTGAAAGCACAAGAAACCGAATTGAACACAAAAAAAGAACAACTAGAAGGTCTTCGCATAGAAGAGCAACGTTTGGAGAAACAGAAAGCTGATAGCATAAAAAAGCTGGAAAATTTGAATTCCAATTTACAAGAAACCCAAATCAGTATTAGCCAGGTACTGCTATCAATTTTTTTATTCAATATCTCAATGAGTGGAAATCAATAATAAATTAACAATTTTAAATTGATATTCATTACTGAATGCAAAAAAAATTGTGGGTATTTTTGAGTACCTATTCAAAATTTCATTTATATTTCAGGCGAAGGCGTTGATAACTCAATTACAAGAACAGACGAGGCAGATGAATGATGCGATTTCCGCTTGCGATATGGCTATTGAATCTGGAGACACATCTCAAGTTGCTGATGCTACACTAAAGATCAAGCCGGAATTCAGAGATTCGGAATACAAGAAAATGATTTACATCAATGACGATAGCAAACGACAGGTAATTGTAGTTTCTTCCTCAATGTCAATTCGAAGTTCACTTCATTTTTCAGAACGGATTCAACGATGATCCGTTTGGCTGTCCAAACGGCCACACCACTGGCTTCACGGATGATCCGTTTCAGAGCGGTACGTGTCCTTCTTACTGTTTTTTTTTTAACATTCGTTATTCCACATAGCGAGAATCAGTTTGAACAAGTTGAAAGTATACGAGCTATGATTTCAGTGAATGGTACTATCATAATTACTCAAGTTTTTAACTATAGCTCATTGAAATACAGTTACTCAACATCATAAAGTTAGTGCAAGACCATTTGAGTACATCCTTATGTTAAACTTTAGTGATTTGTTCAATTAGTCGCCTTCATTGAGTTATAATCGGCTGCATTATGCATTTATTCAATTCAAATTCGATTATAAATTCGATGATTATTGATTTTATTTATTCAAGTAAGATAATACAAAATACCCATTCCATGGAATGCATAAGTCATCTGTCATCTACATGACATGAAATGCATAATAATTATGAAGTAGTATATTGTGCTAAAAGTGAGGAATATTATTTATTTTAACTAGATTTCAAAGCATGAATGAAAACTATCTTAAAATTTGAGAAATTTTTGATGACAGTTGTTACAACTATTTGAAGCTGAACAGCAGCCAGCTAAGTTCTTGTCGATTATTGTTAATTATCCATATAGATGAATGAGGTGTGGACAAAGCCGTGAGAAAAATATTTTGGAAGTAAGTTAGCTATGAGAAATACATTACTAACTGTTCATAGCAGTTGTAGAAAAGTGAAGTTATAATGTACCTGCGTTCTTCTCAAAAAAAATTCTTTCCTGTGAATGGATGAACAAAAAATTAAAAGCTCATCTTCAACCCCACCAGTGCCATATGCTTCAAGATATCCAGATAACTTATCATTTTAGTTCAGTGCAAATGTCATACGGGTCCATGTCAGTTACTCATTCAATTTCACAAATCAGTTTTGAAATAAATTCTCTTGAAATGTCTTCATAATAGATATCATTCAAATTGATGCAATAGATTATAACTTTTGAATAACACTTCAAAAAAATGAAATACTGTAAAAAATGTGCATCTAACCTAACCAAACCATCAATTCATTCGTCTCTTCTCTCTGGCTACTCTTCTATCCTGCTTCTCTTTCCTCCCAATTCAAAATGGAATAATGTACTGGAAATTGGAATTTAAATAATCAACATTCAGTGAGTGGATGAGATGACATTGCAAGAGGCGGATTGTCTATTGAAATGATCCGAGAGCATAACGTAAGATGACATGTTCCCATGGTCCACAGATTCTCCTACTCCTAGCAATAATTAATGTGTCGACTTACTCATTATAACGTTAGAAAAGAAAATATTCGACTTTTTCGTTCATTCAATATTTGTTACACTGAATAACTCACTGAAATCATGGTTTAATTAATATTGGTGTATGTGAAACAATTCGATATTTCAGGTGCATTCCCCAATGAACCATTCAAAGCTGAATTTCCAGATGTAAGTGTAACTAGTTGAAATCGTTCATTGTTCCTTACCCAACCTTTCATTCCAGAACGGTTTCGGCTCCGATCTATTTGAAGGATCATTTTCTTCAACGACACGACCAAATGATCCGTTCAGTGCTTTCGGCGATTCATCTAATGCTACAGAAAATCCCTCTACAATAGAGGTGAGTACCAATTCAAGAAGTTGTCATACTATTATCATTATTTTTTATTTATTTATCAAACATCTTCCAGTCAGAACAAGTTCTGGTATGAGGAAGAACATAATTATAAAATAATAAGTAATAAACTATAACTACTAAGCAAACACGAGTAGAAGTGACCATGAATAATAAATCATAATAAATCAGGATATCACAATAAAACAAAACAATCATTGAACAAAGAAAAGCATTCTAGTCTATTGTGAAATGTTTTTATAGTATCTGGACTTTTAAATTGATTTAAGTTAGGGAAGGATTTAGGGTTAAGATCTGCTCTGACTATTTCTAATACAATGGGCCATCAATTTAACGTATAAAAAAATAATGAAAACGCAAAAATAAACAAGCGTGTTCAAATGATCAGACATTCAAGACTTTCACCCAATCAAGGGGTTCAAACTTGAACGATGGAAACTTGTTATTTTTATACACCTCAATCGCAGATTCGTGATTAGGTTTTTCCCAATTCAGAATTTCTTTCCACGTCGTGTATGATGAATGCCAATTTATCATACATCCAAAAAAAAAAGTAGTCCATTTGCCTATTGCCTTTGACGACGAAGAAAATATCGATTGAAAATTTCGCCAGGCCAACAGCGAAGACAAGGACCCGTTCGGTTGCGACCCGTTCGCCGTCTTGCACGCCCCCCCGCGGGCAGCTTCGACGGCCCCCGGCCGCCCCGCCAGCCCCAGCCCCGCGCTGCCCCCCAAAAAGAGCAAGAACCCGCCGCCGCGACCCGCCCCGCCGCGCCCCCTCGCGCCGCCCAATGCGAGGAAGCAGGCGCAGGACGCGTTCGACGCGGAGCCGTTCGGGGGTAGCGGTGGGGGGTTTGCCGATTTCGCCGATTTTGACGCTAAGGTAGGTTATTTGGTTGTGGAGATGAGATGATTCATAGACACCCTTCCCAGTTCCCCCTCCACGAATAGGATGAAATCTCCCATAGTGACGTCCAGAACAAATAACAGTCACTGGCATATACTAGGGTGCCTTGATGGAAATTGACGTTAAAGTCATCTTAACAGGGTACGGATAGGGTCCTTTTATGGAAATTGACGTTAAAGTCATCTGAACAGGGTACGGACAGATCCTCGTCTCCTCTCACTCTAAAGTGTTCGTGAAACAGTTATATAGTTCCATCCTTATTCAATTCTGGGAATAATAAACACTAGATTTTTGACATTCGTTGTTTTTTTGGTTATATTTTCACTGGCGTATCATACGTAATTTCCATATAGAATTCCTGATTCAACTGTACCAAGATATAGATGAACAATCAATCCTCTAGTTTTAGAGTATACTACTCCAGCATAATCTTTTCGAGGTAGTGAACATTTAAATTGTACTTGAAGCTTAATATATTTCACCAAAAGAGACCGTTCTTAGACTGTATACCAGGGTTGACTGAACTGACTGAATGAATTCTGATTTCAAGCTGAGCAGTAGTTTATCTATGAGCTGACTGAGCTGAGCCATGATTGAGAAATGGTGGACACCTCGATGTGGGTATCTAAACTACTGTACTCATGTTATGTGTGCTAAATATATTTTCGGAAATCCAACTCCGAGAAGAATTTATGGAGTGACTAATATCACACTATGTAAAAAACTTCGTCTAGGACGAAAAGTAGGCTGATAAAAAGTAATACGTAAAATATGCAGGAAAACGAAGAATAGAATGTACTTTATACATGTTATTCATATGATTTTTCCATCTCCCTAAAAATAAAAAGTCATTTTCGAATAATTTATTGATGAAAGTAACAAAGAAGTACGTATGCGCAGTATAACTTGTAGGCACGTTATTTTCACTCTTGCATCCTACATATTTTCTATTTGTGGTGAAGTAATAATCATATAAACTAATGTCTTTCGCCATATTGGATCCGTCATCTTGAATTTTCCAATTTTGACTAAATAATCATTATCTCCTACCTCGAAAACACCCAGATACCAATTTTTGAATAGAATCGGATCTTCATTACAAAACTTCCACCATATTGGATCCGCCATCTTGAATTTTGACGAAATAATTATAATCTCCGACCCCGGAAATCCCCAGATACCAATTTTGATTTTTGAATAGAATCGGATCATAATTAAAAAATTCGTTCGCCATATTGGATCCGCTTGAATTTCCCAATTTCGACAAAAAATCATAAAGTTCGACCCCGAAAACCCTCAGATACCAATCTTAAATAGAATCAGTTCATAATTAGAAATTTCTTTCACTATATATTGGATCCGTCATCTCGAATTTTCCAAATTGACGAAACAATCATTATCTCCAACCCCGGAAAACCCCAGATATCTTCCAATTTTGAATAGAATCGGATCATTACAAAACTCGTTCGCGGGATTCTGGATGTTTCAGCCTTAATGGATGCCGCTGAGCTCCAAAATACACCTATTTCCCCTCTACATTCAAAAAAAAATCGTGAAAATCGCTCCATAAATAATTAATTTATGATGGTGGCCCGTTTTCAAATGGGCCACTCTGTATAACATAACTTCGCTAACTATATTTGAAACATGATTGAATATTGATGATGCATTTCTGAAACTGATTCCACCATTTCACGAGAAAATAAAAAATATAATCTGCACATCACATGAACAACAACAAAAGGAATAATGGCGGCACAAAAATACTGACAGCTGACTGGAAAACTCGACATTATCTATCTAATTGCCATCTATCGGATGGGAAGCTTCACTATTTCAGTCGGCCATGACAGTTTCGGTACGGGACATATGAGATTTCATTCTATTTGAGTGGGGTTTGCTATGGAGATGATGTTATGATTCTGCTAGCACGGATTGTAACTGGTAGATAGGAAGTTGACTCTGATTCGGTTGAAAAGTTGGATATGGGAGACGTTGTTTTGAGCTTCCCCATTTTTTGTCCGAGATGTCCGCGAAAAGGAGGTCAATTAGTTAACCATATTCTCTTTGAACAAAAAATTTACTTTTCTTTTTTATTTTGGGCTCCCATGTTTGATGAATAAGTCTTCGTCATTTTAAATGAAAACCTATTTAGTCGGCGAGAGGTATACTAAACATTGTCTGTTCATTGAACCAAAACTTGTCTACCTGTCAATGGCGCTAGTTCACTGAAAACATCGAGATTTCAGCAGCATATATGTCAAATTGAAGAATTTTAGGTTGGAAGTTTTTTAAACGTCACCGCATTATCTGATTTCAAGTTAGTTGTTGGTTTGTTGTTTCTTTGATTTTTGTGTTCCATTTTGCACTTCTACAAGAGGTGAATTTGAGGCTACATGCAATGACTTTCAACATCAGGTAAGAGTTTCTCCTTGAACTACATAGGTATTATTTATTTCATAATAATGAATCCTGGAATAAAGATTGTCTAGTGAGCTATGGCAATAGTATAAAAGTAAATAAGAAGTTCCTACGTTTCTATTCTTAGCTTGCATGCCATATTTTCGATAAAATGTTTTATCACAGCACTGATGAGTTGATGAGTTTCCAGATCCTACTTTTGAATTCAAATTAAATGAATTGAGAATTTTATTATCGCATAAACAACAGTTTCTTCTTCATGAATCCTGATATCCTTATTTGGGAAAACAATTTTGATTATAAACTTGACTGATAAGTGGATCTTGGCAGGAATTTGAATTTAGGGTTGGGATAACAAATGAAAAACTTAGTTCACTAGCTTAGTGAAAATGTAGTTATTAAAGAAGATTTTCGCATTTTTTTTCCAATGAACAGACAAACTAGGTTTTCATTTAAACGACAATGACTCAACACAATAGGCCTTTTCATTTAGATGACAAATGACTATCACTGTTTACATCTCGCATCCAACGACAGTGGCGGCTATTTTCACCGAAACACTTACACCACAGTACCACACTCCTCAGTAACGAATAAGTAACGTTTTTTGAAATTAAATTATCATAATACAATTAATACACACCAGGAATATAAAAACAAAAATACTATGTTGTTATTGTTGTTTCTCAATGACGAATGCCCATGGTGGTTGACACTGTTGACATTTGACAGAACGACAATAATACCCGCCATATTCGAAATGGCCAATCAGCATTTTGTGTTGGAACTATAGCCAATGAGACTTCACCTTCGCATTACCCAATGAATTTTTGGATCTAATAACGAGCGCATGCGTCTTAAAAATATATCTAGATGAAAAGGCCTATTAGAAAGTAAAATTCATCTGATGATGAGTTAGCTTCCTGACTGATAGTGATGTGATGCTAGATTATGTCTGATTGTAGTGTTCGCACCGTAGCTTCCTGATCGATTACACCCAGTTGTCCTTTCCCTCCCTGAACGATCCCGTCTTCACCCAGTTCATATATGGTTTCCCCAAGTTCGCTATGGTATGCAAATTTTATTTGTTCAATTTATTAGGTATGTGATACATTTTATTACTGATGTTTGTCGTTGCTGAATAGCAGTGGTGGAGATCATGCCATGAATACTTCAATAACAATATTATTGCGAGACTATGATGATATATTTCCGATAAATAGTCATATGTAATTTGGAATCAGAATACCTTTTTTAAATTGAATCGCATCATCGGATAATCTCTACCAGAAGGAAGACAAGTCTAAAACAGGCATACATTTTGACTGAGTTACAAAAAATAATCTGAGGCCGCTGGCATTTGTTACTGAAATTAGTGCGATTGATGAGATTAAAATCATTTCCTCTATTTGGCATGGGTCCGTGAATATCTAACTCTTTTATTTTGAGGTTAGAAATAGTCTTCATCTACTTGACAGAGGAAAAGATATATTTCTCTATCAACGGTAGTTGAATTTCTCTTCAGAGCACTGTCAGTAACGTCATAGGATGTAAGATTTATTGGTTGAATACCTGATCAAGTGGACAGGTAACTTTCCTGTAAATTTCCCATTATAATACAATACCTGGGGTATTTATCTCTTGACAGATTTGTTAATTCATCCATTGTGAATACTGTGAGGAAAGTGAGTGAATCCAAAGAGGAGTTGAAATGTTTAATTTCTCAATTTGAAATGACATGATTCACATTGAGATCAGCTCTGATATAACTAATATATCTCTTGATTATTACCCATCAGAAATTCAGTTAGCAGCAGTTAATACACATTAACATACTCCCGATCGGCTGATAAAAACGATGAGTTCATGTAGGCGCGCCATTTAATGCCATTTTGTGACGTTAGATGACAGTTTGCTATTCAAGTACCACTAGTGTTGATGTCTTCATGCTGTAAAAAAAATGTGCCAAGATGATTATCAAATTTTTCCTTTTTGATATAAAGGTCATTTTAAACATTATACTAGCACACTATTATACCAGCTGTCGATACTCGTTTATTCACCCACAGAAATGAATATGTCCATCAATAATAATTGTTACTGAAATGCCTCAACATTGTATTGAGCCTTTGTGCTCCATAAGCTCACTTTTTATAGAGTTAACATGCATTCTTATGTCATTATTCAACGTATCAGTTGTTGATATATTTCATTTTTTAGCACATTCTTTGTTTTCACTGGAAGGCCGCACCTGCATGTCGATGTAGTAGCAAGTATACTTGTTCAATGCCTTAACTTGAAGTTTACAGGCGCAGCTCCAAAACGACCCCTACTAACACTCTTTCCACCGCAATTTCAGCCTTAATAATCTCCATGTATCCTCTTCAGTTCTCCGATAAGACCACCTCTAAGGTCCAAGCACAATCTTCCAAAGGTCTAGAGTTCACAGACGACCCCTTCCGAGATTACCGATACGCGGACCCGTTCGACTTCAGCTTCGACGACGAGCCCGAAAAACCAGCCGACTCCACAGACTCAAAGTTCGATCCGTTCGGATTGGAAGGCAGGCAGTCCGTGCCCCTGCCGGCGACCGATCCGTTCGTCGCGAGCGGTAGGGCTTCGGCGCCTATCAGTGGAGCCCTGAACGAAGACCAGCAGCTCGCGTGGGCTGCGAGAGAGAGCCTCCGGTTCGAGGAGGATCGACAGCTGAGACAGGTTCAAGAACAGGCAGATTTGGAGTTGGCGATCAGTTTGAGTAAAGCTGAAAGCGGCAAGGTTTGATGATGCCGAGCAAAAGGTGATCTTGTTTTTGATAGGACGTTTGTGGGAGGTGGAGAGGGGTCGGAATGAGAACTCACCGTTTGTATTGCTCACCAGGTGGCGCTACTGAAACTCAAGATATACTTCTTCTTTCAGTCTCTTCGTTACAGTACAAGTTAGGTTATCTTCTTATTTGCTAATGTGAAGAATACGATTGGCTTATTCCAAACCACTGACATAACAACTATCTAGACCGCTATATGTCATATTATCTCAGCCACTCGAAAATCTTGGGTAAATTGCTCGCCTGAAAATGCTTCTGCTCAATGCGCAAGAACCCTCAAACTGTCGTTCGTGCAGGCGAGAAATGCTTCTTGGTGTTCGGAAACATGAATAAGAGTAAGATAATATATGACAGGTCGTTAATGCGTCTAGATAGTAGTTTATGTAGGTATTCCAAACTCGCGATCTGTCATGGAAAATTTATAGGTTGAGTAACTTATTTCATATGGTACAAAAAATACAACCTGATTCGATAATCACCTGCTTATATAATTTTTTGGTTGAAAAAATGTAAAAGACAGGGGCCTTATTATTGAATCAAGGGAACTAGTCCGCCGAAAGAAGAGGCGTGTCCCTCACTTTAGTAACAAATTATTTCGTTCCCCGCTGCTTCTCTCGATAGATAGCAAGAGAAACAGGTACTCTGTTCCGTCTCCTCTCGTAATCCACCGAAAGAAGCAATGGAAAGTGACATTGTGAACATTTTATACCAAGCATTCCCTCGATTCAAAAATAAGGCTTCTGGTCAATCCAGCAATACTTACTTGGGAATTTTCGATCTTAACAGATACCTCATGCTCAATGGCGCCTACTGGTGGAAGTGAAGATATTTACTCTCATTTGATGGCAACGACTCACCATTGCTGTCTTCATTTTATATAATTTCTTTGAAGGTCAGTGGCAAACAGTTTTGTGATTCTGGTCACTCTTACAATGTTCCGTTCGGATGAATTGTATCAGTAAAATCGAAACTCTTAACATGAAGAATGTTAGGGAAAAAGTCTTCTGAAGGGTTTCTCAAAATGAAAATTTTACTGAGAATAATCCGTTTTCAAAATAATGTTTGACATTCGACAAATCCAGAGAAGTCTTGACAGTTGACAAAGATTAACTTTTGCATTGTCATTCTGGTTTATTTCTTTGCATTTTCAGTCTCGTTTTATTGGGTATAGGAAGGGGTAAGGTTGGAGGCTCAATAAAACGCAAGGTAACAATCCAAAACGATTTCATCGAATCTGTAATCAAACATCGAATTATTGCGATTCAAAAGAGTCAATTCCAAACACAATAAAGTGTAGGTTTTTCCACTGGTATCACTTATTAAATGAACATATCCATTATACAGAAATGGTTGACTTATCCAGAATTTGAGATTATTGCCTACTTTTCACTGTCATGATTTTTTCCTAGTTTTGTTGAATATGAAACATTCAGTTCTCTTCGAGTGACCTAAGCGATATCAAAAAACGTTTTTGAACGTGACGTTACTGATTTTGATGGATTGTGGTGTATATGAAGGCAGTAAAATGCCTATTGCCTTACGCGAAAAGGGTTATCGTTCAGGCCGCTCTGGCCAAGGCAAGATGATTTCGAGGTTGTGAAAACGCAGTGTTCATGTAACTGCCGCGAAACATTATTTTGTTGGACTCAGTTGAGACTTCAAACTGCTTGTTTACGTCCGGTTGCATAAAAAATTATAGAATTCGCAATAATAAATAAAAAGATTTAGCTCACGACAGATGTAGCGAGTAGGAACGATGGTGTCAATATTATGGCACCAATGTGGCAAATTTGCAGACTAACCGGTAGGCTAAATGGCGGACCATTATTCCGAAAGTGCTTGCATCTGTCGTGTTGTTCGCGACTTGGAGAAAAATATTGAAGCCTCAATCAGTACGCTGGTGTACACAGTGGACTCGGTTCATCATTAGGAAAAGAAATAGGTTAATAATAAGAAGAAAAAGATTTGAAAAGATCCTAGGAACTCTGGAGTTGACAAGCCTCGAAATTCATTTATTCACCATATTTTTCTAATACAAAGACAATGTGTACCATAACATCTCAAGCCGTGCTCCTTACAATGAGAAATCTCCGAGGTGAACCCAGTTGGGCTAGGGGTGATTTCAGAAAGATGGCACTGATGAAAATTGTTAGGTTGAGAAGGGAAAATAAAAAACAAAAATTCTCTTCCGAATTCCGTCGCTCTGGACCGCGTTCTCTATCTACATATATACATAAGGCACGCCCCGAAATGTTGACAAGCCATTGTTTTGCTCACTGAGCTACAGAAGTCACGAATTATATTGTTATATGGAAATAATTCTGCCGAAAGTCATGTCTACAATGTAGAATTCAGATTCCCTTTTGAAAATGGACTATTTCCTTCATTTCAGTTGACAACTTGTCTAGTTTATAATCTTGAGTATTACTGGTATTGATGTCCTGAGCTGTGTAATAATAAATAGTAGGAAATAATGATGTTACTTGAACTAAAACGTTCTACACCGGTATTCAATTTATTGAATGAGTTTATGGAGCATATTTGCACTGGAATCCGATGTATATTGAAATTATTTCTAGAAAAATGTCTGCCACAATTCGAACAGAAAATAAAAATGGAATAGGCTGTGTTAGGACACGTAAATGTTTGTCTTTGCCACGTTTCCTTGTAATGGTGCAAGTTCTATAGGGTCAATTTGGTTTCAGATAAAAGCTTGTTGTGCATTTCAACATGAAAATGGTTCATTCAAATATCATTATAAATAAAGGTCACAAAGTTATAGAAACCTAGTTGGAAAGCATATGAAAATGTGTTCACTAAATTCAAGAAGATGAGCTTGGACTTTCTTTTTTATTATGCCCATGTATCATCATTTTCGTGAGCTTGAAACATATCAATTAGTTGAATTCGCCAATGTTCCCACACTTTTTATTATGGTTTTCAATTCATAGTCTTGTTAGACAAAATACTCTTATGTCATAATGTCATAATTATGATCTAAACTCGTTATACTCTTCTACAAAATGATGAATGCTTGATCCATAATGTTGAGAACAATTATTCTTATGTGGTTTTTACTTTACAATTTTTGCATACTTCTGATATTAAATAAGCTTGATAATTTATTTTATTTATTATAAGTAGGTCACTGATTGATTGTCCGAATAATCTGTTTGAGAAGTAATATGTTTTTATTACACAAGTGACGTAGTGAGTGTTCACTCTTAGGTTGATATTTTCTAATTCAGGATACCAAGAGAATAAATATATATTTTATGTTAGTAACTTTTGACTGTATGTAGAATGTTTCTTTTGTATATTATTAGTTATGTAAATATTTTGTAAACTTGAATATATTCGTTATTGTTTTTGTGTTAAACTCATTTGTTACATCTTAACGAAAAATCTTCCATTTTATGTAAGCATTTGTTACTGAATAAAGTTATCTTCACCACGTTAATTCCCAGAAGTCGTTGCAGTGAATCTAAATTTCCTTTGGTATACTTGTGGATATAATGCAACAATTTTAAATTCATCATTCAAGTAGTGAACACGTGATATTAATGGTCATGATATCGTGACTTGGGATTTGTAGGTTCCAGATGTGCCTAAATCGATAGATGTTTTGTTCTTTCCGTAAAAAATGCATAACCATGTTTTCGGGATCTCATTTGTTATCATTGTGAAGGTTATGTATAAGACAAATCTTTCATTTCAGGGAGTACTCCCAGTACTAAACTGGTCAACATTGATAACGTCGTGCACCAAAATATAGCCTGAATTCAGAGTAGAATAACTCACGAATTTCCTTACCAATTTGAAATCGGTTTTAACCGATGATTAGCCTAATATCTTGACAGTTTGTTGTGGTGATATGAAATTTCTGTAATTTCAGATAACATTGCTACAGGGTGATAATTGAATGGGTGTAAAATTGCATCGTGGTCGTCACCTTACCGTTTGAACAGAATAGCTTTGATAATCGAGTTATGAATATTCATTCAAAATGATGCATTTTTTCGACGATTAATTCAATAAAATTGGAATTCCTTTTGGAAGAATCAACCTTGTATGTATAGTCGTCGGATATGTGATCGTGTTTGAACACAGAAAATTCTGAAGAAGTCTGTACCTACAAAGTGATACAAGAAATACTGAATGATGGAATGGAGAATAACGAAGTCTTCAATAGATGAAACATAATTTTCTCTGTGTTACTAGTGAAATAATGGAGTGTAACTACGTCATGGAGATGTCTGGTGTCTGACCTCGAAATGGTTTTGTAATTTCTTGGATCGAAGGTCATATAATGAAGGTACGCATTTTTAATCAAAATGATGCATTTTCGTTGAGATAAATTATAAAACTCAAAAAAATTACGATTGTGGTTCCAGAAGTATGAAATTTATATTCATTCTAGACGATGGATATACAAGGTGCCATAAAAAATATGTCCAGATGGTCCTGGGATGAGGAAGAATATTGAACGTGATGAAAATCGCTATGTTCCGAAAAAGAAATATAGTGTCGTTCATTGTCGAAAATTATGAAATGTATAAATACAGAATTTTTTCATGTGGTTCATTCCAGGTAACATGAAAGATACTTCACATATATTGGAATGAAAGTCAACCCAATAAATCTATAGCAGCAGGTGAGATATTATAAATTCCTTATGAATCGCCCTGTGAAAAAGATGATGCAGAAATGAACATTCAAAAGTTATTCTATCTCTATTGAACTTAACACTGAATGACTATGAGGAAATTGTCCTTCTGAAGACCATATATATTATAGGTGCTAGAGGTTAGTATAAGATGCAATGGTAGTATCTTTCATATTTCCTCGTATAAACCTCATGAGAAGTTACTGTATTTATACATTTCACAATTTTCGACAATGACCGAAACTTTATTTCTTTTTCGGAACACAGCGATTTTCATCACGTTTAAGTTTCATCATTGGTGTAAAAAATATTAATATGGAAGAAAGTTGAAATTAACAACCCCCATCTGGGACGCGGCGTGACTGGTTGAAATTAGAGTCCCTGTATATAACTTAGACAAGAGTCCGGACACAGCTATACTTCTGTCCTTTTCTGTTTTCAAAAAATGCATTGATGATTGAATAAAGGAATACGACATATATATCGAGCTCTGTCTTTTCAATTCCCCTAGTATCAATGATGTCAGAAACAATTTTGAGGGTTAGATTATTTGTCAAACCGTTCATAGCCGTAGGTAGAAGTGAGAAATAGGGCTATTGTAACTAGAATAACTATTAGATTTTCGAATAATGAACAACAGGGTGTTCAAATTTCGAATCGATAATTTTCATAATCAATTCCTGAGATGGCTATTGCAAATTTTTGTCATCAGATATTTCTTCACTTCATTAGATATAAGAAAGATAATTTAAGTGTTCTACGAGGTATCACATATAGCCAAGAAAATATAGTTGTTTTCTGTTGGGATAAAAAAAATAGAAGATATATAATCGTTTCAATATAATTTTATCCGATTCTCTCAATTTAATAACACTCATCAGAAATAAAAGTGACAAAATCAAAACAACAATATATTTGATAGCGAGTGCTTTATTAATTGTGTTTCCCATCTCCTCCTGCAGTCTACATTCACCTGTACATTTTGAATTTGATCTGAATTAATAACACCGTGGACTGATGATATAGCACATTGCAGTTTCCCTAAGTCTTCTTTTTTGATTTCAAACTTTCAATTTCTTTCCGCATCATCTCATTCTCATTTTCTTTCTCTGCGAACGTATCATTCAGTAATTCCCAATACGATGAAGACGGGACTCTTTTTTTGGACGTCTCTATTTCATAAATTGACGGCACAGCAGACTCTTTCAATTTGAAATCCATCAGCTTGAAAAAATCTTTATCAAAATGGGCCTGAAATTCATCCTTTTCGTACTGTTTTCACAAGTAAATTTGAATATTTACCTCACATATTGATGCGGATTTCTTGAAATTAATTTTCCATTCTGGACGTTTCATTGCATTCTTCCATGACATTATCTTTAAAGGATCATTCGGAGAATTGAATAACTTGAATCCCTTTTCGAATGAATTATCACAATAATTCACGCAGCAGGACATTGAAATAATTTAAAATGCTAAATTTTGGCGGTCATAAAATTTCGAAGTGACAGTGACAGACATTCGGAATAATTAAAAAAAGCGAGCGGGGCGACTATGGTGTTTCGTCACATTGTCAGGTGGGCAAACCAAATGAAACAAAATATTAAAAACCCCAACGGCTGTCAGCTTTGTGTCCGGACTCTTGTCTAAGTTATATACAGGGACTCTAGTTGAAATGAGCGAAGTAACTAAAATGGTCACCAATTTTATAGGGTTATTTCTAAATAAAAACCTTTTTCATTTTTCGTAAACCAACCACTTGAGGACCTGTTATTGTTATTAGTTTGTTATTCACATTCACAGACATAATTATATAGAAATAGGTAAATAAAATACAGATTCTAGCACATCACAGGAGGAAGATTTTTTGCAATGATGATTTGCAAAATGGAATCAAATCTATGTTCCTAGTACTAGGGTCCCTCGATGGAAATTGACGTTGAAGTCATCTTAACAGGGTACGGACAGATCATAGCTGCATTCTTTTTTAATGATCTAGAGACTTTAGTTTTGTCTACTGGCATCCCTGACATTGCTGTCACGTCACATCCATGAGCGCTACAGAAAATCATTCAAAATTTCAATAATAGGTATGTACAGGGTATTTACTTGTTGAGGAAGATCATATGGCGAACAAGTTTTGTAATGAAGATCCGATACTATTCAAAATTGATATCTGGGGGTTTTCGGGGTAGGAGATAATGATTGTTTCGTCAAAATTGGAAAATCCAAGATGACGGATCCAATATGGCGAAATAATATAAGTTTATATAATTATTACTCTACCACATATAGAAAATATGTAGGATGCAAGAGTGAAAATAACGTGCCATGTTATACTGCGTATACCTACTTGTTTGTTACTTTCATCAAAAAATTATTTGAAAATGACTTTTTATCTAAGGGAGACGGAAGAATCATATGTATAACATGGGGGTGAAGTATATTCTATTCTTTATTTCCCTGCACATCTCACGTATTACTTTTTATCAGCCTACTTTTCGTCCTAGACGAAGTTTTATACATAGTGTGATATTAGTCACTCCATAAATTCTTCTTCGAGTTGGATTTCCGAAAATATATTTAGCACACATTACATGAGTATAGTAGTTTAGATACTCACATCGATGTTTTCACCATTTCTCAATCATAAGGCTCAGAGCTCATTCAGCTCATATAGATAAAGTACTACTCAGTTTGAAATTAGAATTCATTCAGTCAATTCAGTCAACCCTTGTATACGGGCTAAGAACAGTCTCTTTTGGTGAAATATATTGAGCTTTCAGTACAATTCATATGTTCCCTACCTCGCAAAAATTATGCTGGAGTAGTGAACTCTAAAACTAGAGGATTGTTCATCTATATTTTGGTATAGTTGAATCAGGAATTCCATATAGAAATTACGTATGATACGCCAGTGACCTCAATATAACCTAAAAAACAACAAATGTCAAAAATCTAGTGTTTATCCCCAGAAATGAATAAAGATGGAACTATATAACTGTTTCACAAACACTTTAGAGTGAGAGGAGACGAGGATCTGTCCGTACCCTGTAAAGATGACTTTAACGTCAATTTCCATCAAGGGACCCTACCTAGTACCTACACGCCTTTATGAAAAATTGATTATAAAAATTAAAAAGTTACAATGAGAAAAAAGTACACTACTCATTATTTGTTACTTTTTGCTAATATAAAATTTCCTCTGTTACAAATGAAAAATTCCACCTTTGAAACAGGTGTGGAGTGTGGACAGGGCGCAACAAGTAATTCGTGCCGAAACAAGTTTACAAAAAATTTCCGGCCGAGAGCTTCGCTCACGACTAAAAAGAAAATCATAGATATAGCTTATCACTATCAGCTCCAAGGGTAAATGCCTTCACAGATTTTTTTCGATCACTTAGTAAAAAAATGGAAGCAATCCTCATCACATCGATTATTTGTTCATTTGTTGAGATTTGCGTGCCATTTCCTGACGCATAGCTCGGCGTGACAGAGGACAGAGCCCAGGGTCAGAATACCAAACAGCGCGGCTACGGAGTACGGACAAAGAAATAAGAAGTGGAAATGACCTAACCCAAGAAGTGACTATGAAAATACCAAATACAACAAATTTTAAATTGTGGAAAAAAACAGTATTTTTGGTATATTTATCAAGAATTGAACGATAGAATGCTGAGTTAATAATATATGCAGATACATCGACTTATTTACTGCTTATCATGCTTTATTATTTCTCTCATCCACTAAAGGTAAGCACATTTTCCACTTTGTGAAATTGGTGGAAATTTCAGAGTTCTTGAATGAAAGGAAATGATTTTCCTAATAGATATAGAGACAAAATTACCGCAAAAAAGGTAACAACAAATACCATTTTTTTATTACCATAAAAATGGTGAGTGGTGACAAGGAGTTCATTCAATTTACATAGTGCTTCTTGCAAGTCAATTTTTCTTTCTATTATGTTAGAAATTTTAGAATACCAAATTTTATGGGATACGTTTTCATAGGTGCAAAATATAAACTCTAGGCTGAAGAAACAGTTGATAAGACTATTTGGTACCAAAACAACACAAGAAAATAAAAGGAAATCAACATCTGATGTCTACACATTTTTGAGAAAACCACACTTGGTACAAGTAGGACAATATATTCCTCCACAATATAAAGATGTTGTTAAATTTGAAAATGCTGAGCACTTTTATTTAATATGTCCAGAGGCAGCCAAACAAGTTGTATCACTTGTGTTACCTTCAGTTGACATGAGTGGGCACCAACTTATTGCTGAAACTAATGCTGGGTTAGGACTGATATCTACAGAACTGTTGGAAAATGGTGTTCAGAGAGTTAGAATGTATGAATCTTGTCCTGATTTTCGAAAAGAATTGATGGTAAAATTTTCACTCATTGGTTTTCAAGGCATTTTCATAGGAAGTGATTTTTTTACAGAATTTCAATGAAGTTTATCCTGGACGTATTGAGTTATTCACAAAAGATATATTCCAGTTGCCTAGATTTGCATATATTGATAACATGGATAATGCTAACAGAGTCCACTCACTGTTAAAAAATGTGCCAAAACGAGCATGGATTGATGGTAAATGTGATTATACCAGCTGAATCTTGACTAAAATAATAATTTTCAGAGCCCTCAATGACAATTATTGGGTTCATCTCCAGTTTGACTTTTATTAAGTATTTGATCAAATCATTGGCATTGCAAAGTGGTCCCATAAGCTATGGTAGAATACAATTGTTTGCATTCATGAAACATAAAGATTATGCAGTAAGACCTAAATACATTCCTATAATAACATGTTTGAGAGAGTTTTTGTAGATTTTGACTGCTGGACCTGAAGAAAACTTGAATGTTTATCAGGTTGTATCTATACTATTCAATATGTTGTTTGATTATGAACTGATTCAGAGATTTCCAAGGGACATATTCCTCCCATGGGAACATCATAGTAATAAACGTGTATATGTGGGTAAATAAAATTATCAATTTGAAATATCAGTGTGTATACAGGGTGATTCAGATTTTGAGGTACAAACTGAAATGGGTGATAGATCTCATTTTAATTGAAAAATATATTTACATGAGTCTGATCTGGATCATTAGCAGAGCTACAGAGGGTCAAATTTTGATTATTTTTATCTATTAATTGAAATATGAATGAACCGTTTTCTAGATGAAATAAGCATATCCCATTTGAAACATGTTAATTTCATCTATTCTTTTTTTCTATGGAATTTTATTCTTATACAGAATTCCTTAACAATATTGACAATGCTGAAAATTACAAAATATATGTATTGTGGACTGATAAAGCCACATTTACCAGATGTATGGTGGTAAATTATCATAATTCACACTTGAGGCTTAATTTGTTACCACCTAGTGCCCTTTGTGGACCATACATTTATATGGACAGAGTGAATGCCATATTATTTTTGAATTTATTCAATGATATTGAAATATATATTAGATACAACTGGATGGGGCTTAACCAGTGGCTTAACAGGAAATTTCCCCATTATTGTATTGGTAGGTTAAGAGAAACCTGACCTTCTACCTCTGGTGTATCCCCCATACTGATCCAGATTGGACACATGATCAAAAACATGTAAATTTCAGTACATTTCATTGCATTCTTAACGAATTTTGTCCAAGAATAAAATTCAAGCAAAATATTGGCAAAATCAGGCAAAACTAACATGTTATAGAAGGGATAATTATGCTTATTCATTTTGAAAGAAGTTTCTTTCTAGAAAATAATTGAAGAACGAGAAATCTTTTGAATTGAACCATCCAATGTATTTGGTAACTATGAAAAAGTTTGGGGGGAGGGGGATGAAGAAGCATCTACCCCCAAAACATTTCATCCTGTAGATTTTGAAAATCTTCAAAATGCTTCAGATGATTATCTTCTAGAAAGTATTGACCACACCCAATATCAAATTGATATCTCTTGAAGTGAGGGAGCTATTTCAAGTGATGAAAAAAAAACTTTGCCCCTTGTTGCTCCTATACTGATCCAGATAGGACCAATGTTTATATAAACTGTTATCAAAATATTGAGACCTATTACCCATTTCACCAGTTTGAACCTTAAAACCTGAATCACCCTGTATAATCAAGGCTCCTACTATATCATCAAATTTCAATTTGATTTCAGGTAAAAAACCACAATCATGATGAAATATATTTGGTGAAAGTAAATTACAAGAAAGATCTACCAGTTAAAATTGAACAACTGTTACCTCTTTATTTTTTCATCAGACAATTTTATGGCAAAGGCAATAAAAAAATAATACCAACAATAGAGTAAGATTACATGAAAGATGGAAGCTTTCAAAAAATTTGAGAAAACATTATGTTTGTTTAATTATTGCAGGAAATGGGTCCCAGATTGTGGAAGGAATATTATTGTTCCTACACTAGACCATGAGATGTATTTTGAAAATATAAATATCTTCACAAGATTCAGAGAACTGACACCTACCCAAATATTAAGTATTTTTATGTAAGTGAAAAAAATAATCTTGTATTGTGAAGAATAAAAAAAACTTGTATCTCCTTTTAGGGAAATGGTTAATAATCCTACTTATAAAGGTAGCCCTTTTACTGCTATGATAGAAAATTCATTGCTGAAGACTGAAACAGTGGAGACTTATATTGCAGATGCAACACTGGAGAGGAATTTTATAGAAGATATGGAGGAAAAGTTTGATTAATGTGATTTTAATTATAAGAAAAATCTGTAGAAAAAGCAAATCCTTGAAGCAAACATCAATAAATTTTGTGAGGTGGAACTAAAATGAAATAGAATATTAAATTAAATATTACTGTTTTATTAGTTACTTATACTGGGACATAATATTTTCAGGTTCAAGATTTTATTGTGGATTCATCAAAGTATTTGTTGAATTTTTTCCATTGAAACCTCTTCTTTGGATCCTTTTTGCTATTTGCTGGATTCAAATTGGGCATCAAGCCTACAGGTATAAGAAAAAAATATTAAAGCTAGGGTAATTTACCTTGACACTATGTTATGACTGAGATTAGAGGAAAATCCTTGGACATTAACATTTGTTAGTTTTTTCAGGATAGAGTGTACTTGGTATATGTATATTTAAATATGGACATATCATGTTAGGTACTCACCAGCTTTCTGTGCCATAGTGACTAGTGAAGACATTCTCTTCTGCTGTGTCCTACACAAACCTGTTATCCTTCTTGGTAACATACATCCATCAGAACGTACAAACTGACTGATTATCAATATATCTGTGTGCTTCACATCAAGACCAGAAGCACATAGGGGACATGCCTGTGGGTGAGTGTTTTTCAATAAAATGTTTGCTCTTTCAGATGGCACTATTTCACCATAAATTACTAGTTCCTTCTCATTTTGGACTTCCCTTACTGAAAAATTGTTTGTTGACAGGTCAAATTGAAACTAGAACTGGTTACTGGTTCACTTACTTTCCTTCAACTGCAATCTGGGAAATATCCTCATACTCCTTATTGGGAATTTAGACTGGAAAAGAACATTTCTGAGGATTCCCAAAGGTACAATCATATTCATATTCAATAACATTCAATACTTTTCTGACTACTTGCTTTTGCATCACTCCAGTCCAAACTGTTCAAAGCCCCCGATTGACCTTTTCAGGTTAGGATAGTTTCTATAGTCTTCTTTTCTTTTATTGTAGTCGTTTCCAGACGTAGCTGAGTAAATCGAAGGCCTTTTGTGCTTTTGCTACTCCTACTGTTACTGGCCTGTAACGACATCGTTTCCTCAAGCTAAACAATGTTTGTGAGAAGACCACTAAAAAAGGAAGCGGAAGAGTAAGGTTATCAAATTCCAAACAGTTCTAAAATCTAAACATTCCTACCTAACCCAGAGTGGAAGAGTGAAAAATGTTCTTAAAGCACCCCTTGACCCCTTAATCCTTGGCCCTTATCACAAATTATCTGAACTTATCTAGGTACCTCAATAAACCAGAGAGTAAACCTGTTCAAACTACTAAAAAAGCCTTGTTCACCAGAGGTCAAGAAGTTTATAAGTATATTATTATTGCTTTGTTCTTTCCTGTTACCTCCTGCAGATATTGCATCATTTTTAAAATGGATTCTGATGAAAATATACATCGACTAGAAGGTAGTATCTCCACCAAAGGGGGTTTGATTATTAAGAAAAAGCCAACCTCACCCTCATTGGCTTCCTTTAAGGTACCTCAAACTTCTTTATTAGGGCTGGACAAACTAGCAGTTCAAAAGCGGAAGGAAAAGGAAATGGCCCGCAAAATGTCATTTGATATAGAGGAAAAGGATTCTGAAATTTCAGATAATGATGAAATAGTATTAAAGAACAGTCCTGATGAAAAAAGTGCAGAAACTCGTAAATTCAGGAATCCACAAGAAGAAACTCCTACTTATACAGGAGGAATCACAAAAGAAGCTAGAGATCGCTTAATTGAAAGACTGTCATCTAACAGGTTGAAAGAAAAAGGTGTTTATGCAACTACAAGAAATAAGGATCATTATGATACACCTGATAGACGCAAATCCCATAAAAGAAGGAGAAGTGACCATCATACTGATAGACATAGAAGGAATGAAAGTGGAAGAGACTATGAAAGAAGTGAGCACAGTGACTTGAGAAAAGACAAGACACCCAAATTCAGGGATGAACCAAAAACACCAAATATATACACAAAAGACAGCACTTCAAAGAGTTCTTGGGATGAAGATGACCCTTCACCATTAAAAAAATCTGCCTGGGATTATCCAACACCAAAAGTGGATAAACCAAGGAGTGAGTGGTCAGAAAGGAGTAACAGATCCTCTTCATCAAGTCATAGAAAACAACATGAGAGATATAAAATCAATGATGATACACCCAGACCTACTCCAGCTCACAAATTCAATGCTTGGATGAGAGATAGAAAGAAAACTGGTGCTACCCCCAGTACACGTGAAAAGGACTTGAAGTGGGATGCTACTACTGACAGACAAAACTGGGAAGAGGAACAGAAGCGTCTTGACAGAGAATGGTATAACATGGATGAGGGATATGATGATGAAAACAACCCATTTGCTGGGGTTAGTGAGGAATATACCAAGAAAAAAGAAGAACAGCTGGAACAGAGGAAGAAAAAACGGTTGTCTGCCCAGCAGAGGCAAATTAATAAGGATAATGAACTTTGGGAGAGGAATAGAATGTTGACATCAGGTGTTGTTCATTCAGTTGATTATAATGAAGATTTTGATGAAGAATCCATAGACAGAGTTCATCTCCTGGTCCACAACATAGTTCCTCCATTCTTGGATGGTAGAATTGTATTCACCAAGCAACCTGAACCTGTTATACCTGTAAGAGATCCAACATCTGACATGGCATTAGTTGCAAGAAAGGGGTCCCACCTTGTGAGGGTATTTAGAGAACAAAAGGAAAGGAGGAAAGCACAGAAAAAACACTGGGAATTGGGAGGGACTAAAATAGGAAATATCATGGGAATAAAAAAGAAAGAAGATGAGGAGGATACTAAGTTCAATAAGGAGGATGATACTGCTGATTATAAAATGGATCACAAGTTTGCTGAACATATGAAGGAAACAGGTATGAGTCATCCATTCAGAGCTATTTGTGAACCTGAAAGTTGAATTTTATATTTTAAAAGGGTATTGTTATCACCATAAAGTCCTTATTCAGTAACAAATATTAATGTACAAAATTACTCATGAGATTGCCCAGTGGGAAAAATTGAGCTAAGTTCAAAATGCTTATACAGTACCTTTAAAAAATATTAAATTCAAATACTTAAGGAAGGATACACCAATAAAAATATTTGCAACACAGGTTTTCAATAAATCCTCTAATGTATTATAGCAGATGAAACCTCCACATAACATTGATTCTTCTTTGATTTTTTCATTATTTCAACATAATATAAATGTCCTTTTGCAAACACATATTGTGTTATACATATTTCTCAACATATGTACAGGGTGATTCACCATAAATGTCCCCCCCTCTAGCTCACTTATTTTTGAACCAATTTAAAAATTTGAAAAATCATCTAAAATGATTTTTCAGAAATTTTTTCCCGTTGCATCAGAAAATACAGGGTGCTCGGACCAAACAATCTACAGAGTACTACTTGATTTTTTCAAATGGAACACCCTGTATTTTATTGTATTTTTATATTCTCCCTGAAGAGCTGATTTCATCAATGCATCACACTTGGGGTCTAGCGGGAATGATTACAGAGATATGGGGTGTTCAAAATCGAGATTTTTCAACTTTATGATTTTTTTGTGTCAAAACTATTCATTATTGGTCAAAACGGCTTTGATGTCCCTATCTCAACTTTTGATTTACTATCTACTGACATTCAATTTGGAACATATACAGTGTCCTTCAAGATTCACAATTCTGACCACCCTGTATCTGTTCCAATTGATAAATGTCAGTAGATAGTGAATCAAAAGAGAGATACGGACATGAAAGCCGTTTTGACCAATAATGAATAGTTTCAACACAAAAAAATCCTAAAGTTGAAAAATCTCGATTTTGAACACCCTATATCTCTGTAACCATTCCCGCTAGACCCCAAGTGTGATGCATTGATGAAATCAGCTCTTCAGGGAGAATATAAAAATACAATGAAATACAGGGTGTTCCATTTGAAAAAATCAAGTAGTACTCTGTAGATCGTTTGGTCCGAGCACCCTGTATTTTCTGATGCAACGGGAAAAAAATTTCTGAAAAATCATCTAAGATGATTTTTCAAATTTTCAAATCGGTTCAATAATAAGTGAGCTAAAGGGGGGGACATTTATGGTGAATCACCCTGTACATGAGTTCAATGACATATAATAAATTAGTTGGCACACTATCAAAAACCAGATTGAGCAGCTGCAGACTCATGTGTGTCAGTGTTATTGCACATTATTAGTACAACAATTTTGAAACATAAACAGAAAATACAAATAGGATAGTAGGGTCTGATATTGCCGAAAAAAAGCTCCCCTTTTGATGAAATGCTAAAAGTGTAAAACCTTTCCAACATCAAAAAGTACATCCTCAGTAATCAATTTTTGCTTGTTGGCATGTCCACATTTTGATTTTTTAGAAAATATTCCCATTTGAAAATTTGGCAAGAGTGCACCAAATAATCTGCTGTAATTTCCTGTAATTTCCATATTTTTTGTTATTTTCACTTCAAAATTCCACAGATTATGAAAGAATAAGTCCATTTTGAGAAGTGGCTGTCATAATTTGAAAACAATTACCTGAAAGTTACCGTTTCTTGTATTTAACTTTTTTTTTTTTTGACTTATTATTAATTGGAATATTAAGAAAACTGCATTGTGTGATATTGAAAACGGAATCTATCAATTCGCCATAGAAAATAACACGTCGCCTCGTCGCCCCACCTGACGGCAAAAGCTTTGAACACTTCTGAGCGGTATGTTTTGATAATATGACCAATAAGCACAAAGAGAAAACAAATGTGAACCAATGAAAACAAAGCAAACAGGTTACTTTGACAGCTTTCAAGATCTCTGATAGGTGGCGTACGCTTATTTTTTATCGGGAATACCAAACACGACTGTTTTGTCACCATATTATGAAAGATATCCAAAAAAACTCCCCCCATGCATAGAAATCGAATTAACAGGTAAGAGGGTCTACTCTCGAGTTTATTACTATATGAATGCGATCTATTCAATTTCAACATATATCTGACATATATTATTAATTGACTCAATCCCTCTCGCAAAACAGATGCCATTATCTGCTGTAAGGACTTATTTGAAAATTTTTGGAGAGATTGGTGATCAAAGGCAGACAATAGTCTCAAATTCATCTTCTCTTTGATCGTTATCAAGAAGCTTCCCCTCAAAAATTAAATGCGTTCAAAAAGGACCGAAAATAATGATACATATTTTCATGTTACCGATTCCACTTTCATAAAAAAAAACATCGGTTTGAAAACATGCCTTGCTAGTGTGAACACAAAGGCAGAATTGACAGAATATTCAGGCAAGACTAGAACATAGCAAAAGTGTCCAACTAGGAAAGATGGTCGTTAGTTTTGGTATTCACAGTCACTCCAATGTTGAGATTCCTGAAGAAATCGGAGAATATAAACATGAAGAAGCAGATATATTACTTATTCTCCATGCTGTATGTTTAATGAAACAATACGGAAAAATCATACGATTCACCATCCACAGTTCAGATACAGATCGTTCTGGTAGGTCTGTATGAAACTCTAACAACTGACGTATTGTTTTTGACAGAATCAAGGAAAGCCAGACGAGTTGTTGAAGTTGAATATATACATGAGGCAATTGGCGAAGAACACGCTCGTGCCTCAATTGGAAATGCATGTTTCAAATTGTTTTTGAAGTTAGAAGATGAGAAAATCCTCAGAGCACATGCATGGATATACCATTCCTGGTGATGACAATGAACATTTGGGGACATTTGCTTGTCTTCTTCACGAGTCCGGAAGTATATCTTATGTAGCAGACTTGAAAATCTTCTTGAGATAAAAATGTCTGGGAGAATTGTGAAACAAATATAATCAGTGTATGATTATAGGGCCAGGTTCATAGCTTCTTTTTGGCAAAGGAGTACCGAGAGTAGGTATCCCAGATTTGGCAAGTCCTCCAAACTGCTGCTGGGTGCTCAAAGAATTCCTGTATTAGCGGCTAGCGACACGGATTCCACTTTACTCTGAGACCTCCGCATGCGCATAACGTTGACCGCTCGGTGACCGCGTATAAAAATGTTTTGTACGTATTTCCCCAACAACTACAATGGCCAAGTGAGTTGCGTGCATGCTTATACCTGAGGCATTGCTTGCAACGGCTTAAAACGCCGGAAGCCAGTGGCGCCTTCAAGAGAATATGCAATCTGATAGAATTCATAATACGTGAGCTCCTACTCCTCCTGAAGAGCCAATTTGGAGAGTCTGGACCCTCGTGACAATACTTTATGGAAAATGACCAAACGACTTGAAGAACAATTCACTCCTATACCCACCTTGGAGTATGGTCACGAGGAAGCGGTATCGGCCGGAGAAGGCGGTAGTGTTTGGGAAACACTTTCAAAATATTTCAAAAATAGACAAAAACCCGACAAGTGCAGTCCAGGAAGACATGGTGGCAACAGCAGTCAATGTCTAGCTTTCTGCTCTCACGGCAAGCCCTGGGCAAATCAATAACATCACCGAAAGAAATCATCGATATCATTAAACAATTAAACATGAATAATGCACCAGGGTTTGATGGACATGGTTCTCCTAAAAAACTTGCAATCATAAAATGCCAGCACTACCCATAATGCCTCAAAACTGGGCTTGTTGTACCAATCCCAAAACCGGGAAAAAACCTAAAATCCACCAATGGCTACCGCCCCATATCGCTGCTCAGCGCAGTAGCCAAGATCGTGGATAAAGTCCTCTTACGACTTATATCCTAACACGTTGTTAAGCTGGACCTTATACCGAAAGAGCAGTTCGGGTTCCGCACAGTCTCCCAGTTGGCCCGAATTTTTCATGAGGTTTAGGTATCCAGCAACAACAACAAAAATACGGTTCTGGTCATGATGGACATAGAAAAGGCCTTTGAAACCGTCTGGCACGAAGCTCTAATGTCCAAGTTGCATAAGGCTAAAGTGCCGATTTTTATCATTAAGATTATCGATGCACATATCACCAACAGGAAAATGCAGGTCAAGGTCAACGAAAGTATATCGGGAGATTTTCCACTCGAGGCAGATGTTCCGCAGGGGTCTTGCCTTCCACCTCTGTTATATACCTTATACACGCATGATTTCCCTGTATTCGAGCGAACGAGTACAGCATTGTATGCCGATGATACGGCTATATATGCTCACTCGTTCGACTCGACGAGTCAAAGATTCGCATAAATAGTTCAAAGACAGAAGTCATAAATTTTCATAAAAAATTTAACAACTCCAAGTTGAGCAGACCATTGACCGTCAAAGGTGTTGAGGTGGCAGACAAAATCACCGTGAAATACCTGGGGGTTAAGCTGGACACTCGTATGAGTCTCAAGCCCAATACCAACTATTTGATAAAAAAACATTCTGCAATTAAAAAGATGTACCCCTTAATATCCAGGCCCTCTCCACTCTCGTTGGAGAACCAGGTCCTTGTATACAAGCAAGTCATCAGGCTTGTGATGACATACGCGTGTCCCGTGTACTGCAGCATCCCACCTACTCATATGAATAGGCTACAGGTGCTGCAGAACAAGGTACTCCGTATTATCACCAACGGTGATAGATACTCTCGAGTGGCAGATCTTCACGAGAGATGTGGTAATTTGCCTAGAATTGGGGAATATATCACCAAAATCGCAAATAAATTCTACAAATACCACATCGCTGGAAGTGACCTAACCCGGAATATCACCATAATTAGGCCACATCATAATATTCATAAAAAACACGGGCTGATATATGCATTAACCGACGTTTTTAGGGAACCTGAAAATCTATAGTCGGGAATCTCCCCGGAATCTCGGACAAGTCTGAGACACCTGGGAGGATCTAGACAACACTATCTTCCACACAAGAAAATAAAATAGTGTCATGGCTCACGAGCAAACCCGACACTGAATTCGGACAGATGTATGTACAAACGCGGAAACGTGAATGTCCATCGGTCCGAGCCAAACTAAAGGAGGTTTTTGTTTTTTCATAATTTTATTTTTTCCTCCATAAACTGTAAAAAACCCTACACTGATCACGTATGAGCGACTCCCCCACCCCTCTGGGTACCCACAGCGAGATTACCTATATAAAGGGCCTAGCCCTAGGAGAACCACTACTTTTCTCCATTTTTACCGCAGATATCCCTAAACCCGCGAACAACTTTAACAAACTCGCACTATACGCCGACGACACAGCCATAATTGCCAGATCCAGCAACGCAGACATGACAATACGATACCTACAAGAACAAATAGACACACTAGAAACCTGGTTTAACAACTGGAAAATAGAAATCAACGCAGAGAAAAGCCAAGCTGTTCTCTTCACTAGACAACTTACTAAACCCACAGGACACGTAATACTAAACGACACACAGATACCATGGGCAGATGAGGCAAAATATCTAGGGGTAACCCTAGATAACAAACTTACTTTCAGACAACACATCTCAACACGACTAAACTTGGGTAAAGCCGCAAGGCAAAACCTACAGCCTCTAATAGGTCGCAGAAGCAACATGGCCCTAGAGTTGAAGCTGCGCCTAATACGAACCATTCTACTTCCAATAATTTTGTATGCATCAAGTGCATGGTGCCAATGCGCAGAGACATACAAAAATACAGGCATTTCTAAATGTCTCAATAAGAATGGCAGTAAATGCCCCATGGTATATCCCAAATAGATTTATCTATAAGGACCTGAACATAAATCCAGACTACATAGACAACTACATAAGACAACACGCGGAGAATACATTCGGAAGAACAGAAACCCACGAAAACCCGCTACTGCACGACCTGACTAATAGACAACTAAATCAAGACCCGCGCTTCGGAAGAATAGAGTACAGGCGCCCAATTCACCAAATATAAGATAAACAAACGAGAGTAAATCAATATCAATAAAAGTTGCATAATAATCATCAGATAATTAAACAGAAGAGTCTCTCCTTTGATACCCTATAAAAATGTAAACCAATAATAATAATACATAAACTCAAATTTGCTTCCCATTAGGGTAGGGAACCACCACACAAAGTCAGGCTAGGAAACACACATTAGACAAAAAGGTTTAAAAGTCGGACGACTGAAACCAAGTAAGGGGTTTTATAAAACATATGCAGATTGCCAAATGCATAAGGTTGAAGTCCACTCGTTAGTGAGTGGAGGTGGATGGACATGGGGATGAGAAGCTATCATATAACGCGGAGGGACATCTAGGGAAACACGTAGATGCTCCAAATCTATAATGATATGATGTGTTCTATTGTAACTGGGTAAAGAAAATAAACGACTTTAATATGTGCTTTCAGATGGAAAGGTGCCAGGTACGATTCCCTACTACAATTTTTTAAAATTTTTTTTGACGGGAAAAAGTTTGAAATGTCATCTCTGTTGACAGGTTGTAGAATGTCACTTTTTATAAATTACTTTCCTCCCGGATTTATCACATATATATACACTGTTGATGGCTTTTGTTGTGCTATAGTTCTGAAACATAAGCCAATAACACCGTCTCCGAGAAAGAACTGAAAGTCCTTTTATCTTCCATTCGACTTCTCGCGGTTACGTAAATTACTAAACAACCACTACATTTGCAATTTTTGGAAATCGAATCACAGAATTAGACTGACAGATATTTGATTACTTCAGATAAAGATGCCTGCAAAAAGATGCCTGCAACGCAGGTGTCATTCCTGTTAAAAACTTCAAATTAACGTTAATAATTGTCTGATTTTGATAAAATGTAATATCTTCTCAATATTGATTCGTCCGTTTTCCTGTCACAGAAAAAAAATGGAAAAATATTAGATTTCAACTCACGGTTTTTTGTCTCCCTTCCCTACGCGACGGGAGACAACACAACCTGGAGCTAAAATAAAATAACTATATTTGTTTTATTTTCGTTTCTCCCTGAGAAATGTATGTACTGTGGAGGCATTTACTGTTGAGGCTGGAAATTTTCAATATTGGGAATTCTCAAAGCAAAGTGGAATCCGTGTCGCTAGCCGCATGTAATAAGCATGAGGTTATATTCTCAACCAAAGGTCCTGATCCGGAAGCAATCATTCATTAGATAAAGTGTGTATGTAAAAAAAATGCTGTGGTAATTGTAGCTGTGAAGAAAATGCATTACCATGTTCAGAATTACGCCTATATATGCTCTGAGTTAGAATTTTTGAACTCTGAGGCACCTAAATTGGACAGCCCTTTTTGAATGTATCATCAGAAGGAAGGATCATCAAACTCAAATAGCGATTGAGAGGTACCATATATCACTGTTATGTTTATAAGATACTGACGTTTCATATTGATCCAAATATTTCAGAAAGAAAACAAGGGATATAGCATTCAGCATTGCAACAATACTAAAAAAAAATATATAATTTTCAAGGAATACTCTTTCAAATGCCTATATTAATTTTGTGTGGGGTGTGGGTGTTGATGAATAAAAAATCCGAAAAAGCATGGAAAATGTGTTTCAACATAATTGTATAGTCATTTATGGAACATTTTACCAAATTATTTGCAAAAATTAATTTAGGTCCCTAACGACACAGTGGAGCAATTGAATGCCATTAATTCAAAAACACTTTTTCTTTAGGCGAGGCAAGCAGTGAGTTCGCCAGGAAAAAATCCATAACAGAACAAAGAAGGTATTTACCTGCGTTTGCTGTTCGGCAGGAGCTTCTCAATATCATACGAGAAAACTCTGTTGTCATCATCGTAGGTGAAACAGGTAGCGGTAAAACAACACAACTGACTCAGTACTTACACGAGGACGGATACAGCAAGTATGGTATGATTGGGTGTACACAACCTCGTAGGGTAGCAGCTATGTCTGTTGCAAAACGAGTAAGTGATGAAATGGGAACGAAGTTAGGTTAGTCTAAAATTGAAATAAATTGATTATATTTTTGTTAGACACTGCATGATATTCTTACAGTATGTCATCAGAGCTGTGAAAAATCTTTTTGAACTGTTCTGATGAATTTGTTCCTTCAATGAAAACATAAAATGAAAAACGTTTTCAAGATCACTTGAAATAAACAAACAAAATAGTGGTCAGCTCAGGAAATGCATGGCTGTGTCAAGTCTGTGGTTTGACCGGGCACATACGTTCAGTATAAAGTCTGACCATCAGTTTGACTAAACAGCTGTTTGGGAATATCGGTCACGTTTCAAACCTGCCCGCGAAGTTACCACGTTGATTTTGATGGGAGTCAAGTCTCAAGTCAACCATTCACCATCCTGGTATCACCACTGTGGTCGAACGGATGACTTGACACAGCTCATGCTTTTCATTCAATAGTCATATTCTACCTTTCTGAATAATTTGACTGAACTGATCAAAATGAAACTTTAAGTACCTAATGAAAATGCATTTCTGTATCATGGATCCAGACAAGGATCGGATATAAGTCCGTCCACTTCATCAAAGATGTTTAAGGTTATGATTAATTCTATTTAATATTCATAAATTATAACTTCTTTCAGGAGTATTATAATGTAAATGAATTTTGATAACTGTATTCAGTGCATGATCACTATGACAACACGGTCGACTTTGACAACTTCAAATTATTTTCCGCCGAATATCCCTCGGACATTGTCAAATGCCTCATGATTTTATGACAAATTTCTCATGCTCGTTGCTTGGTAACATCCCTCAGCTTTCGGCTTCGAACTATCGGCAGGAACGAGCTGTCGATTGTCATAAAATTATCTCATCTATTATCAGTGTCTTAGGGATATTACTATTGAGAATAAATTTTGATGACTGCATTCAGTGCTATTATCAATTATTATGACTACACGATCGACTTTGACAACTTCAAATTATTTTCTGCTGAATATCCCAGGGGTCATTGACAAATTTCTCAAGGATCGATCTTTCAATTGTCATAAAATTATCTCGTCTATTATCAATGTTCTAGGGATATTACTACTGAAAAGTATTGAGGAGTGTATCACATTCCATTATTTCTAATTTTCAATGCACTCTTTCAATAGATGGACAGAACTGACAGAACTTGACAGTATTTGGTTCTTCTAGTTCACTTCATTTAACTACCAAGTCCTAGGTGGGGGATATTGATCATAAATCATATATTTCAACTGATTCAGTTCAGTTCTAGTGAAATATTTTAGTTGGTTCAGAATGAGAGAATATCACTAATGAATGCGGAATATTCAAACATATTGGAACAGGAGATTGAAGACCAACTATTTTTCGCACATTTTGACTATTTTGAGATACATTTTTATAGCCAATTCACAAAGAATATCCATAAAAATGTGCATGAAAACTTCTCAACTCTGGATGTCATTTCCTAAACATGATCAGTTTGAATCTGGTTCTTATTCAACTGAATATCTACATTGAAATTGTAGGTGATGAGGTGGGGTACGCCATTCGGTTCGAAGACTGCACATCCGAAAACACAGTCATCAAATATATGACAGACGGTATCCTACTGAGAGAAAGCCTACGGGAATCCGATCTCGACCATTACAGCGCCATAATAATGGACGAAGCTCACGAACGTTCCCTCAGCACCGATGTGCTTTTCGGATTACTGAGAGAAATTGTAGCTAGGCGACATGATCTGAAACTTATCGTCACCTCAGCCACGATGGACAGCAGCAAGTTTTCAATGTTCTTCGGTAACGTCCCTACTTTCAACATCCCCGGTAGAACGTTTCCCGTAGAAACTCTGTTCAGCAAGAACACCGTCGAGGACTATGTAGACGCAGCTGTGAAACAAGCCCTGCAAATTCATCTGCAACCGCCTTCCGGAGACATCCTGATATTCATGCCTGGTCAGGAAGACATCGAGGTGTCCTGTGAGGTGCTGGCTGAAAGACTAACGGAAATAGATAATGCTCCTGAGCTTTCTATTCTGCCCATTTATTCTCAGCTGCCCTCAGATTTGCAAGCGAAAATTTTTCAGAAAGCGCCAGAGGGTATCAGGAAGTGTGTGGTTGCGACAAATATTGCAGAAACATCTCTTACTGTTGATGGTATAATATTTGTGATTGATTCTGGGTATTGCAAATTGAAGGTGTATAATCCTAGAATTGGTATGGATGCTCTTCAGGTAAGTCCGTGTAATCACGACACACATAATTTATTTCGGATCTAACCAAAGCAAATAGATTTCAATAGGAAATAAGAGCCCAAATCGTCGCACTCGGTCTGCTATTAATAGACGAGAATATTAAATTCTAGAAAAGGTACCATGACGTTCAGCGCGATGAAATATTACACAAGTAGTATTTCAAACTTTCTTCCTACTAGGTTTTCCCAATATAAATTCACAGAGAAATTGTTCCTTTGAAACAAGACGAAAACCGTTTTCTAGATTTCAACATTGATTCGGCCAAGTGAGTGAACTGAGCAAGACAGTTTGGCACTAATTTGTTCCTGTTTCACAATCAGGTGAATTATGAAATATGATTTCGATATCAAAGTGATATCATCAGAATTTGGGGTTCATTGAGATGGCAGGGCAGGTATATCAAAACCGTTCAGCTGGATAGTATAAAACATGAACATTTTATTTGATGTTATGCCATGTCTAATCTTGAAACTACAACCTACTTACTTGATTAGCAATCTTATCAGATATATAGTTGTAGAGTTGTAAATGGCGGTAAAATCTGTATAATTGACAATTTTCACTTTGATGAATATTTAATCATATCTAGTTTTGAAAATTGAGGAATTTCTTTGATTTTTCTTTGAAATAGAACAACTGACAACACAGCAAAGGGACTAATGACGTCAGTATTGGCTAGACGGGTGTTCTAATTTTACAGAAATCTTTGGCTTCCACTAATGCAATCAGTTTGTTTGTTGTAGATATATCCAATAAGTCAGGCAAATGCCAATCAGAGATCAGGTAGGGCAGGTCGTACAGGACCTGGCCAAGCCTTTAGATTGTACACGGAGAGACAGTACAAAGAGGAGTTGTTGATAACTACAGTTCCAGAAATTCAAAGAACGAATTTGGCGAATACTGTTCTGCTGCTGAAGTCCCTAGGGGTACAAGATTTGTTGCAGTTTCACTTCATGGATCCGCCCCCACAAGACAACATTCTCAATTCACTTTATCAGCTGTGGATTTTGGGTGCGCTTGATCATACAGGAGTTTTGACAAAACTAGGTGAGATTTGCAGGACTCCAGATAAGAAGAGAAATAAAACATTAGACCAGTCCCCAATTTATATTATTTAGTGACGGCTCGTGCCCTCAGAACTTGGGTCGGCCAAGGTAGATGTTGCTCTGGTTCGTCAACTTATTTTTGTTCATGATGAAATGATAATAAATGGCTTAACAGATCACCGTTGTAACATACTCGCTCGCTACGACTATTTTTATTTTGTCTGCTAAATCTGAAGCCCCCATAAACTATTTTCAACCACTTCAACACACGACATATATGAATTATCAATTACTGAAAGCATTTCATTTCATTAAATTCGAAATTCATATTCTCTTTCACTTGGTACATTTCAATTATAGGAATAAAAATTATATCGTTGGTATTATATATTCAAAATTGGGGCAACTTTCGCAATTATTTGATTTCACTGTATCTTATTGAAAACTAGATTATTGGAAATTGGGGTAAAAACAACTTCGAGGACCCTTGGATTTTCAAACCAACTTTCCGCGGTTTTCAACCTAACTTGACGTGGCGATGACGTTAAAACTGGAGGAAAGCGCATAGATTTAAAGTTAGACATGTTTTCCCCCAGTTTTAACGTAATCGCAATGTCAGAAGATGACCTTGAAAACCGCGAATAATTGACATTGACCATGAACATATTCGACAAGTGCCATCGAATGAAACAGTACTCGCAACTGATAAATAACAGAAAATGCCTCACTGCAAAAAAAATAACTGGAAAAGAGTTGAGACATTTCTATCTATTTCTTGACAGCAGTTACTGTCAAATTGAGTGTCATTTGTCTTTTGTCAATGTCAATAAGTTAGTTCAGTGAATTGTTATTTTTTTGATGTTTGGCTCGACATTAATTATAATGAAAACTCATAATTTTCGTTTTATTTTTAGAGGATTTTTTACTTTGAGCAGCCACCATTTATTATTTTTTGCCAAAAGGTAGTTCCATTGTAGCAAACATTTTATCCCGCTCAAAAGTCAACAAGGGCATGGGTTGCTTTTTTAAACGCATCGTAAGAACCTTAAAAATTGCAGGTAGACAAATGGCCGAATTCCCTCTGGACCCTCCCCAATGTCAAATGCTGATAGTGTCGTCACAGATGGGCTGCACCGCCGAAATCCTCATCATCGTCTCCATGTTGTCAGTCCCCTCGATTTTCTATCGTCCAAAGGGCCGAGAAGAAGAGGCCGACGGTGTCAGAGAAAAGTTTCAGGCAAGGCATTTTTCAATGTACTTTTTTCTACTTACATAACTAAAATGGCATTTAGCGTACGGATATGTACCACGCTTAATGATCGATTAATCACGGATTGACGATAGGTGATCTATTCAAAATAATGAACATGTTACCATGGCTACACAATTTCTTGAACACATTACCATGGCAACAGAGTTTTTCTTTCAAACACACCTTCAGTCGTCCGAGTCCTGTCCTGTCCGGTCAGTCAATGGGCTTATATCACAAAAAATTTTTATTTCATAATTCGATAGAACTCACCCAAACTAGCTCACCGCCGCAAACCGTTTCTTGCTGTGAGCTCCCTACGTTTTATAAAAAATTATTGAAATCCCCTATTTTTCGGACCTCTGAAAACGTGGCGATGATGTGTCGTCAAAACCCTAATACTGAAACAAGACTATTCCAGACAGAGATGAATGATACATGATTTCTGACAGAGTGAATTAGCGCGAGATCACAGTTGAAAGAATTAATATATCAGTTGCCTCAGTCTCCGTCGGGCATTTGGTATTTTCTTTCAACTATGGCGAGATGAGGTTTCTACGTCATGAGAGGGTCCGTTTTCAGAAGCTACTATTATTTATGCCCAAAAATAAAATATTCCCAGTCAATTTTTCGATCGAATTATGTCGTCAATCATTATTTATGTATAAAAGGATCATTATAAACATGGTTTGAGTTGAAAGTTCTACTAAGGTGTACACGCCATTGTATGAACTGTCAACTGTCATTTTGGAATTTCATTGCAATCAGAATTATTCAAACAATTTCTGTTTGTATCAAAATTCTTCATTGAAAATCTATGCAAAATGTAGATGAAAGTGAAATCGAAGAGAATATTTTAGGTAAGTACTTGCATATTATTGTGTGGCCAGGTAGCCGTGCGGACAGATTGTCAATATTCTAATCTGCATTCGCTTGCCGGTCGTGGGTTCGATTTCCATCGACTGCAGAAATTTTTCTGATGGCCCAAGAAAGTGTTTTGGCCCCCGTCATTCCTTGCTCGCACAAGACTCTCGAAGACTTCTGAGAATTGCTCGTAAGGGGGCAACCGAATGACGGATAGAACAATTTCCAAGAACTCTGTGTAAAAATGAAGCTCTCATCTTTGTGGGCAATGCATTGAATGCGAAGCATGACAATAAACGTAAAACATAATATTCATGTGAGCAAAATTATGCAATCAGAATAATATGAATACAAACCTGACACCTCAGCGAATCGAAGAGTGTTTATCTACTATGTTAGATGAAATCTTATTCACTAAGGTCAGTAAACAAAAAATTCATGTATCCTGTGGACTGGACGCACATCAACAACCAATATAACTTATACGTGTCTCGGTGGTTGCATGCAGTTCCATAGTATTATGTATTATGTTCTCAATTCTCACTCCCTTCGAATTATTTTGTAGGTTGGCAGGTAGGTTAATCTAATTCTCGGAATTATGTGATCTTGTCGAAGAGAGGAATTATGAATTCGTAGAAAGAGTATCGTATGTAACGCGTTTATAAACTCTTCTCTTAAAAAACTTGTTACTAAAATGACGTTTATACACTTATAACATACTATTTTGAATGCAATCGGTTTTACAGGCACAAAAATTAGAATTACTTCTCCAGGAAATTATTTGGCAACAATGACAACAGTGAATTAAATCATTTATATCATCAGACGTCTAGCTTTATTTTGTGGAGAGATTTGATATCGGTTGGTGGTTGAGCAGTAGCTATTTAGCTATCTCAATCATGAACTCAAGGATGTTTTTTCCCAGTATCAAATATGAAGTTTAGTGTAAACGTCAAGAACACTATATAGGAATATCCTTTTTTCTGAAACAGGAAAATCACTAACGCTATTCTGAAGGCTTTTGAATAAACATATTTTAATCCGGCCCTGATGCAACATTCCTTCTTGCATAATACCATCTAAAAATACACTTTGAAAACAAAAAGTAGTTCACCTTGTCGCTCATAGATACCGCAACCTGCTGGATATAATTTCTGGCTCCATTGCAAGGATGGTTTATTTTATTAGTGTAAGGAATCAAGGTTATTATGTCAACTTTTCGAGATTAGGTTCATTTATCGAAGGAATTTGTGACCTGAAAAGTTATTGTGTTACGGAATAATAATAATAATGTATTTACCAAAAGAAATGCAAATATGTATAGCATACATGTCAACAACATTATAATAAATTATGGTAAATATATACTCCGAAACTTTTTTCAACCACTATGAATTTACATGAAGTAGCGGCAGAGTTAATTGAAAAAATATATCGATAAATATTGAATCACTGTCAACTAGGAAAAAGCCAAAATACTCAAAGTGGAATGAAATGGTAACAAAGAGGGCGAAACTCAAAGTCATTATCACAATAGTTCGTAGAATGAACAAAAATGGTAGAGAACGAGAGAAAAACAAATACATTTCTAGCCATCATATGCCACTTAGAACATTGAATTACATCCACGCGAAATCTATGCAACGATTCGTAAATACGAATACAGTTGCGAGGAAAGAAACACTCCAAGACTGAAATTTCTATTTCCTTCTGCCCTAGACGGCGTTGTTTCCATTTCGTAATAGTCGAACGCCTCGTGGATATCAAATGCTGGCAGGTGTTTACGTTGGGTCAGGTTCGCACCAGATGGCGGTCATGAATGCCATCTAGGGACACCCCTGCACTGATGAGAGCCAAAGCTCGAAACCGTTCTGTAGTTAGACAAACGTTCCTGAACAATTTAAGCACAACTCAGCATTTAGGAAAGATGTAATTCAATGTTCTGTATGGCATATAGCTAGGAAAGTTGTTTTTTTTTCTCTCGTTATCTACAATTTTCGTCCATTTTATGAACTATTGTGGTTATGACTTTAGAGTTTCTCCTTCTTTGATTGAATCACCATGAAAAATCCCCTTTTGATCCCCTTTCTAGGTGCCTGAGAGCGACCACCTGACGTTCCTTAACGTCTACAACCAATGGAAGCAGAACAACTACTCGTCCCATTGGTGCAACGAGCACTTCATCCACATCAAGGCGATGCGGAAGGTGAGGGAGGTGAGGCAGCAACTGAAGGACATTGTGGTGCAACAGAAGCTCGAGATCAGGTCGTGCGGCACCGACTGGGACGTCGTCAGGAAGTGCATTTGCTCGGCTTATTTCCACCAAGCGGCAAGACTCAAAGGTAAGTCATGCCATAGATGATCAGGTTCATGATATATCCATAAGCGAGCATATATGGATTTTCGTGTCAAAATTCAATTCAAAATCACCAAATGAAACAACAACCAATAAACCACTCTTCATCAGAAGCCTGGATGTATAAGGCCGAGAATATCTTGGAGCTGTGATAGATATCAAAAGGGATGATACTAGCGAAGCAATGGAATAGAAGCAGTGGTTCATGTGCCGGTATTCATGTCGGAACGGAAGTGTTTTTACTACGTCTATTTGTGCTAGATAGTCTGTTTATTTCCTTGCTTTGCTCTGGCAGTGAACCTTGATCAATAATAAGTCGATGTAGGATGTAGGTATCTAGATAAATCAGTAGGTAGAGGTATATAATATGTGAGATCAAAGAGATAACAATGAAAACAAGAGGTTGCTGCTGGATAAAAGAGGTATAAGCATTAATTCTTTCAAACTGTGGTAGAAGTAGTGCCATGGCTACATATCCAACACTACACATCAGAACAAATGTATTCATTTTGATACCTAGGCTATGAAACTACTAATATAGTTAATATGGAATGTTATCTGAAAATAGTGAAAATATTCAATTTTCCGATGTCAAATTTTCACTAAATTTATCTGAGACTGTGATCAGATATTTTCATTTGTTCATTCAGTTCAGTGCATATATTTGTCTAGGGTGGCCGGTAAACCATGGATCATATTTAGCTGGTAATGAACAAGTTCATAACCTATCAGAAAATCATAACTCGACCTCGGTGTAAACCACGGTTTTCGAGGTATTGGGATTTTTATAAATGAATTTGAATTTCTACCTCAGATCATTGTTTTGGGTCGAGCAAACAGGGTTGCGACGATTTAAATCAAATGATTCAAATCGTGATTTAAATCAACTGATTTTTTCAATTTTAATCGTGATTTGAATCAAATTATAAATTGCTGTGAAAACAAGTGGCCAAAGTTGATAACTCATCAGGAAATTCAATAAAAGGACGTTTATAAAAAACTAAGTGTTTACATTCATTATGTAAGTGCGAGTGTGTACAAAAACGTTACTCAGGCTAACCTATAAACAACATAAAAAAATATGTGTATAGGAAGTCAGTTGTAATACTTATACAGGAAAACTAATTTAGGGGCTTTTTCGGTTCCCAAGCGATTTCGAAGTTTGGAATGTACCAAACCAAATGTGGAAAACACTCTTTCAACAGATGCTGAAGAAGCTGTAGCAGATAACAGTTGTTTAATTGTGGGCAGTACTTTTTGAATAGCATCGACATTCTGTTGGGATTTCCACCAATTTGAAGCTTTTGAAGTCTCATTTTATTCTCGTCTAATATTACTGAACATACGCGAAATTTTCGATAGCAGTCATTTACGGTCTACAAAAAAAATTATCCTCTGATTTGGATTTTTTATGAAAAGCAATGAAAGAATGGTTCATTTAGCAACATGGTGCAGTCATTTACGGTCTACAAAAATAATTATCCTCTGATTTGGATTTTTTATGAAAAGCAATGAAAGAATGGTTCATTTAGCAACATGGTGTGACTCATGTTGACAATTGTGGCACATCTATTCATCCCAAATCTCCCAATCGCGAGATCTAGTTCAGAACCGGGCTGTTGCAGGTATTGGCGAGTACGTGAACTGTAGGACCGGCATGCCGTGCCACCTGCACCCCACCTCGGCCCTCTTCGGCCTCGGCAACACTCCCGACTACGTCGTCTACCACGAGCTCGTGATGACCGCCAGAGAGTACATGCAGTGTGTCACGTCCGTGGACGGCCATTGGCTGGCCGAGTTGGGTCCCATGTTCTTCTCGCTCAAGGAGACCGGAAAATCCGGCAGGGCCAAGAAGAAGCAGGCGGCGGAACATCTGTTAGAGATGGAGAACCAGATGCAGGTGGCGCAGGAGGAGATGAAAGCGAGGAAGGAGGCTGCCGAGAAAAAGGAGGCGGCTCTGAACAAGGGGCAGGAGATCGTGAGTGCAGGGACCACTCCGAGGCGAACGCCTTCTAGGTTTGGACTGTGATCAGGGTGATCTTCTTGTTGGGATGAGCGTTTAGGGTTCTATTAGGTTTTAGCAAACCAATCAATACCATTTGGCTCGCTAAAATCTACATGTATTGGACTCTAGACCCTAGTCATGTTGGGCTAGTGAATTAATTGTTAATGCTTCGTCATTGTTGAATAAAAATCAACAGAATATCAACTGTGCTGTTTTCATTAATAAACATACACATGAAGTATTTGTCACGGATGGGACCACCCGAAAGTCAATTCGCGAGATTCACGAAGTGGGCGACATCTAGGTTACATAATACGAACTTCAAACTGAGGGGAAAACAAACTGTTGTTTATGGATAAAGTGCATAGACTACATTGCATACAGTTTGCTGTAGCTATAGTTGTCAAACTTGTCAATGACATGAAGTGTTGGAACTGTTGGTAGTGATGATCGTTGAGTTGGTTAATTTTTTTACATGTATTAGTTTATTAAACAGTGAACGGGTGAAGAATGGGAGATAGTTCAAACAATTCAAAGTAATTATGACGAGCAAATCAATTAACCTATAAAAGAACAGCTACAACATGTTTACAATACCCAGATTGTCCTGCTTTGCAGGAACTAATACAAATCCATCGTTCTACAGGAGTTCCTCTGGACCCCAACTTCAATTTTACTTCATGTGGGGAAGATTTCATCGCCGAAGTTTGTAGACAAAGTGCAAAAATGTTGAAGTCTTCTGCCTCACACTAAATCACATGATTAGCACGGAGAACTGCTTCTCCTTCCACTACTGGTCGGCTCTTTCCATTTGAATAGAGCAAAATATCTGCCAAAAGAACATCTACAACCGGCGTTATTAGCGTTTTCGATCGAATATTGACAATTTATGTCAAGAAATTTAAAAACATCACTCATATCAGTACACAGTACACAAACTAATGACACTAATGGGATTGAGTGAGGATTGAGTTTGTTTTCCCCCAGTTTTGACGTAGCTTTGACATGGAACGATGAAAACCGAGCGCCACCTGGTGACATTGATTCCCGCGAGTACAGTATTCATGCCCAATTCGTCCAAAATGTTTCCCAAAGTTAACCAATTAAATTCATTCACCTTGGCTAAATCGAAAACTTCAACAAAAACCAACATTATGCAAAACATTAAAACTTCCATTGAAGTCAAGATTTCACGACCTGGCCCACGATATTCGGTGATTTTGGGGTATTAAGTAGAAGAGGCAAAACGTTCGCTAATAAATACACGGTGACCATGAAAAATTATTCACGATTCACTTTTGAAGACTGAAGATTCACTATTAATGATCCAAGATTCACTAATCCAGTCGCGTTTTGCATCGATCGCCCTTTTTCGAAAACCAAACACCGGCGAGATGGCCCACCTTAGACATATCGTCCTTGCTGAGACCAGGGTACCAAGATTGTTACTAATGAACATATTCTTCATTGTAAGGGTACTTGATTTTTATTCACACTCGGTTTTACTCACATTCAATTTTATTTAGGCTTGATTTTTATTTACACTTGTTTTTATTTAATTTGATTTGCACTTGATCTTAATGACACTTTTGATTCACTTTGTACATATTATGCAACTTTCGTTATTTAATTAAACTGTATTGTCTTCAATCACTCTCTCGTTCTTCCGCTGCAACTTCCTCTATGGTCCGATCACATCTCACATGCCACTGCAACCCTCATTAATCTCAACCCCACAGCTCGGCATATCTCACAAGGGAAAGCAGCTGGGGGTATAGCCTATTACAGAGGAGTCAGACACCTCTAGAAAATAGAGGGAATTGTACTCACGTCCGTGGTACAAAGATATCCCTAAAAAATTTGAAACTGCCGCTTCTAGAATATACAAATGATTTGCAATGTCATCATTGTGGACCTTTATGTGTAATCAATATTGTCTTGGACTAGCGTTTAATGCTCGATGAATCTAGGTTTGAGCAAACCAAAGGATATCATTTGGCAAGTCAACTTAGTTGACCTACATGTATCGGACCTCAAGACCCTAGTCGTGTTGGTCTAGTGAATTAATTGTTAATGCTTCGTCATTGTTGAATAAAATTCAACAGAATATCAATTATGTTGTTTTCTTTAATAACGCACTTGAAAAATGTAAAAAAAATATTTTGAAACTGCTCCTTCTAGAATCTACAGATGATTAACAACGTCATCATTGTGGACCTTCAATTTGCCACATAATGGTCAAGGCAATTCCTGAGGCGGTGGGGAAAGCAGGGAACCTCAAACCCTACCCAAAAGTCTCAAACATATTATTCTCCACGTTTAGGAAAGTTGACATTATTAACAATCATAAACATCATTCTTGTATTTTCAAAAATAACTTTAATTTACTGAGATCCGAGCCTATGTTAGGAAAAGTTTTTAAGCTTAACATAACTATAAAGGTCTTCTCAGTCTTGTTATGGTTCAAATGAGGGTAACATATTTAGATGGACCCAGAGGGATCACACAGTTTACATATCTATATTCTTGACAAGTGAACATGATATATGACATAACCTACCGACTTGGAAAAGAATGATTAATTCAATCAATATTGTCTAAATCTAAATGAAGAAGGATCTAAGTAGCCATCTCTGTATGGACCTCGAGCTATTGCACATGCTATACCAGCATATTTGTTTCACAAGCCAGTCAACCAGCACAAAATATAGCAGATATATCATAGATATATTCCAGATGGATAATCAAGTGTTCAAATGGACTTCTCTACATTGATTTATCCCCACTTTGTACGGAGAACGTGTGTTTTCACTTTAAGCAGACTCAGAATGAAAATTCAAATGGGGACAAGGTCATATAACAAACAGTCGGCAGGAAGGGAAACATTGATACAGGTGAATATTTATATTTTGTGCTGGTCGTCTAGATGCAGGAACTTCGTCAAAACAAAGTCCTATGCCAGCAATTGTTTGTATCTGGAGATTTCTATTCATTCAACTGACAATGATAATAAAGTGATTTAGTACTCTTTTCCGAATTCTTTTTCGAGTACTTATATACAGAGTGTTTCGATGAAGACATTTTAGGAAAGTATTGTTGGGGTCATAAGATTTATTTTTCAAATAAACATGTTTCCTAACATTCACCCCCGACAGCCACGAATGGGCTTATATCACAAAAAAAATTATTTCATAATTCGATAGAACTCACCCAAACTAGCTCACCACCGCAAACCGTTTTTTGCTGTGAGCTCCCTACGTTTTATAAAAATTATTGAAATCCCCGATTTTTCGGACCTCTGAAAACAAGGCGATGATATGACGTCAAAACCCTAATACTGAAACAAGACTATTCCAGACAGAGATGAATGATACATGATTCCTGACAGAGTGAATTAGCGCGAGATCACAGTTGAAAGAATTAATATATCAGTTGCCTCAGTCTCCGTCGGGCGTTTGGTATTTTCTTTCAACTATGGCGAGATGAGGTTTCTACGTCATACACATTCCAGTTAATTTTTCAATCGAATTATGTCGTCAATCATTATTTATGTATAAAAGGATCATGGTTTGAGTTCAAAGTTTTACTAAGGTGTACACGCCCATTACGTAAGAAAAACGATTATTTAAAAATTGCAGCTATGCCCCCATTTCATTTATTTTTTGCTCAAAAATTATGTTAACCCAGTTTCCGGAGAGTTGGAAGGGGAGGATCTACACAGTGATGTGCATTTTAGGGCATATATTCATTTGAAAAAGTCTTATTTCAATCCCACCAATACCTCCTTGAAATATCTACATCGAATTTTGAATCACCTTATATGATAAGGCATACAAGTCAATTTCAAGATAATTAATAGTAATCAAGATGTTGAGCGTAGAGCCTAGCTTATGTCAACAAAATTGCCAATTAGAATAATTAGACGATAACAGTTATCGAATTAAATAAATTGGCGACGCACTTCAGGTTTTGTGGAGTAATGATGAGTGTTTTGTACTGGGATTATATACGTGTCTGAGTAAATCGCTAAACTTCAAGGGGTGATGTTTTGAGTGATCAAGTCCAAAAGTTCATGTAAACAAAAGCCCGTAAATACACCTTTTGCAGATAAAAAAAGGTTTTCCGTAAATATCGCAAAAATCTCTAATCCAATTTTGTTGAAATATCACAGTGTAATTTAGTTCCACACTATATCTTGAATACTATGCATTTCCAGCGTATTTCCGTAGATGAACTTATCATCTTAAAATTACACACAATTTCGACCCTTGAAATTTAGCCACATACTTGCATAACAACCTGTATATTGATACATTTCACAATACATGCCTAGAGGCGCTAGTGAAAATCAGAGATGTATAGAAATTTGACGAAAATCATTGTGAATATGAAATGAATTCAAACTATGCAATAGATAAAATATTGAAATTGGAAGAATCTTACTTCCCATAAAATGAGTTGATAGTGAAGCAATAAAAATATATATTTTCATTTATCAAGCCAACAAGGCAAACAAATGTGTATAACTCCCATATATCATTTGTAAAAACTGATGCAAATATAACAAATACAAATTTTCAAAGCAATACCTACATAGTTTTGAATAACTATGGAATAAACATGAATATCAGTGGCGGCTCCTCAGAGGAGGCAACGGAGGCTGAGCCTCCTCAGAGATTCTCCTTAAACTGATATTATCTATACTTACTCATCAAGAGGACACCAAAATACATGGATTTTGAATTTATTTCCTGTCTTTAGGTGAATATTTTTCAATTGGCAACAGTGCTTGCCCACGCATCACACGTTGAAGTCTGCAAATCACGCGTGAATTATTCAACTTGGCAACATCTATAGGAGGCTAGACTCCTTCACAATGCGCAACTCACGCGCGAAATGCAAATGCCCGGATACGCCCGAATAGCACGTGTTTGTCGTGTCTCGTGTCGCGTCGCGAATTGCGGACAATCTAGTGCGAGTGCATTGCATTGTTTATGTTAGGTTAATGGTTAGGGGCTCTATAAATTTCTGAAAAATGAGTGTTTTGAACGATTGCGATTTAGTGGAATACTTTTTGGTGAACCCATTCTGTGCTTCTTGATTGTGAAAAACAAACGTCCGACACCGGAATTAAAAAATCTGATTGTAACAGGTAGCAAACAAAATCGTTCGTTCAATTCTGATAATTATAAAAAATATATCTGGTTGACGGGATCTGAGGTAAAGAATAAGCTATTTTGTTGGTACTGCGTATTATTTTCAACCGATAAGTCATCATGTTGGGGGCGATTAGGATATAATGATTTGAAAAATTTGCCTCGCGGATTGGATAGACACTGCAAATCACAGGAACACATCTCTTCAAGTATTAAGTTCAGGTAACTGGTAAACAGAATGTCATTAAAGCTATTGATTTGGGTGAGTAGAGAGTTGTTTTTCACAATAAATCTCATATCATTCAGCCTCCTCTGTCATGAAAGTCACGAGCCGCCACTGATGAATACTACTAATATAAAACAAAAATATGCCATCAGTCATCTCTATTATTATGACACCAAACACTTTCAGAGTTCGTTTTCGGGATCAGAATCATAATCACTCTCATAACCTGGTTTATCATGTCTACATTGGGGACAAGGACAATGATTATTAACATTCACTACGACTCTAACGTTACTTGGTTTTGGTGCCGGTTTGCCATAATGCTTGAATTCTTTACGGTGTTGTGGGTTGACCCTGTAACACGCCCTTCCGTATGGGCATATGGCTCGTACATCATTTGGATCACTGTCATAATCTTGGTCACCGGGGTGGCTTATATTCAATCGATGGGCTGGATTTTTTCTAAGAAGAAAGTATGATTGCACACTTGTTAAGAGGAAATTAGAATGATTCTTGAACAGGTATAATTTATAATTCAATACTAGGTAACCTTTATACATATACAGGGTGATTCAGGTTTTAACTCTTTCAGGTACAGGAATTTCGAAATTCAACACCCCCTAGATGTACAGCTTTATTTTTCTTCAGGTTTTCAAGAGATTCATTGACAAACTTACTCCAAATGACTCAAAAGATACGAACAAGTATAGAATAATTTCAGAATTTTCCAATTTTTACAAAGAAACGGTGGGTCAAAATCTAACCCACCATTCCATAAGGTGAAAGATTTCATGAGAATCGACTCATTTCAAATCACTGTGAAACGTCTGCAAACATGTTTTGTTCTTTGCAAGACAGAGTGAAACACACAACCAGTTTGTTCCAACTTCAAACTTTCCTGAATTACAAAGAACATTATCTCCTTCGACTCGTTCGGATAGGTTGATGAGCACCCTGTGTGACTCTCATTACCGCGATTTGACTGAGTGTCATTCTCTATTTGACTCGTCCATTCGATTGATGTTCTCGATGAAGATACTGATATTTATTGACGACTAAATGATCAAATCTTTCATTGATAACTTTGAAAGATATAGAGTATTCTGTGAAGAATAATTGAGTTGACTACAGCGGCATCCAAGGAAAAGAATTCATGAATATCTGTTCCTTTATATGTCTTTCAAGTCGTCTGATAATTCTGCTTAGTATATAGATTGATCTGGAAAACTATGTGATTCAATAATTTGTCCGTGATGAACTAACGAGAGAGATTATCCATCTTGAGCCACTCTAGATGTTCTACTGAAATCTTTTGGCTGAACGATCTCATCCACTCCACACCATTTTTTTCTCTATCCCTGGTTTCAACTCCGCGATAGGGGTATCAAATCTTCTGGGTCCCATGTATCCATATATAAGTACTGGTGTCTTGATATTCATATCAGACAGTATAATGTTGTTAAAATTGAATTCGACATCATTTTCCTCATCATTATCCTTGAAAAATGTCTTGGTGATGTTGTATGGTGGGACAAATTTCAAACAGCGTAGATTTTCACATTTTGTGAACGAAAAATAAACATATAAGTTGAAAAAATATAACAAGTAGGTTACCTATGTTGCCTAGATAGTATATAATGCAACAAAAAATGTAATAACATGATAAGCATGAAATTTGCAGCCGCAATTCGAGAGGAGAAACACAACGTACGGAACAAGTTTTGAGTTTATTCTATTCACTGATAATGTATTGTTTTATTCGCTTCAGCTCAGAACATATGATTCAAAAGACCAATATGAGTGAGTAATATGGGGCGGGAGAGAAAATAAACCGTCGTACCACAAATCATAAGTCCATTGCAGAGCGGGATATATTTTGTCCCAGCATACCTCTAACTCCAAGAAATTCGTGGTTTAAATTCTGCACCAAAGTACTTGAAAGAGTTGTACAAACTAAAATGGGTAATAGATCTCATCATTTTAATCAAGAAAGTTTATATAAACATTAGTCCGATCTCGATGAGAAGCGGAGCTACAGGGGGTCGAAGATAATTTTTTTTTCTATTAAATAAAATATCTCGCTCACTTATGGAGTTATCAATTTGAAATTTGGTGTGGTTGACACTTCCCAGAAGATCATCGTTCAAAGCATGTTAGAGATTTCCAATATCTACAGGGTTATACGTTCTTGGGGGTAGAAGTTTCTTTATCCTTCTCAAACGTTTTCGCTGTTCACCTCTGACATCTCCCAGTTCGTTCAATTTAGAGGCTTTTTTTACTTTCCGATTTTTTTCGAGAAACGAACCATTTTCGAGATGAATAAGCATATTCTTTCTAAAACAGATTAGTTTCATCTATTTTGCGCTTGAAATTTATTCTTGAACAAAATTCTTTGAGAATGCAATAAAATGTACTAAAATTGCAATGAGCTTTAGTCCTGTCTGCTCAAAGACTAACTTGCAATTTCAGTACATTTTATTGCATTTTTAACGTATTTTATTCAAGAATGAAATTGAAATGAAACATATTGGCAAAATTAACATTTTTTGGAACGGATATGCTTATTTATCTCGAAAACGGTTCGTTCCTTGAAAAAAATTGAAGTGCAAGAAAAACCTCTGAATCGAATGATAGACCCAATTTGGTAACTGAAAGATGTCAGAGTTGTACTAAGAAAATGTTTGGGGGGGGGGGGGGATAAAGAGCTAGGCCTCTACCCCCGAAAACGTATAGTATATAATAATATCTGTAGATATTGAAACTCTTTAAAATGATTAAAATGATGATCTTCTAGTATTGACCACATCAAATTTTAGATGGATTTCTTCGAAACTAAGGGAGATATTTTAATGAATAGAGAAAAATAATTAAACTTTGACCCCCTGTAGCTCCGCTACTGATCGAGATCGGACATTTCAGTTTGTACCTCAAAACCTGAATAACCCTGTATAATGTTCTGGTCTCATGTCTTTGGAAAATGAATAGAAACACGGGACCACTTTCTACAAAGCCCTTCAAGGGTTTATATTGCATTATACAAATTTCAACTTTATACAGGGTGTCCCTCCGGGAACTGCACCGATCAATATATAGAAAACCATAGGTGGGCCGAATTTGAAAATTTGGTAATTCACTATTGTTGATAAGTGCTATCCGGCTAAAATATTTTGAAGATTGTGGCACTTCCGGTTGTACCGGAAGTGGACCCCAACTTCGTTATTTCAAATGGGACACCCTGTGTTTTATTGCATTTTTAGATTCTTGCTGAAAAGCTGATTTCATCAATGCATCACACCTGGGGTCTATCAGGAATGATTACAGAGATATAGGGTGTTCAAAATCGAGATTTTTCAATTTTAGGATTTTTTTGTGTCCAAACTATTCATTATCGATCAAAACAGCTTATATGTCCCTATCTTTACTTTCGATTCACTATCTACTGACATTTAATTGGAACAGATACAGGGTGATCAGAATTCTGAATCTTGAAGCACCCTGTATTTTTTCCAATTAAATTCCAGTGCTTCACACTAACCCTAACTAGTTCACGTGTGACGATATATGTATTCATACGTATACCGCTTTCAAATAATCTATCAAATACTATTCAAACATAGTAAGATCAATATAAAATAGGTAAGTGTCACATATTAGACTATTGTGTATAACCACAGAACTCGTATTTATATCTCACGACTAGCATGCGTATCCAATATGGCGGACGAACAAATCATGCATCAGCTACAACGTGGCTACAACACTGTGAGTGAACCAACAGTAGCGGCGTTCAAATTTGTGGTGAAATGTTAATGGACGCCAGTGGCGTATCTCGAAGATGAGATGAAAATATTCGGAATTTTCAGAAAATCAGAAGATGACTATAGAGGAAATTTGGATGATATAAGTAAATATATATTATGCTGCTCATTTGTTTGCACTCTACATGTCTGATCTTAGTTTTTGAGAAAGGAATTCACTGCACAAATATCGGAAATTTCTCATATAATGTATTTACATTTTATACCATATTCAAATGTCATAGTTAATGGTTTTAATATAGTGATTGAAAAAGCAGGTATTTGGAAATTTGTCATTCAATAAATAATAACACCCTATATGAATTCTGTATAAGGTTATTTCAGCTATGCTGAATCAAATAGGCTATCCACTCAAAACAAAACAAGAGTTGTTTTTGAAATTTTGATTTTATAAGCAAAGCCATATTAATAGGCTCTGACAAGTTCAATGCTAGAAAAATTGTAATTCTGTTAAAAATATCAACTTACTTATAAATATACAGGGTGACCGCTGAAAGGAGGTCAATCCATTAACCATATATTCCTTGAACAAAAACAATATGAGTTTCTTGATACCATTTTTCATTTTAGCCCTTCATATTCGATATACAGGGTGTCAAAGTTGGAAATTGAAAACTGTTTTTTTTTAATTACTCCCGTATTTAATGAGATGTTATTCTCAAAATTGGTACATTACTTCAGCACAAAGAGTTACATCGTGTGAGGAAAACAAAACAGAAAATAACTGTCAAATATTCAAAATATTTCAAGTACACACTTACCCCCATATTTTTTTTTGTACGTACGCTAATGACTTCCTTTCTATTTTTCTTCAAGTGTTCAATCATTTTTGAGTATTTTTTGACTCTTGTGAAATTTCGATAAAAATTTGTTTTTGAGATAATTCGAAAAGTACTAGTTATTGTTTGATGCCAATGCAGCTTACGGTAATCTCATAATGTTCACATACCTACTCCTGTCCAAATTGGAAGAGGGCGTAAGGTAAATATGGAAATACCGGGTGCTCAGAGCGAATGTATTAAAATAATTTTTACAAAAAAAAATGATAGAAATTCAACACGTCTAAATGAATTGCTCCATATAACCTCTAATTTTTTGAATACACGTGCGAGCCTCCTTTTAGCGGACACCCTGTATAATATAAAAAATTCTCCTGTCTCTGTCATGGTGTTAGCCAAACTCCTCAGAAACGGCTCAACCGACTCGTATGAAAATTTTTGTGCGTATTCGGTAGGTATGAGAATCGGTCGTAAACTATTTTTTTAATTGAAAATTCAAGATGGCAGATTCAATATGGCGGACGAGTTTTGTAATCAGATTTCATTCAAATTTGGTATCTGGGGGTTTTCGGGGCCGGAGATTATGATTCTTTCGTCAAAATTTGTAAATTAGAGATGGCGGATCCAATATGGCAGATGAGTTTTGTAATTATGATCCGATTCTATTCAAAATTAGTATCAGGGGGTTTTCGGGGTCGGAGATTATGATTTTCTCGTAAAATTTTGGAAATTTGAGATGGTGGGTCCAATATGGCGGACGAGTTTTGTAATTATGATCCGATTCCATTCAAAATTTGTATCAGGGAGTTTTTGGAGTTGGAGATTATGATTCTTTCGTCAAAATTTGGAAATTCAAGATGGTGGATCCAATATGGCGGTCAACATTTGTAATTATGGTTAGATTGCATTAAAAAGTTTGTGTCTGGGGGTTTTTGGGGTCGGATATTATAATTTTTTCTTCAAAATTGGGGAATTCAAGATGGCGGATCCAATATGACAAACGAGCTTTGTAATAAATAGTAGTTTGAGAAACTATAATGCAACAGGCATTTATAGATAGCCAAACTCAAGGCCAAACTGAAGAGGAGTAGAAAATAAATAGAAGGTAGTTTGAAAAACTCATGAAACATGATTTTATGGATAGCCAAACTAAAAAGGAGTAGAAAACAAAAGAATAAAAGTGTGTTGATAAATATTTTACTAGAAAAATATTTTCTAGAAATAAATGTATAATATATATAGCAAAACAACGTTTGTCAGTTCAACTTTTGCAATAAATAGTAGTTTGAAAAACTAATGAAACACACATTCATAGATAGCCAAACTAAAAAGTTAGTAGAAAATAAAGAGTAGTGTGAAAAAATGAAGATAGATTACTGAACTAAAAAGAACTAAAAAATAAATGGAATACTTCCAAAATAAAAAAAAAAACATTATGGGTAGCTGAACTAAAAAGGAGTAGAAAATAAAATAATAAGTGTGTAGATGAATATTTATCTGAAAACATATTTTCTAGATATGTATAATATTTATGGCAAAAGAATGTTTGCGGGTCAGCTAGTCTTTTATAACTAGAAAGGATTCATGTGAATGAATGTGTTTATAAAGATGATTTATATCTTGATCCAAATTTCAATTTTTTATCCTCAAGAACTAAAGAAGAAAATATCCAAGTACATTAAATTAATAGTCCTGTTGAAGTTATTATCCCAAAATACGAAAATTCAATTTAATTTTCTCCTTATCAGAATGGTCTCTTTGGAAATGGAAGGAATAATTATTTGGAATATTATGTTCAATATATAAATAGTCTTACCTGTAACAATTCTGTCCATACCAACATCTGTCCCTTCTCAAATTATTTTGGTCATTGCTACTTGAGGGATCATTTGGATTTGCATTAGTCCTGGCATTATTGGATTCAGGTTCCTGTTTGATGTTCTCATCAGGAACAGGTTCTTGTTTAATGTTATCCATAGATACAGGTTTTTGTTCAATGTTCTCATCAGAAACAGATTCCTGTTTGATTGATGTACTTGGAAGTATATTTTCTTCAGATGTGAAACTAGACTCTGTCTTGATACCTTCAGCTGTAATTGGAGCAGTAATTCCAGTTGCTCTATCATTGTCTTGATAAGGAACATTCTGACCTTCTGTTGATCCAGACTGCTCTATTGTATGTTCATTTGAATGACTCTCTTGTCTTGGAACATTACTTCCATTTGAATTTTGGGGTTGGCATTTTTCTACCACAGGAGAAATACTACTTTCAGTTGTGCTTTCAACTTGAACTGTGGTGTAATTTTCATAAGAGTATTCTCTCTGATTTTCAACAATTGGTATACTGGTATTTTCTTCTTCAGTTCCATGACCATTATTCAGTATTTTATTGCCTGCTTGTTCATTTTCATTTGAATCTACATCACCTGGTTCTTCTACTAAATGATTATATTGTTCATTTTCAGAAGCTATGTTGACATTCAAGTTTTTGTCAAGGGAATGGTCTCCTTCAGACTCATCATCACATATGACATCTAAATCATTTATCACTACCTCACCTGCATCAATAATTCCCTGATTCTGAAATGAACTGCATGGTGGATGGTTGTTCACATTATCTGATACTAGGAGACTTGCTGCATTTCCTTCAGAAGTTTTTAGCAATTTGTGGTTTTCCTTGAAATTTTCTCCATCATGGGTTCTTTTTCTATCATTTGGATAAACACAAAATGGTTGAGGTTTATTTTCACTAGAATTACCTAGTGTAACTTTCACCCTGAACCACTCACTATTGGCTAGCATTGAAAACTGATCACCATCATTTAGAGCAATAGAATTATCCTTACTGAGTTTTCCAACATTGCTTTCTTGTGAAGACCTGAAGAAGCATGGATTCACATGTACCTGTGGAATCAAATATTACTTCAAATTTCAAAATCAAGGATCATTCAAGTGAAATGCCTCACAGATTTCAGTGTGACACCATCTTGCTTGACAATGATGATAGCATGTCTTCTTGATATTCTTTTATCACCACACTAAAACAGAAAAAAAGGAAATAGGACTATGTACCTACTATTGACCATTGAATAATACTCATATCATACAAAGTACTATGAGGAATATGTCACTAATAATTGCAGAGAAAATTCATGATTTTCAATTTTGCACCTACCAGGTGGGCCAAAAGGAGTCATCTGATGTTGCTTGGCTCTCATGTTTTCCTAAATGAAAACTTCGATTCTGATTTTTGATTATGTTTGTTTGAACCTTTAAATACCTGTTGAACCAGAAAAAATAAATCAAAAACTGAATTGAAGTTTTTCATTTAGAAAAAAAAATAGAGCCAAACCACATCTAATGACTTCTTTTGGCCCGCCTTGAACAATGAATTAACCTATCCTTATCCTTGTTCATGGAGTCCTGGTAGCTCCAGTTGAAGGATCTTTGACTTGTTCTTAGAACAGGTACTAAAAATACTTACATTTAGAGGTTTTTCCCTCCCAACAATGTGTTCACCATCAGATAATGTGGAGATAACATCCTTTTCATTAATTTGATTAGAATGTCCTTGCTTGAAGATTTTTACTATTGTCATGTTTTGGCTATCTTCAAGGTAGGCAGCAGAGCACTCAAATTTTCAATAATTTGACCCCTTCTTCTCTTATGAATTTGACCATTATATTTTTATTGATATTCTTAATAGAGAAACAGAACCCAGGACTAGCTAAAACTCTTGTGAACCACCAAAATCCTGTGCTGGGCTGACCATTAAATTTTTTGAACGGGTTGGTGTTTCTGTTAAGACGAACGATTCACCGCACTCGCCTGGCGTTTCTAAGAGATGTCGCTACGGTTAACAAACTGTGATAAACATGAATAAAAATCCAACATCGAGAAACCGATGTAGAATTCTCTTGTTTCTTCATGTTGACGATGTTAGTATTATAAAGATTTTCAACAGGTGTCGCTTCAAATATTCATAGCGCCCTGATACCTAATTATTTCCACATTAATAAAATTATGCAAATGAGTTTTCAATCTAATATAATCCTAAATTACATTCGATTTGATTGAGTGTCGAATTTTCGGATGCTCCTTCCATTTTGGGTTCAAATCCGAAGCGCATTCTTTCCACGAACCTGTATTTACTTCTTTATGGGCTTTGTTTTTTTATCGCGGAAGACACCGATCGATCGAGCGACCGGTTGGTTAGGAGATATAAATATATTATGTTATGAAGCTGGATTCTGGAAGTAAGTGTGATGACTATTGTATAGGTACTGAGGCACTATTACGGCAAGTAAAGAATACTTTACAGGGTTGGTCTAGGCGTGGCTGATGGTAGCTTCTTGAAATATTTTTTTTATCTTTCGGAACGCTCGAAAGGAAATGTTCAAGGAAGAGCGCACGTGCATGGGGTAGAAAGGGAGAGCAGGTAGGAAATTGAAATTGCTTTGAATCTTATTTGGATATGAAAAATAATCGTAGATATGATCATAGAACATAAGTAGATAGGATCATCAAATACCTTTTTGGTATATAATAGAAAGTTTGATTATTCAATGTATTATTTAAAATTAAATAATAAAATTGAACAAAAAATATATATACTATTATAATTTAATATATCATTACTTCGAAATTCTAATATTCAATAAATATTATTCTTGATATCAAGGTCGAGAGAGACATCGGAACTCCTACCTATAAACCATATCTTCTTACCGTATTTCACATGTCGATATGAGTGAAGAAATCACAATATCAATATATAATATAAAATATTCCAAATAGGTATTGATATTTCCTGGATATTATGTATTGTTAATTAACGTTCGATGTTCTACTATATGATCAGAAAAAATATAATAATTTCATGATTTTTTTCAAATACCAATTGAACACATATTTTATACTATTTCTGATCATATACAGTGTGTTGTTTATACTAGGAATCAATTATTTCTCGAATTCGCAAATTAGGTCGTTGAAGATGTATAGAACAATGGAAATATTTTGATTCGCAGAAAATTTGCGTTAGGAAATTGTCTACCTATAGAAAGGGTTAGGCAGGTTACATTTTTAGTTCAAGCAATATTTCTAGTTTCTCCTCGAAAATGAAATGATAATATAGTCTTTGCAAAGTCTCTTGAGACAACTTGATCAGAAGAGATCCGCCATCACGACCGTCGGTTACTTTGGCCAGTCATTGGGGATTTTTACCTGGAAAAAAGTCCGGAAGTTTTGAAACTTTGTAGGATTATAGTTTTGGGTGTCCAGAACTAAAATTCACGAAATGCACATTCCGGGACATGCCGCCGGCGCCGCCATCTTGCCAAGATGGCGCTCAAAAACGGTTTTTTGAAAATATCTCCAAAACGGTGCGTTTTAAAAAAAAATGTGAAGACATAAAAATTTAAGATGAAGAAATTTTCTACAAGAAATGTCCTCAGTATATTTTTGCTGAAGTGAGCCGTTTAGGCCCAAGAGCTGATTGAATGACATCATATTCTGTTAATTTCAATAAACTGCCCCTATAAACTGCATAAATTTATCTTTTATAATGAAACGGATCTGCTTGGAAGCGCCTTGTACAGATGACTGAGGCAGAGATAAGTGTAAATAGCCAGCGCCCGCAGAGCTACCAACTTTTTGAAACCCGAGCGCGCCAAATTTGAAAAATGAACCGCCCAAAAAATATCGCCCAATTTGTGTGATGTTATTATTCTTTCAAGGAGTCTAATGAAACTAATTTTTTTTGCTATTCATATGAGTTTTTTTTTCAAATAAGTACATATATTCAGCACATCAAAATTACTCGACCTACGGTCTCGCAATCTCATCTGAAATATATATTTTGTGTATTTACTCATATTGGGATGGAGTGGTAAAGACAAGAAAGCAAAATTTCAAATTTCTATGAATTTATGGGCGGTTTTACAGTACGAGAAGGTACCTATATCTACGGATACATCGTATAGGTACGAAATTTACTCATAACCATCCTGCACCCACATACTTCTGGAGCAAAGTCGCCAGATTCGTCGATAAATGCAATTTCACAAATGCAAAATTTTTGTCGCATAATTGATCTGAAAATCGTCCAATATAACGAGGAACAAATTGAATAGCAAGAATATATGGAGATAGTTAGGGGCAGTTTATAGAATTTATCAGAATATGTTGTCATTCAATCAGCTCTTGAGCCTAAACGGCTCTCTTTAGCAGAAATATGCTCGGAACATTTCTTGTAGAAAATTTCTTCATCTTAAATTTTTATGTCCTCATATTTTTCTGAAAACGCACCGTTTTGGAGATATTTTCAAAAAACCGTTTTTGAGTGCCATCTTGTGAATTTTAGTTCTGGACACCCAAAACTATAATCCTACAAAGTTTCAAAACTTCCGGACTTTTTTCCAGGTAAGCCTTATTTTGGATCCCCAATGACTGAACACCGAACGCGTGCCGCGGCGATGTTTTTTTGCTGTATATGTCTAGAGTGAATTTGCAAAGACTAAAATAATACTTATATATTTTCACACCAATTCCCCGTTTGTTTTCTTCGAATTTTCTTCAATTGATGTCTTGTCTCAGTTATTCCGTCAGAAAATATCATCTTATGGAGGCAAATAATTCTGATATCATGATCTGCTACTCCAAATCAGTAGCACATCATCAGTATTTTTTTCAGCAAGCACTGTTCATCATAATATAATATCAAATTGAATATTTTTTCATTCAATATAGGGTTTACGAAATATTTGCTCGGATATGAAGAGTGTCACCTCAGCAAAATTTATCAATAAATCAATAAAAATATAAATAACAGTATCTGATGATTCACCTATTAATTTGATTGATAGATATCTCTTGAAATTGTCATTAGTAAAACGCCGTCGGCCTACAAAAAATACTCAAAGTATTGGTCCATGTTTTCAAAAACAGTTTAAGAACCCTACAATATATAAATCTCAGTAATTAATCGCCAGTTAATCAATTAATGATCATTGCAGAGCCTCATGTGGAAAAATTGGAGTGATAAGATATATAAAATGAGGTCTTGTGTATATTTTTCCAAAGAACCGTAGAAGAGATTCAGGATATTGAAAACTTGAAAAAATATGAATTCAATATCATTCACCTCTCGAAAAAAAATTCCTTCGATTGTCTTGATATTTGATAAGTTCTATTGAAATAACAAAATGATCAGAATTTGTTTTATCTATCAAAAGGTGTCATAAGCACCGGATGAGTATCAGAATCGAAGAATATGTTCCACCACTATTTTTCTGAGCTGAATGCCTCCTTTTTATTTGCTTGAGAGAAATGTATGCTTGAATTTTGTCATAATGTTATGTGTAACACCGTGCAGATTTTGTTGGAAATAAAATCATAATGATATTTTTTTTTCATTTAATCTGACAAAAGCGCTTCAATAACGATAATTAATGTTTTTACTACCGACATTTCCAAAGATGAATATCCAGAATCTAAAACTCTGAAAATTATGAATTTCTTTAATACTTCATATGTCTATGAACTTTTATGTCACGATCTCCCATACTTCCATATTTCAAAATAAATGATATTGAACCAAATTTTTCTATCTGCTTTTTCACACTATATCATGAAAGAGGATAATGAGATGATTTAGGCATCGTCCACCAATATTAGAATATTGGTGGACGATGATTTAGGTATAGAAAACTACCTACCTACCGTTGCGGGTGTGCTGTGTGATAAAGATATAATAGTCGATATACGATTTTTTTGAGGAAACCATCTCAGAACTACCATCAGATTTTTTCGATAGTATTTTGTTTTTCAAATAATCGAGAAAAACCAATATGTATCTCCGTTATTTGAAAACTCACGACCGAGCTCACGACATTCATAATATGGGCACCATATTGTATTTTTATTGCATTAAATAGAAATTTCAATCCTCCTTTCAAAAATGTATCACTATAACATACCATATTCTTCTGAACGAATACATCAGAAATAAACGAATCTGAAAATTTCCATAAGAAAAAACAATGCTACTGTCATTATCTCGAAAACGCAGGAAGATATTTCATTGTTCTGTCTTTTATTCAAAAGTTCTTGAAAAAGTGCTCACGAAATGTCTGAGCCAGAATGCCGTAAGTTTTCAAATAACAGAGATACAGGGGATTGTCAAAAACGCACCGCTCTGGTTTTTCGCAATTATTTCAAAAACAGAAAATGATCGAAAAAATCTGATGGCAATTCTGAAATAGTAATAGAATTCTGAGAAACATTGCTCATTTGAACGACTGTGTAGCTCTTATAATAACCGAGATAGCAATACATACAGCACCAATAATCTGGGACAAAGTGTATAGCAAAACAACGTTTGCCTGGAATCTGGAATATAAATAGCGTTTCATTTCACCCTAAAATGCCCTATATGCTTTTATAACCGTACCACCCGTACTGACCCTGACCACCGCGCTCAAGTGGTTCTAAAAATAGATAAGATGAGATAAGTAAAATGAAAATAACCAGCGGGCCAAACGGCCAAATCAACACCCGTATACATGCTTGCGGATTCGCCGTGGAAGGGGTTCTGAA